GCATAGGAAAATCTGATAGTGCAACTTTTTTTTTAGACACCTCTAAGTTCTTAGAGACAGTAATTATACCTGTCCTAAAGAAAGTTACTTTATTCCTAAAGAATAGTTACTCTCACTGAAGTCTAGTGACACTAATACCAGTTGGAAAAATCAGTTTGAGATTGGAACTATTACATCTTGGGGATGTGGGTATTCAAACTGCCCATCTGAAAACAAAGTAATTTTATAGTTTTTCTTTCTACCTCCTTGCTCTCTGAAGCCGACAGGGGTAGGCATAGTATAATTTCATATCAGAAAGAGTATGTCTTTTTCTCTTGCCTTTCTCTTTCTTGACTTTTGTTGAAATACTGTGCTTTCAGATACTTCACATATGTTATTTCATTTAAGCCTCCAACTGTCCCTTTGGTAGAGACATTATTTCAAAGAGGGATTAAGTAGGTCAAATAACTGGGAAGTCTGTTTTTGAATTCCAAAACTATAACATTTGCCTCCCAGCTTTTATCATTATCTTAAAAATAAAGTGAAGCTGATCATCAAAAATTATTATTTCCTGAACGTTTGATTTAGTGTAAAAATATGAGTTCATTCTATGGATAAACATAAAAATGAATTACAGGATAATTTTAGTATGCTTATGAAATCCATCAGTAGTGTTCATTTGCTGTTTTTAAATTTAGAATTCATTGTAGCTGAAGTAAATTCTAATAAAAACTCTTCATAGCAATGTGAAATAAATGTTGCAGTTGACTTACTGGTACTTTTATTCACATTAACAGATAAAACTATTTTTTAATAAGACAGCAGTTTGCAAATTTACATAGTAATTGTGTGTTATAAATTTTATATAAAGTAGGGTTTACTGATAAAAGGTTAGTGCTACAATATACCTGTATATTTATTTTCTGGTGGGATTTAAACTAACAATTCCTCTGAATTTGGAATCTTAAACATATATATATATATATATATATATTTTACAAACATATATTTTTAAAATGAAAATGCTTTTAGAAACATTTACTGAAGTTCATGGTAGATTCAAAAAGTTTTGTGAATCTTTAAGAATATTTGATGATGTATTGTAAATATTTTGATAGGAAAAATTCCTCAATATCTGAGCTACTAAAGCTTTTCAGTGTTGTGTTTTGTTTTTTTTTCCCCCTCGTGTGTACAGGGTTTTTTTTTTTTTTTTTTTGGTGTTTTTTTTTTAATGAAATCTCTATGGATACACCAGTATGTTAATAACTTGTGAGACGCACCTTGGCATATGATAGCTTCAGTGTAATTCCTTTACTTCTTTCACTTTCCAGAACTCCTTCAGGAATAAATATGTGCAGAAATTTTGAGATATTGGAAAGAAAACAGCAGTTGTGTTTATTGTAATATCAGGTGGCATTGGCATTGAGGTCCCAAGTTATTCTCAGAAAGCAACTTTTTGCTCTGAGATAATAGCTAGATGGGAGCTCAGGGCTTTCTGAAATTTTAAGAGGCCTGCATATCTGAAAGATTGGAGTTACTAGTTATTACAACTGCATTTCTCCTAAAATTCTAATGGCTATGTTGCTGCATCTCACTGAAATTTATCCACATGTACCAACTTGGTATTTTAATTCTAGATTTCACTGGCCTAGGAAGTTAATAGAAGGGATAGAGGTACAAACACACCACCCAGTCAACACTGGCATATATGCCCTGATCCTTGTTTTGTGGATTTCTTAGAAACCTGAAAGCGAAAAAGCATTTTTATTTGGTTTGAAGTCTGTTTTGTTTTGTGTTGGGACAGCTGGTAAAGAACCTTATACTGGCTATATAACAGTCGGTTAAATATCTAGGAGAGGAACAAAGAGAAGAGCAGAAGAAATAGAAATTAATATCAGCTACTGTGTTATTGTTTATTCTGTGCTGGGCATGGTGCTTTACATGTCTTAACACTGAATTTGTACAGAGCCTTGAGAATAGGTACCATCACCACTATTTACAATGAAAGGAACTAAAGCAGAAAGTGACTAGGTAACTTTCCTGAGGATTTGAACCCAGGCAGTCTGGTTGTAGAGCTCTTATAGCATTACCTTGCTATTTCATCATAAAATTGAAGGAGAATCTAGACAAGGCTAGACCAGCCAGGGCTTCTCAGATCCAAGCCTAGAGACAGAACTACACGGGCAGTATAAAAAAGGCAAAGAGATTTATGTAGTAACATCCCCATCTGGTGGTGTTTTAGTATAATCCTGAATATGTTGTTAAAATTTGACAACTATAAGCTAGCTGTAATCTAAATGAATTGAGGTTTAAATAAAATTCAAGTGATGGCTGGTGGTTTCCCGTTGTTCTAATAATAATAATGTTATTATTATTCCTTTAATTTTTATAGTAACGTTTGGAGATAAATGATGTCATTACACCATTTTACACATGAGGAAACAGGTTAAGTAATAAGCCCAGAGTCATACTGCCAGGAAATGACTGAGCTGGGGCTTGAACCCAGGCGCTCTGGCCGCCCCATAAGGCTCTGGATTCTTTTTTTTTTTTTTTTTTTAATATCTTTTATTTATTTGACTGAACTGGGTCTTAGTTGCAGTATATGAACTGTTACTTGTGGCATGTGGGGTCTAGTTCCCTGACCAGGGATTGAACCCGGGCCCCTTGCATTGGAAGCCAGAGTCTTAGCCACTGGACCACGAGGGAAGTCCCCTAGGGTCTGGATTCTTAACCGTCATGCTATGTTTATTTTTAATATTTGTGAAGAGCACATAACCTCAGTACAAAATGGATGTAAATCTGTTCTATTGAAACATTAATGTGTTCACAGACCTCCACTTTCTTCCAGTTGTTATCTAAAGTGTTAGCTACCAAAAGAAAATGTTGTATTTTGTAACCATGACTCTGGTAGAAGGTCATTCATTTCTTGATTATGGCTCATATTTCAGATCACTGCTTTTCTACACATCCTCCCAAACAAGATTCTGGCTCATAAATGGTACACATTATAGGTTCAGTTCAAGAAAGTAGTGATTCATAACTTACTTTGCAGAGATTTGTGAAGTTTTTGAGAGACTGATGGAGAACATGATAGCTTTGTAACAAATGAAACTTTTTGAAACTGAGAAGGTGTAGAGCAAACTTTATGTGAGTTGACCTTCACATTCACTTATGTGTTTTAAACACAGATTTTAGGTTTATGAAAGTAGTGATAAGGAAGAGGTAAAAATTGGGGACTTCCCTGGTGGTTCAGTGGTTAAGATTTCACCTTCCAATGCAAGGGGTACAAGTTCGATCTCTGGTCGGGCAGCTAAGATATGCCTCATAGCAAAAAAAAAAAAAGCAAACATAAAACAAGCAATATTGTAACAAATTCAGTAAAGATTTAAAAATTGGTCCACATTGTCTTTGATACTTCCCATGTTTATATTCATTTTTGGTAAGGTTGTGTTGAATTTCAATACAATAACTAATAATGTTCCATCATACTGTTTAACATGGCACGTAGCCATCTCTTGTTGAACGCCTTGGATTATGATTTTTTTTTAACTAGCCAGTAAGCATTTGGAAATATAATGGGAGCGTGTGTGAGACTGAGCCTAGTAAGAATAGATTTATTTTTTTACTTTTTATTTTGAGGTAATGTCAACTTTAGAACAATTTGAAAAAATAGTACAAAGAACTCATGAAACTCTTACTCATGTTCACTAATTTAACATTTTGCCACATTTATTTTATTATTTTATATATATATATATTTTTTTTTCCCCTGAACCAGTTGAGAGTTGGTTGCATTTTTCATGCCCTTTTCGCTGTTAATACTTAAGTACTCATTTCCTAAGAATGAGGATATTGGCAGTATAGATTTGATAGGCCTCCCATTGATGTGGTGACTGACACAGTGTTATAGAATATGTTGAGTGAGAAAATGTAGAGAGAGGAAAGAAAAATCAGAGCCAAGAAGAAATAGCTATTCATACATTCCTTAAATGCTGGAGTACCTGGACACTGTGTTGGGCTGTAAGGGGTAAAACTGGACATAATACACAGTGTCTTTATGAGATTATAACTTACTGTGTGAGGAGAGGGATGTCATAACAGACAACCAACGCAATTTTAGTACAGTGAATCAAGTACTGTGAGAGGAAGAACAGACGCGTTGGTGAAAAGGTCATTGATGACTTTGAGAATGAATTACAGGATGCGTTAGAACTCAGAGGGTGAAGACTGGAGAAGAAAGGTGGATACTAGATTGCGGGGAATTATAAGTGCCAGAGGTACACGGTAGCTGAATTCAGGGTACTTGGCAGTGAAAAGTAGAAGATAATAGTTTAACAAGCGGAGGGTACCCAAAAGAATATTTTTCTGTCCTTCCCATCCCCAGTAAGGTGGACCAGTTGAGTGTTAGTGGCTGGGATGTTAGAGGGGGAATGAGTGGGATCTAGGACGTGGTTAGCTTTGGAGGGGAGAAGCAGGTGTTAACTCATGGAACTGGAGAGAAGGATGAGGATATGGACATAGCTGCAGGATACCTTTTAGAGATGAAGACTGTCATGATAGATAGGTCTGGTTTCCTTAGGAACGGAGGGGAGTGAGGGCATGTGAAGAGGTGGAAGAGTGAAACCAGGAACTTGAAGAACTTGGAAACTACTTAGAACAAGCTTAGAGGAGTGATGAGACAGAGAGGAGAGAAGATAGTGAGTACTGCCAAACAGCAGTTAAGGCCCATTTGAAGTTCGGAAGTATGAATTGGTACTGGACAAGGTATTTCTGGGCAGTTCTGCCACAGAGCTCTACTGTCCAGAAGAAGAGTGAGGTTAGCTTTAAATTATAAAGGGTTAGGATCATCAGGTTCTTATCTTTTCTGTTTCTGCACAGTACAATGAGGTGCATGCAACTTTCCATTACTATTTTGTTTCAACAGTCCATTTCAGTGATCTTTTCTTTTCCTGCATGGTAACGAGAACTGCCCTATTCCACCTCCTTTACCTGTCATTTTCTTCCTTCCTGCATTTTCACAGCATGCTATTTCTCTGAGATGTCCCAGCAAGCAGGCCAAGCGTCATATTGACTTCACAGAAGAACAGGCTGAACTGACACCTGTAAGTTCTGTAATCGTGTCTGTTGGGACTACTGAAGTATCAGTAAAGAGGAATGCATTCTTTAGAACTCCTGATGGTTAAACCTTGTCATATATCTCAATTTTTTGAATAAAAATTAAACTAGGCTTTAAAAATACATGAGCAGAAACAAGAACAACCATATGATACAGTACCATTGAATATTAATACTCATGGTAAGATTGTGTTGTGATAGTGTATCTGGTATAGAGAAATTTTGTATTGGAACCTGAACCACATACTTTCTTTTTTGTTCTTAAGCTAAGGGCTTCTGTAAATTTCTTGAGATATTACTAAATTTAACTCTTCTTCAGAATGGGGATATCAAGCATATGACTGTACCAATGCTTAACTGAAACCTAATTTCTTTAAAAATGTTTCCTTTGGTCATTGATTAACGAACCTGGGTGTTTTAGAGCTGTGCTATTCCACGCGGTGACCAGTAGCCAAATGAGGCTATTGAACACTCCAAATGTTGATCCAAATGGAGATGCACTGTAAAGATAAAAATATATGCTGGACTTCAAAGACTTAGTACAAAAAAATAAAAGATGCTAATATTAGTTTATTTCACCAGTTTCTTTTTACTTTTTTTAAAAATGTGGTTACTAGAAAATGTTATATTTGTAGCTTGTATTGTTTTTCCATTAGACAGTGCTGTTTCAGGGTCACCTGTGAAGCATTGAGAAGAAAAAAATTCCCGTTCCCCCCCCCACAGTTGAATAAGATTCCCTCTGACCTTTCCTTCTCCCCTCCTCCTCTTCCTCTTTCCCTTCCTGTCCTTTAAAAATACTGGTAGTAATCCAGTGAATTGATTTCACAAGTCACTACTGGCTTATATCCTGCTTAGTGACAAACTTTCTCCAACCTTACCTCTGGCCTGTCCCCTAAACTCCTAAGTACCAGCCACACTTAATCATATCTGTGTTGTCATCTCTTCCACTCAGGCAGCAGTGCTCAGTTCTTTCAGCCCCAATACCTGTATCTTGTAACAAATAATTTATAACATTATCTTTACTATCCCAAATGAAATTCATAAATAGTATAACTTACCTACACCCCCCCTTTTATAGTGATTTTAATGCCCTATCACCTAGTATGAGGGAGAAATAACAAAAAGTAATTTATGATATTTTAATGTATATATTTTAAAGTGGTTGGCCATTTAAAAACTATTAAAAGACACAATGAAAAATAGTCAAATCCTACACCTACTTATAATTAAAAACTTTGGATTTAAGAAAAGGGAGAAGATCAGAAGTCATTTTTATAGGAAAAAGAAAGAAATATGAGTGGACCCAGAATTAAAACATACTATGACTTCCCTGGTGTCTCAGACTGTAAAAGCATCTGCCTACAATGTGGAAGACCCGGGTTCGATCCCTGGGTGGCGAAGATCCTCTGGAGAAGGAGATGGCAACCCACTCCAGTACTCTTGCCTGGAAAATCCCATGGACGGAGGAGCCTGGTGGGCTACAGTCCGTGGGGTCGCAGAGAGTCGCACCCTACTGAGTGACTTCACACATGACACATAGTAACAGACAAAACACACCTCTATATAGTAACTAATAAAAGGGAAATAACCTTAAATGAAGTAGGAATAATGTGCTGATACAATTTATATATTACCAAAGAAAAGAAAATGAAGAAATGCAAAATTCTTGCAAATAAAATGACTCTTATTTGTAACTGTAGTGACAAAATTATTCTCTGCCTTGTAGTGTGAGGTTAGGTAGTAATAAAATGATTTTTACATTTGACTTTTTACATTATAAATTTCTCACTGTGCTATATTTTAAATAACTCTGAAAGACAAGCAATTGAAATATTTTAACACAGTCTGGGTTAATGAAACTCAGTGAAATTCCTGCCTTTCATTTCTTTCATTATTAGTATTTGGTTCTTAATTCTGTTACAAGCAGTTTCAAAACTCTTATCATTTACTTGCATGTGACAGAATATACACTGATGCTACCAGTTTTGGTATTGGCAAATTTTTTTTATACTTCAAGCTGATTTTCCATTGGTGAAATGACTTCCCAATGTAATGAGTAATTCTTGGTAAATGTTCAACAGAATTAAGTGCAGGCTTCCCTCAATTTCTTATATGTGGTAAGTAAATAGCATTCCTCGAACAGTCATTGAATATCAAAATTACACAGAAATACTTTGTGCTTATATGTAAAATGGAGTTATTGAGTTCTAAACTCAGATTGTTATAAACAAGAATTTCCAGCTATATGATTTTCCGTATAAGGACATTAAAAATTCATGTGTGACATAGGACTTTGGTTGTTAATTTTGTAACATTGCTCAATGCTTGCAGGGCATCTAACATTTATGATTTCCCTCCTCATAAATACCAGTTATGCCCCTTCCTCCTCATTGTGACAGCCCAGAATATTCCCAGCTCTCCCTGAAATGCCTCCCAGAGGGAAGCACCACCAGCACTGAGAACCACTGATACCTCCCTTCGCTCTCTGTGCCCTCCACCTGACTCAGAGCTGCCTCCTACTCATCCTGCAGGACTTCAGACTCTAGGCCTTCTCAGAAATACTTTGCTGAACCTCTGATTTGGGTTTAGACACTGTCTCTGCCTCTTACTACCACTTGCACACTACTTTGTAGTTGTCCGTTATCTCCCTGTTAGATTCCAAACTGTGAGACCAGGTAATGCCTGTCTTAGGTACCTCTGCATCTTCTGTGTCTGCCATGGTTCCAGTCTCAACATTGAATAAGTAATTGAGTAAATGAAAAAAGGAGAGAGTAAAAGACAGGAAGAAAATGGACTAATAAAGAAAATGGGCTATTTTTAATGAATTAAAATAGGCTGCTGACTTTGCATTAGTGGTGAATGAAAGAAAATATAAGAAGCCCTACATGCAGCCATGTGCATTTTTGTTACCAACAGCATGTACCAAGACAGAGACGAATTTAATGATGTGCCCAAAGCACTGTCTTTCCCTTCTCTCAGTCCTCCAGCTGAACACCACTCTCCTCATCCCTCTCACATCCTTCTCCAGTAACTGGTTCTCCCTCCGCCCCCACCTCCGCTCTGAGGAGTTCTGGAGCCATGTGTGACTGGCACCAGGAGGGGAAGATAGATAAAGGAAGGCTTTTATTGACAGAAGGCATTTGCTGCTTCTGGTTTCTAGATGTTTGTTTTTTCAGCTGCAATCCCTGTGGTTACAGGGAACATGGAGCCCTGTTAAGTAGTACACGTGACTCATGATTTTGTTCAGCTACTGTTTGTGGTCTCATTTTTTAGATGTGTCATTCTTGGGGGTCACCAATCATGATTATCTCCTTTTTATTTTAAAGTTCAGTATTTAAACCTTGTTTCTGATGAATATTATTTTTGCACAATATTATTATGCACAATAAATATTATTTTATTTAAACCTTCAATATTTTAAAATCAGTAACTTCTACTTCAGCGTCTCTAAACAAATACAGTTAGATAAAATCTGATCAGATTCAGTTTTTTGTGTGTGTTTTTTTTTTTTTTTTTAGTAATTTGAAGTCTTGAGGTGATTGGAGTTTGAAGATGGAGTAAATTTTGTAGGATTTTTTTAAAGTGTAAACTTGAATTTAATGTCTAGAATTTTATTTATTTTGGGCTCCCCTGGTGGCTCAGACAGTAAAGCATCTGCCTGCAATGCAGGAGACCAGGGTTCAATCCCTGGATGGGGAAGATCCCCTGGAGAAGGAAATGGCAACCCACTTCAGTATGCTTGCCTGGGAAATCCCATGGACAGAGGAGCCTGACAGGCTACAGTCCATGGGCTTGCAAAGAGTCAGACACGACTGAACAACACACACAGAGTTGTATTTACCAAAGAATAATTGGTTTTGATGGCCTCAAGCAAATTTTTTTTTAATTTGAAAAATAATTATCTGAATAGAGATATTCGACTCATTTTGGGCATCTCTGAGAAAGTAATTTTTGTGAGTAAGATAAATAAGACTAGGCTTTCAAGAAATTATTTTCTGTATATTTTACATAATCGTGTAAGAATATGTTTTTGTCACTATATAGGAATAACAAAAAATGAATAGGAATAAGAGCAGTGAAAGTTACAGTTGGTCTTTTTAGTTGTTCTCAGTATTCTTCCTGGTCTTAGCTAATTGCTAACCTCAAATTCAGTTTGCAGAAATTTTGCTTATCTACTGTTTTTTTAATAGACAAGTCAACCAATATTTACCTTCAGGAGATTATACCATCTAGGTAATTGAGGCTTAAAGATGATTTTCTTTGTGCTTGTTTGACCTTGTTAGTGCTGATATTGATGAATATATTCAATTTTTGTTTTAAACCTTAGGGTTTTTGTTTTGTTTTGGTTCTGGCTGTTTTTTTACCACCAAGGTGTGGGTGAAAGGGCAGGTATACTTGTGCGGCTCATCTTGAACTAAAAGCTAAAAACAAACGCAGGCAACAACATACAGTACAGCAAACCAACTATAGCATAGGTACAAGCAGAAGTTAATTTTTTTTTGCAATAGTATTTTAATTTTGAAGTATCGTATTATCTGTGACAGTAAGCTTTATGATAGTAGGTGCTGCTTTAGTACTTACTTTTCTCTCCAAAAATTTGTTTCTCAAGAATAACTTGATAATAACTTGATATATACTTAGATTTAATAAATATTGTGAAATATTTTCTATAATTCCACACAGCTGTGCCATGTATTGTTTTAAATGATGGTTAATAACCACATAACATTAAAAAATACTTAGAATTATTTAGGGATAAACAAGTCTAAATTACACATATATCGAAAAAGTTGCAATTTATACTATATGAATTTAATAAATATGATTGCAATACTGAAACGATTTTAAGGGAGAAAAGGACACTTAGGGACTGTGTTATTCACAAATCATTTTTATGAAAATATATAAGTTAATTTAACCAATTTAAGGGGCAACACTTCATAATATTTTGTTTGTCATTCCTTTGATATACAAGTCCTTTACTTGGGCAGTGCAGTACTATTAGTATATAATAAGTGAATTAATAAAATTTTACTGAAAACATGATACCATTAGGCGAAATATTTATGAACATTTTTCCTCTTGGTGTAGCTATCATTGATTGGAAATAATTGCAGAAGTTTTAAAACTGAGGTTTTTTGTTTTGTTTTTTCCTTCCTCTCTAAGACTACACTATTTAAAGCTATGTAGGTCTTGTATAGGCTTTAACAAGAGGGAGAAATGTGGTTAGTCATTGGGCTTTGATACCTACTTACTTGTGCTGCATGAGCAGCCCTCAAAAGCACAGCCCTGGCAGACAGGCTGCTCCATGATCTTTGCAGGGTGTGATCCCTTTTCCCAGAGTGAGGGACCAGCAGGAGTGGGCTAGAGCGTGACTCTTGGCATGGGTGGGTCTCTCCCTCCCCTTCTTTTTTTTTTTTTTTTCTGTTTTTAAATTTAGATACATTTCACTGAGTTTAGGTGAAACGTGAAATTAATGGTAGAGAATCATTCTTGCTTTGTCTGCTTTATATTTTAAACTCATAAAACCTCCACTGACTTACTTCTGTTACCTTTTTTTGTTCTGTTTTTCTCTCTCTTCCTGCACAAGCACTCCTATCTGGACAGGGAAACCTCCCTTCTTCTGAGAAACATTGCAGGGAAGCCTTCTCATTTGCTGACCAAGGTGATACTCCTTCCACCTGCATGTCAATATTTGCCGCCTTGTAGGTAGAATGTAATTTCTGTTTTTGATTGTGCTCTCAGATTGCTGAGGTTGTGCTTTCTTGTTTCTGCACCCTTGTTCTTAATAGAGGTTATTTTTTTCTCTTACTGAAGGTAATTATTTATTGACCTTAATGACTATCAAAAAATATTGAGAGTAGAAAATATTTGCAGTAGTTTTTCACTAGTTTTTAACTTCCATGAATACCTGACAGTCTTCCTAAGTATGTTGCACTTTTTCTAGTTTAACATTGTATTTCATTTTAAATCATTGCTTGATTTTTAGCTTTTACTACTAATGGTCATGCATGCTGTGAGTTTCTTTAGCAAACTTTGTTTTCTAATTTTTGTTTATATTATCAATGCCTCATTTAATTATTTTTTATAAACATAATAAAGGCTGCAATTTAAATTTCTCAATTCTCTGTCCTCAGAGTGGTTTGAATTAGTCTAGCTGGATTTTCATCGGGCTGGTATTTTACAATTTAAAATCATTTAACCATTATCATCATTAACTCAGGAAGCACAGGATAGGGGGTTGAAACTAGTTTTCTGCCTCTTTAAAAATCATGTTTTTATTTTGTTACTTAAATGTTAAATTCAAGCATGTCTGACTTAGTTGTAGATAGTTTCAGAAGAATATACAAATTATGGCTAATTTCACTAAATTTGTATTATTGTATCTGAGATTTTCTTTAAAAAAAATTATTTAACTTTATAAACTTGCAAAGGAAGATGGTAAAGCTAAAATTAAAAATCTCCCTGAGTGTCCACTTAACAAGAAGACCGAAGAATCAGCAATAAGAACTTTCTTTTGCTTGAGTTTCTCTCCTGGAAAGAGATCTAGGAATAGGGTATAAACAGCTTAAAGATGAAGTAAGTTTAGAAATGTAAGCACATGATAGCCGTGTACTTTATAACCATAGCAAAGTTCACTCTCTCCCTGGAATTCAGTCTCAAAGCCTCAGTTAGGATCTCTTTAGATCAGACTTCTCTCCCTGAGCGGTCACTGTCACACATTTCCTGGAGGATGCCCAGCACCTCCGATTCTTTGTCTTCAGCTTCCTTACCCACACTGTCCCTGAGGCCTCATAGTTTATATCTGTTGTTGTTTTTTGACAGCTCTATTTCTGTCCAGGATGCTTCCACTCTCCTAGTTGCCCAGGTTTAAGCATCTCATGCTTTTCTTCTTACTTACTGTCTCAAAGCTCTAATAAGCTTGTCAGAATCTGCAGGATTGACTGAATTCATCCATCCATTTTATTCCCATTGCCATTACCCTAAAACAGCCTCATATTTTTTAGTAGAGCCACTATTCTTGTCTATTTTTGCCTGTCACCTCCAGTCCATTTTGTACACTGCTCTCAGATGAAGTGTAACATTTCACCATTTCCATTGTCTGTTTTTCAACATATATTTGTTGAGTCTTGTACTATGTTAGGTACTGGAATATAATACTATATAAAGTGGACATTTTCCCTGCCCTCAGTCTTTAGGAATATAGATAAAAAGAACGTTTACACACAGCATGTAAACAAATTCTAAATCATGTTAAGTACTATGAAGGAAACAAGTGAGTAATAGGGAATACAAGGGGGAGGATTAGAGCTACATTTCCTTTAGGTCGTAAGGTCAGCAAAGGCCCTTCTAAGGGGGTGACATTTAATTTAAAGCTTGAAGGATGAAAAGCAGCCAGCTTGAGGGTGAAGGGAAATGTTCCAAGTGGAGAGGTCCATGGGAAAAGAGCCTGTTGTGTTTGAGGAGCTGAAGAAAGACTGTGTTGCCGGAGCCACAGTAGTTGAATGAAGTGTCTTGATTTGTGTTTGGAGAGGTAGACAGGAATCATTAATTCAAGGCATGCTGTGGAGTTTGTGTTTTTTTTTTCCTAAATGCTGTGAGAAACTATTGAAGAGAGTAACTTCATCCATCCAACAAATGGAGAATAGTTGTTTGCAAGTTTGGGATAAACGAAGTCTCTTCTCACCTCCTTCTGCCTGAGAGCTGTTGCCACCTACTGCATCCACAGTAGAGCCATCTGTGCCCCTACCTGAGTGTTGGAGTGGTGGTGTTACTGCTCTATGTAGCCAACATCTGGCTCTAGCTGCCTCTGTATCCTGCCCTGCTTATATACAGTTACGCATTTGTCATTTGAAAGTGGCTCGGTAGTGTAGAACCTGCACATTCAGGGTGGAGTGGGGAATGGAGTCAAGAATGAGGTGGCAGAAGTTCCTAGATAACCAGAGCCACAGGGCCTCTCTTTGTCGGTGCCCTCTGTACCACGGCACGTGGCTGCTTTGAAGCTAAGTTGAGCTTGTACTTCTTTCATACCACTTGATTCCCCACAAAGCATGGTGTCCCAGTTACTGACTCACCTCTGATCTGCACTTTTCCAGAGGAGGACTTTATAACACTTGATAGTTGAACACAGTAAAATGAACACAGCAACACTGCTTGGGGCCTGGAATGCAGAAGGAATGCTCATTGCTTGTTTGTTTCCATCATCAATTGAATTGTCATTCTACTACTGCTAATGAAATAACTGTCCCGTATACAGTTCTGAGGGGCTTCCCCGGTGGCTCAGTAGTAAAGAATCTGCCTGTAATGCAGGAGACGTGGGTTCTATCCCTGCTTTGGAAAGGTCCCCTGAAGGAGACACACTCCAGTATCCTTACCTGGGAAATCCCAAGGACAGAGGAGCCTGGCCGGCTACAGTCCATGGAGTTGCAAAAGTGTCAGACACGACTGAGTGACTAAACAACATACACTTCTGAGCAGGGGGCCTCTGCAAAAGCAGTGCCAACCTGTTTCTTCTAGGAGTGGCGTTACTGCCGGCACAGGATGTTTTATAAATGGGAGCAGTAGGCAGAGGACCTGTTGCCGACCTGGTGCCCATAAGTCTCTGGGTGCCATTCAGCAGACTCCCCTGACCTCCTGATACAGTAGCACATCTTTGTCCCTCTTTCTTCCCTTAGCCTGCTTCATTTATTTATTTTTCATAGAACTTAACCACTGACTGACTTATCCCTTATCTCTCTCTCTTGTCTCATGATAAATGTAAACTCCGTGAGGTTAGCAACTCTGTATTCTCTGCATTCAAGCCCAGGCCTGCATAGTCTGGACAAACATCATTCATATAAAAGAATGGTCCTCTAGTGACCATCAAGGTTTCAAGGACTGCTGTAAGTTGTAAAACTGCTTCTATATTACTGAAAGTGTTTTATCTTTGATAAGCAGTTTTTATTTACTATTATCCCCCCAAAGTTTATGCTAAAATCTTTACAGACAGAAGGGATGTGACATCATGGGAAGAACAGGTAGTTGTTCACTTCATAACAGCCTGTATGATCTTTGAAAGACAATTCTTTCTGGGCCTAAATCAGTACAATGGACATAATAATAATGTTAGTCCTGCATTATTGATAATTAAATGAGGCACATGTCTTGTAATATGTGGCAAGTAGGTGTTTGATTAATACTAGTTCTCTTCTTAGTCGAGAATGTATTTCTTCAGGGGGAAGTAAACTAGTGGTTACTATGATTATTTTGGTTCTAAGCAGTTTGATAGAACATTTCATGGGCAATAAATTGTTCATCACTCCAAGTTTTCTTTGAATCATTTTAAGTTATGTAACTTTATTACTGTTGTAATCTGTGAAATAAACCTGATCTCAAAAAAAAAAAAAAAACCTAACTTATTTTCAGCCCCTTAATTTCAATCCCATTTGTTCTGAACCTAAAAAAACCTTAATCATTTCATAGTTAAAGGAATTCATAGCCAGTTCTTTGCAACTTTAACTTTCTGTGAGTATTCTAATTTTTACTCTAAGAAAATGCTGTAACATTTTGTAACCACAGCATTGGCTTTCATTTAATCATAAGATCTTCACTGAGTTTTTGTCCTTTATGTAAATTTGAGAAGGCTTGGCATTTGATGGTTATTGATAGCCACACAGGAGTTTTTCAGGCGGAAAATAGCTTGTCTCTTGCCCTTTTAAGCGAAGGGGTAAGAGAGAAAGTTAACTTGTTATATGTGTGAGATATCTTTTACTTATGTTTAGGATGGTTGTGAGACAGTGTGAACAAAGGGATAGTTCAAAGATAAGGGGCAGAAAACTTAAGTCCTGATTTTGCCAACTTTAACAAACAGCAGAGAATATGAGATGAACAAAGCTTTTTTCTTTGTATTAAACTTGGCCTGCAGACACTGAACACAGCTTTGTATTGCTTAAAGAAACTATTAGATGTCTTCTAAGTATATAATCTATAAATAACACATCAGCAAAGATTTATTGATCTTTGCTGTATCACACGGCACTCTGATCTTAAAACAGATTCTTCCTTTTCTTGGTTGTTACAGTTAAAAGTTATGATTCTAAATTAAATATAGTAGATTAAAAACCAAACTTTCTGAGGAAGAGCTTATTGTCCATGGGAAGTATAAAGTACTATGAATCTTGCAATTTGACCAAATATTTTTATTTCATTTTGCTCCAGTGACATTCAGATTCTAAAAGCAGGAGGCTTCATGCAGAGATAATTATCCTAGCCTATGAACTGGAGGAATAAACTAAAATTTGCCTACACTGAAATTAAGCATGTTCCCTTATACCTCAGTTGGTAAATCATCTGCCTGCAGTGCAGGAGACCTGGGTTCGATTCCTGGATCGGGAAGATCCCCTGGAGAAGGAAATGGCAACCCACTCCAGTATTCTTGCCTGGAGAATCCCATGGACAGAGCAGCCTGACAGGCTGCAGTCCACGGGGTCTCAAGAGTCAGACACGACTTCGCGACTAAACCACCAACCACCACCGCATACTCAGCTGCATCTGCCTCTCTCTGACCCCATGGACTGTAGCCCATCAGGCCCCTCTGTCCATGTGATTTCCCAGGCAAGATTACTGGAGTGGGTTACCATTTCCTACTCCAGGAGAGCTTCCTGACCCCAGTGATTGAACCCGTGGCTCCCACATCTCCTGCATAGGCAGGCAGATTCACAGCTCTTTAAATTCGAATTTGAGGCAGCTGTAACACAGACCTGTTTATATAGTTATTAAGATTAGTATTTTGGGAAAATGGAAGAATAGCTGAATTTGGATGTTAAAATAGCCTCACCTGGCTGTTCTACATAAAAGACAGCTAGGGAATCCAATTGGTTTAGTGTATGTTAATTGGTTGTTTCTCTTGTTTCTATAATCTTTTCTTCCTGTGTGTTAGCTTTTTAGCCTTTGGAGCAGAAACTGATCTGGGAGTTGAAACTAATCTTATAATTGAATGACTTTTTATGTCAGTGCTTCAAAAGATAGCATTGATTGTATTCTATTCTATTTGCTAAATCATAGTATACTAAAATGGAAGTATGAAAATACTGCTTTGGTATTTATAACCAGTATCAGAATGTCATATTAAGATTTTTATATTCCCTTTTTGAAAAGACTGTGTTTTAAGAGCAGTTTCAGGTTCACAATAAATTAAAAAGGTATAGTGATTTCCCATATACCGCTTGCCCTCACACGTGCAGAGCATCCCCATTATCAACATCCCTCACCAGAGTGCTACGTTTGCTACAATTGATGATCAAGTATAGGTAACATTATTATCACCCAGAGTCCCTGGTTTACATTAAGGTTCACTCTTGGTGTGTATTCTGTGGGTTTGGACAAATGTATAATGACATGTAGCTATCATTATAGTATCATACAGAGTAGTTTCATTCCCACAGAAATACTCTGTACTCCACTTGTTCACGTCCCCCGCCACCTCCCGCCCCCAACCTCTGACAACCGTTATTCTTTTTACTGTCTCCATAGTTTTACTTTTTCAGGATGTTGTATAGTTGGAATCACATAGTATGTAGCTTTTTCAGATTGGCTTCTCTCAGTAATATGCATTAAAGTTTCCTCCATGTGATTTATGGCTTGATAGCTCTTTCTTTTCATTTATATTTTTTTGGCTTTTGTGAGTTAGTCGCTCAGTCGTGTCTGACTCTTTGCAACCCTGTGGACTGTAGCCAGCCAGGCTCCTCAGCCCATGGAATTCTCCAGGCAAGAATACGGGAATGGGTTGCCATTCCCTTCTTCAGGGGTTCTTCCCTACCCAGGGATTGAATCCGGGCCCCCTGTGTTCTTTTTTTTTTTTTTTTTTTTTTACCATTGAATAATATTCCATGGTCTGGATGTTGCATAGTTTATCCATTTGCCAACTGAAGGATATCTTGGTTGCTACCAAGTTTTGGCATTATTAAGAAAGCTGCTATAAGCATCAGTGTGTAGGTCTTTGGGTGGAGGTAAACTTTCAGCTCACTTGGTAGATACTAAGGAACTTGATTACTGGATAGTGTTGTAAAAGCATGTTTAGTTTCTTCAGAAACCACCAAACTGTCTTCTAAAGTAGCTGTACGATTTTGCATTCCTCAGTGAAAAGTTCCTGTTGTTCCACAACCTGACCAGCATTTGATGTTTCCAGTGTTTTGGCAGTCTAAGATGATATATGCGTAGTGGTATATCATTGTTTTAATTTGCACTTCTCTAGTGATATATATGAGCAGCTTTTCACAGGCTATTTGCCATCTGTGTAATCTTTGGTTTAAAAAAATTTCATCAAATCTTGTTTTGGTGAAAACCTTCTGTTCAGGTTTTTTGCCCAGTTTTTAAATTGAGTTGTTCATTTTCTTATTGAGTTTTAAGAGTTTTTTTATGTTTTGGATGATAGTCCTTTTATTAGATAGGCCTGATAAATATTTTATTAATATTTTCTCCTAGTCTATGGCTTGTCATTCTCTTGATATTCCTTTTCTTAAAAATATTTTTTAACTTTGAAGACATCTTTTTTTTTTTTTTAATTTTGCAGACTAGTTATAAAAGAGTTCGGCCTTGTAGAAGTTCATGTTTATATTCCAGATACACAGAACATTGATTCTATCAGTTTTTCCTCATCAGACTTTGAGATTTAAATTTGCTTTTCAGAAATATGAAGTGAAAGTTGAAATTATGCCTTGGAAAATTTCTTTGTAGCATCTATTTGTACCGATATAAGGATGTGGCAAATGAACCATGAAGAAACATACAATCATTATTCCCTTGAGAAAACACTCAAAACTTCTGCTTCACTCTTTTTCAAAATGTGGTCAAATAACTGATTTCATAAAAACCACTGGGAAATGCTAGTACTTAAAATTCCTTTATAGAGTAGTGCTCTACTTACCAGAAACACACAGAATTTGGTAATTTAATAATGATTTTGTTTCTCCAAGACACTGAATTCTAGAAACTGAGAATTTTAATGACAGTAGTCTAGTTTTCTCATTTTATGATCTTCTTTAAAAAGAAGAAATATAGTCAACATATTTTATAGTTCTGTAGTTTATTTGCATAAAGGGGGAGATAGGATGATTTAATCTTTAATCAAAGGAGTATATATACCTAAGAATCTTAAGAATCCAGTCTTACTCCTCTCTGTCGTTAAAATGCACTTCTTTGTTCTCTGTCTAATTGGGTTTGCAGATAGTATTTCCTGACCTTGGTTATTATGTTAATTCACTGAGTGCTTTCATTGAAATGGATCAGATTTCTGGCAAACAAGCCCACTGTCTTCCCTAACTGTTTTCTCCTCTGTTCTGCAGAGTGGTAAATACTAAGCTTGAAATGAGGGAGACAGCCTAGAGGATGAAATGAGAAGAGAAGCAGGTCAAAAAATAAGAAAGCCAACAGAATTTAAGAGAACAGGGAATAATCCATTAAATGAATTGAGTTTAACTTGTTTTTTTGCCCTGGAAACTTCCATTTTTTTAATCAAGAATAACACATGGGTTGTGATTATTAATCACAATCTAGAGCAGATAAAGTCTAGTTGATGTAAATAGGTTTCTCTTTTCTTTTTTAAAGTCATGTTAAGTAAAGGAATATATTATATTTTATATTTTTTTAGATATTTTCTGTAGCAACCAAGAGCTTAAAATTAAAAAGTAATTCTTTATTATAAGCAAAGGTTTACTTTCATGAGTTTCTTTCAACTGGAGATTAATGCTGCAGTGTACTATGGCCTCTTGCTGGAAAGTACAAGTAAGTACAAGGTGTTACAGTACTATATGTTATTCTAGGGGAAAATAGGCAAATGTTTTATTTTATTTAAATATAGTTTTATTTTATTGCTATTTATCTAAATTTATGAAGCAGAAATTATTATAAGTTAAATATTTGGAAAATTACATTTAGTATTTTAAATAGTGTGAATTTTAAAAAAGTGAATTTAGTGACATGAGACATTGATTATATTGTGTGATTGTTCCAAAGCAGAGTAAAACTTAGAATTTAATGCAGCCTCCTCTGTTCATATTTATGTATTAATGAGAACATACCTATATTTTTGTTATGATTGTTTTTATATGGTTGCAGAGAGGTGAATTGATGCTGGGTTTTTGTGTGTTTTCTGTTTTTATGATGATGATATGTTTTCAATACAACAAGACAAAATATTGATATGTAAAAGATTGCCCACAGATAGCTTGTTTTCACTATCTTGAAACCTCAAATTTATCTGTTTCGGATTGACAGTCAAAAATAAAACTGTTGGATTAAATTAAAATTAAATTAATTTACCACAGCCTTAGAGTATGAAAATGTAGTCTTAATATAAGAAATCTTCAAGTGTGCATCTTAAAAAATTTTTTTAACAATATGTCTGCCCTCGTTTTGTGAGCATGGTTATTTCTAAAATATGCTCTATATTAAGTGTGTGAAGTTATATTCTTACTGAAATTCAGTGTTAACCGCGTTCTTAAGAATAAAAAGACTTCTCAAAAAATTCTCATTATTTTAGCATTAGTTTATCTGAAGTGCTTTGTGTCCACAGGAAGAACAGGCAGCAAAATTGAAAGCTGAGAAGATCAGAGTTGCCCTAGAGAAAATTAAAGAGGCACAAGTGAAAAAGGTGATATTTGGGCTTTTTCTTGGTTTGGGATTTTTATCCATTTTATGGATTTATAAAGAATTGCCTTGTTTATATAATGTAACTGTAAGATGCAGCAAACTGTAGCAGGGTATTTCTTTCTAAATACATTTCCACATGTATTTTTTGGTGAATAAAATACATTATAAAAGAAATAACTTTTCTGGATCTAAATTCTAAAAGAGTGAAATAAAATAGCTTTATTATAAACTTATATGTTATTTTAATTTTTAAAACATTAAATTTGTTTAGCTATTGACTACCTAATTTTAGAATATTCTTTTTGCATAATAAAGTCATTATTTGTGTTTTAACTTATATTTAGCTAAGGACATTGTTCAGAATATTATTAAAACATTGGAAGAAATTTTCAGAATGCCTGTTTTTTAGTCTGTAATATTCCTTTTTCTTCTTAACAGCTGGTGATTAGAGTCCACATGTCTGATGATAGTTCTAAAACAATGATGGTGGATGAGAGGCAGACAGTGAGACAAGTGCTGGATAACCTGATGGACAAATCCCACTGTGGTTATAGTTTAGACTGGTCTCTGGTGGAAACCATCTCTGAGTTACAGATGGGTTAGTAATATCATTGCTGTAATTACTTTTTAAATTTCTGTGTAATTTCAACTGTTTTCATGTTGATAAAAGCAACTAGAGACATTTTAATTTTTTTTCCTATAGTATAGCCCTGGCTTTTTTACATTATCTTTCCCCCATTCTTCCCCCATATATTTTGAGATTTCTTTGAGTACAGTATCATTTCCAGTTCATTTTAGATTTTCTTATGGCCAAAACAAAGTTGTTCTTTTTTTTAAGGTAACAAAATATTTTTTCCCTTCAGATATTATTAAGAACTGCATATGTTAGACACATTACTAAAAACCATTACATTTATTCCCATTTGTACTGAAGCCTAAGGCTTCAGTTGCTATCATTAGCACCATTTGACTTTCAGGGGAAACATAAAGCACATCTTATTTTTAGCTACATGTACTAAGTCTTAGTTTCCTATGTTTTGTAGTTTGTTATGGTGTTTTCTAACTTTTAAAATTCCTCATTTTTTTGATACCATCTTTGACTTTTTAAAAAAAAATTAACTTATTTATTTTAGTTGGAGGCTAATTACTTTACAGTATTGTAGTGGTTTTTGCCATACATTGACATGCATCAGCCATGGGTGTACATGTGTCCCCATCGTGAACCCCCCCTCCCACCTCCCTCCCCATCCCATCCCTCAGGGTCATCCCAGGGCACCAGCCCCGAGCACCCTGCCTCATGCATCAAACTTGGACTGGTGATCTATTTCACACTTGATAATATACGTTTCAATGCTATTCTCCCAAATCATCCCACCCTCACCTTCTCCCACAGAATCCAAAAGTCTGTTCTTTACATCTGTGTCTCTTTTGCTGTCTCACATATAGGGTCATCGTTATCATCTTTCTAAATTATGTACATATGCATTAATATACTGTATTGGTGTTTTTTTCTTTCTGACTTACTTTACTCTGTATAATTATAGGCTCCAGTTTCATCCACCTCATTAGAACTGATTCAGATGCATTCTTTTAATAGCTGAGTAATATTCCATTGTGTATATGTACCACAGCTTTCTTATCCATTCGTCTGCCGATGGACATCTAGGTTGCTTCCATGTCCTGGCTATTATAAACAGTGCTGCGATGAACATTGGGGTGCACGTGTCTCTTTCAGATCTGGTTTCCTCGTTGTGTATGCCCAGCAGTGGGATGGCTGGGTTGTATGGCAGTTCTCTTTCCAGTTTTTTAAGGAATCTCCACACTGTTCTCCATAGTGGCTGTACTAGTTTGCATTCCCACCAACAGTGAAAGAGGGTTCCCTTTTCTCCACACCCTCTCCAGCATTTATTGTTTATAGACTTTTTGATAGCAGCCATTCTGACTGGCATGAGATGGTACCTCATTGTGGTTTTGATTTGCATTTCTCTGATAATGAGTGATGTTGAGTATATTTTCATGTGTTTGTTAGCCATCTGTATGTCTTCTTTGGAGAAATGTCTGTTTAGTTCTTCGGCCCATTTTTTGATTGGGTCATTTATTTTTCTGGAATTGAGCTGCAGGAGCTGCTTGTATATTTTTGAGATTAATTCTTTGTCACTTGTTTTGTTTGCTGCTCTTTTCTCCCATTCTGAAGGCTGTCTTTTCACCTTGCTTATAGTTTCCTTTGTTGTGCAAAAGCTTTTCAGTTTAATTAGGTTCCATTTGTTTATGTTTGCTTTTATTTCCATTACTCTGGGAGGTGGGTCATAGAGGATCCTGCTGTGATTTATGTTAGAGAGTGTTTTGCCTGTGTTTCCTCTAGGAGTTTTATAGTTTCTGGTCTTACATTTAGATCTTTAATCCATTTTGAGTTTATTTTTCTGTATGGTGTTAGACAGTGTTCTAGTTTCATTCTTTTACAGGTGGTTAACCAGTTTTCCCAGCACCGCTTGTTAAAGAGATTGTCTTTTCTCCATTGTATATTCTTGCCTCCTTTGTCAAAGATAAGGTGTCCATAGGTGTGTGGATTTATTTCTGGGCTTTCTATTTTGTTCCATTGATCTATATTTCTGTCTTTGTGCCAGTATCATACTGTCTTGATGACTGTGGCTTTGTAGTATAGTCTGAAGTCAGGCAGGTTGATTCCTCCAGTTCCATTCTTCTTTCTCAAGATTGCTTTGGCTATTTGAGGTTTTTTGTATTTCCATACAAATCCATCTTTGACTCTTAAAAACCTCAAAAAGGTTTCTTTTTGTAATATTGGGTGATTATATAACCTCACAATAATTATTTTATTAGGCTATATTCAGTCAATAATCTATTTCAACTTGCCATTTTATTTATAAAATATATTTGCATTGCTTTTACTGCCTGTTATATATTTAAATATTTTATAGCAGTTTCCAGAGCAATAAAAATTTAATAATTAACCCTTTTCTCTTAGAACGCACAAACACAAACCCCAAAACCAAACCATCAGTTAGAAGTTTATTAACAGGTATAGGCAGATATTCTAATAATACTTATTGTAACTATTCTTAAAGAATTAGAAAGGTTCAAGTTCACAGATGTGGCGTCACCATACCCAGAAAATTTTTGGATGCTATTTTTTATAATATTTCCATGACTGTAGGTTTAGGGTCCATAACTATCATTTAATCATATGTGGCACAGTGATACAAATAGACTATGTAGTTACTTAGTACTTGTTGAATGAATAAAAGAAAACTAAGAGCCCAAAATAAGATGGTAAAATAAGCTATGACAAATGTAAGTCATTCATATAAAGAACAGAGATTATTAGAAAGGATGAAGAAACAAAATGCACTTGTTCACTATCTACAAAAGACCTTTTACCTAAAACACAGAAAGCTTGAAAGTAAAAGGAATGTGGAAAGACAATATTAACTATGTTAATATCAGATAAAATAGACTTTAAGCAAAATACATTACTGGAGATAAGGAGAACCATACATCTTCATCAGGAAGACAAAATCATCCTAAATTTTATCTAATAATGGCATTAAATTTCATAAAGCAAAAGCTGACAGAACTACCAGGAGAAATTCACAAGTCTGCCTTCACAGTAGAAACTTTTCACCTCTAAAAATCTTTGCAGTGATCAATATAATCAAGCAGACAAAAATGAATATAGATATACTTAGAGCACTAATAACAGGAAAATACACATTCTTTACAGGCAGAAGTGTAATGTTTCCAGAAATTGATTCCGGTATGAGGTCATAAGGCTCTCTAGAAATTTCAAAACAAAAATCAGTATCTCTAGAATATGTTCTTTGTACATATGTTCAGAATATAGGACATGTTCTTTGATTCCTACTTTGGAAATTAGAAAATATATCTATGTTTAAAATTAAACAGAATTCATAGACCAAAGAAGAAATCATCTTGGAAATTTTTTGAATGACAAGGAATAAATAGTATTGGAAGCACTTAATACCAGAATTTATGAAATGTGACTAACAGATTGTGTTTAAGGGCGGGATGGTAAAAAGGCTGAAGGCTGAAGAAGATCTTGAAGTCAGACAATCTAGATTCTAGTCCTGATCCTTCCTTGTAGCAGCTGTGTGACCTTGCTAAAGTCACTTAACACCATGAGGGCACGTTTCCTTATTTGAAAATACAGGAAATACCAGATAATCTCTAAGGGTGTCAATTTGGATTCTATGATTTTGCTGTGAAATACTTTGCAAGGTTTCTTGTCTTTTATGCAATTCTGACAAATACTAACAAAATACTGGTGTTTTATTTTGGAACAGAGAGAATCTTTGAAGATCATGAAAACTTGGTTGAAAATCTTCTTAATTGGACAAGAGATAGCCAAAACAAGCTTATATTTATGGAGCGTATAGAAAAATACGCACTTTTCAAAAATCCACAGGTGAGGCTATGGCTTGCAGAGGTCAGGATTCTTAAGTGTTCATATCATATAATTTTCTGACTGCTAAGTTAATAGAGTTAAAAGACTGACAGCCACCCACTTGGAGCTTTGTGGGTGCAAAACCCCTTGGGAGAATTCACTACTGCCGAGGTGGCAAGTCTGCTGGGGCCCAAGTGTCAGGCTCACAGAAGTTGCCAGTTCCACAGCTCCAGATGTGGTGAGCCCTAGGGAAAGCAGGATTCCCCCCAGGGGGTTAGCAGGCTTCTGTTCTAATTCAGAGCCAGTTTGGACCCTGCTATTTGTTCGGTGAGTTCCTCATCCATCAAATAAATGTACTCATGTATTTAAGTTTCTCTACTTTAATATTTATCCATTTAACACTTTGATTTGTTTTCTGAATTATTTTTTTGAAAATCCCAGTAACCTTGATTATAAACAGCCCCACATTCTATTACATGTTACCTTGATCTGTTTGGTATCTTTGCTTGTCCCACAATGTTTATGTTATTTCTTCCTAATACCCAAATATTAATAAGTGAAAGACAAGAACACCACTATAAAAAATAGTAATGAGGAAAAACAGTAGCTATGTTAAAGTTATTGAATAGTTATCCTTCAGACTGCATGATCATGACACATCTTTACTGGATATTTTTAGTGAAGAATACACATTTAGGAATACCAGCAATTTTTTATGGGTGATTGTGAATAAAAGTTTAAGGATAATAATTAGAATTCAGATTTTACTTGAGTCAAGCAAATGATATCATGGTAGTCTCAGAGAATTTGGGGTTTCTTCTTTAATAGCCAGAACGTAGATTAAATTTTCTACGTCTGAATCAGTTAAGCTCAGCATATTTTAAGCAAATTTGCCCCACTTGTTGTACTTAATAATTTGTAAACCTTTAAGGTCCTGTCAGTGTAGCTTTATTAGATATACGAAAACATATTGCTAGCTGTTGCATGTAATATCTCCTCAGGATTTGGGGGAGGGCCGTTTATGGAATAATTCAAAATAAATGGATATGGTAAGGAGGAGGCCAGTATTAAGCACCTCTGTGAAGATGCCAGGAACAGGTTTCAAAAGAATGTTCCCCTCAGTCTGCATAGGCAGAAATAGACACAGAGTTGCTAATGTCTCCAGAAGAAATCATCTGTGTACCTGTGCCAGGAGAATAGTAGAGTGGATTTGTCCTTTAACATTCATCTACTCATTTTTCCAGAATTACCTTCTGGGGAAAAAGGAAACAGCTGAGATGGCAGATAGAAACAAAGAAGTGCTGTTGGAGGTATGACTCTTCCTCCCCACCCCCCTTTCCTTGTACCTTATAATTTTAAAATATTAAGCACCTTTTTTGAAGCCCAGAATGTCAGTGCTCTGTATTGATAATTACAGTTGTAACTAGCCTGATGGGGAGAGTTCAGCTTTATGAATGTTAGAACACTGAAGAACTGTATAAAAACACTTATTTTGCCGAGCAGTATACTAGTGGACTGAAAGGACTTAAGAGCTTTTAGAAGCTGACAAGTGGGGGGAAAAGGCTGGGTCAGTGAAGGGTGTGACTGTGCTGTTTTATCTGCTTAGCCAGAGAGGAATTTGTATATAGTTAGTTACTTACAAAATAGTTCAAACTTTAGTCTGAAATAACTTATTTTAAAAATCATAATGATTATTTTTTTTTAAATATACATTTCCTTATTTTGAAGATTAATGAAACAAATTCAAATATAATTGAATTTTTACCTTTTGCTGATTTTAGAGAACTAAGGTCGAAGATGTTAGTATGTTTGAAAGTCTGAAAAAGTCTTATTTAGCAACAAGACTATTAGGGGGATGAAGATCAGCACTCAGCTTTTCATAGGGAGGCTAGTTATAATTAAGAAAAATTCTCTTCATGTTTCTTAATTTTTCTGTGTTTTGGGGGGAGAAATTAATTCATGTTCATGTGTTCAAGTTTAGTGAGGATTTCTACTTTCCCTTTACTAAATACATGATTGATTTTTTAAATTCTTATCTAAGTATAGACATTAGAATCCAAAATTTTTTTAGTTTGTTTACATTCCTTTCAACTTAGTATTAAATATTTAAACAATAAATGCTTGCTTTGCTTTAGATCATAGGCACTGGTTGTTTTTAAATTGTGAAAGTGCAATCATTTGTTTAGCATGTTGCCTTCTTTTAAAATATATTCCTATTTAGCATGCAGCTAATATAAATTTGGGCTTCTCTTGTAGCTCAGACAGTAAGGAATCTGCTTGCAATGTGGAGACCTGGGTTTGATCCGTAGGTTGGAAAGATCCCCTGGGGAAGGAAATGGCTACCCACTCCAGTATTCTTGTCTAGAGAATCCCATGGATGGAGGAGCCTGGTAGACTGAAGTCCATGGAGGTCCCAAAGAGTCATACACAACTGAGCCACTAACACAGTTACTGGCTAATCTAAATGTTAATTTGGAGACAAATAAAGTCTAATGCTTATGTTAGCTCTGACGCTTTCCTTAAATTTACCATAACTATGTTTTTGCAAATGCATTTAAGTGCTGTTATGTGCAACTCAGCAACATTTTAACTTAGTTTCATCAAAACAGTTTTAGGGAAAAGTTCACAAAGATTGCCACAGTTGTTCCAAACTAAAGCCATATATGTTTGGAAAGTTCTAATTGAGGTAAAATTAGCAGCATGGTTTTTATACAAAGGTATTTTAGTTTAATCACAGTGTCAGGCATTTCACAGGGGTAGACACAACTTTGGTTTGAGAATCCAAGGAGCATGTCTTTCCCAATCATCTTCTTATTTTAGGAGTGTTTTTGTGGAAGTTCTGTAACCGTACCAGAAATTGAGGGAGTCCTTTGGTTGAAAGATGATGGCAAGAAGTCCTGGAAAAAGCGTTATTTCCTCTTGCGAGCATCTGGTATCTACTATGTCCCTAAAGGAAAAGCAAAGGTGAGTCCCTTCTGCTAACTTTAAGCTTCCTTATTATGCTGATTGATTTTAATCTGTAGTGAGCAGACTTGACACGTGATCCAGGCTGTGATTTGTTTCCATTCGTGAACATTGCCTTGTTTATTGATCTATTATAAGGAAGAGGGAACCTGAAAATGTTCACTTTCTGCTCATTCATTGGGCCCATCTCGATTCTCCTGGTGAATTTGAAACCATGCTTCTATTATTTTTAAAACTTCTGCCAGAGTTGTTTTTGTTTTTTATTGTTTGGGGGAGAATCGCTTTCCGAGCTTGTAGGCATTTCAGCCTCTTAGGTAATGTACTACTGCTGAGGGCCCTGGTGGTAGCTGTCACTTCTGTGCTTACTAGGGGCCAGCACTGTTGAAGCTGTCTACAGGGTCATCTCATCAGGTCTTTACCACCATCCTGAGAGGTACATGTTGTCCCCCCTTCTTAGCTGGCGAGGAAACACTGACTTGAGAGTTGTGGTTGAGACATGTACTGCAGGCACGGAACTGCCTGGTATGTCTTGTTCTTTCCAGAGAGCTCTATTATAATACTGCATTGTATTTAATATACTGTACTGTATTTAAAGTCTCTTTAAAATACCACCCTTTGCCAGTGAATCAGTGTTCATTATGAATGACAAGCTGGTAAGTCAAGTGGACTGCCTTTCTTGTTGCATGGTAGATTTAAGGAAGAAACATCTATAGAGAATCTCACTGTCTTGTCTTCTACAAAATAGCAGTAGTTTCTACTTGGTAAAGCTTGGTTCTCAGTTAAACACTGTTACCAGTGATACTTGCTCGTTTACACGTTAGTGTTAATCGAGTCTTTGGGTGTCTTCCCCTCAGGCCTCTCGGGACCTGGTGTGCTTTCTCCAGCTGGACCACGTGAACGTCTACTACGGACAGGACTATCGGAGCAAGTACAAAGCTCCTACAGACTACTGTCTGGTGCTCAAGGTAAACACCTATCTCTTTTTAGGAACTTTAATTGATGTTCGACGTAGAGAAGGTTATTGGACATCTTAGAATAGTTTGGGTCTCCATTGAGTGTGCTGTTTTTGCTTTATTCTGTAGTGTGTAGGTTTTTTAAAGGATTGCTGAAGGGACTTCCTTAGCAGCCCAGTGTTAGGACTTGGCACTTTTACTGCTGGGCCCGGGTTCAATCCCCAATCGGGATTAAGATCCCACAAGCCAGGAGGCAAAGCCAATAAAGTAAATGAAAGGAGAGAGGAAGGGAGGGAGGGACAGGGAGGAAGGAAGGAAAGAAGCTGTGCTGTTCCATAGCTGACCCTGGTTAGAGTGATGATACTAGGAAATGGGTACTGAATTATAAACTTTGAGTCATAATATATCAAATGGATTAGATTATAAATTTGAGACTTTCATTTAATAGCAGCCTTATTTTAGGAAAACTTAGATCAGATCCACATATGGGGTGAAGTGAGGGAAGAACATAGGTATTTGTGTATTTTAGTTCTTTTCCTATACTAACTCCGAGAAACCATCAGAGGACGCTGTGCCTGAGAGGTCAAAGTAGACTGCCTTTCATCCAGTCCAGAAATAATTCTTGTCTCCCTTTTTTCCTGAACCATCACCCTGGTAGCCCATGCATGTTTATGACCTGTTTTTAGTGATTTTTTTCCCCCTTTATCCAAACTTTTGAGTTTCTCACACTTATCATATCTGAACTTTTGAGAACTTATATTTTTACTGAATTTTATTGATAAATTGCAACATTAGGATAAGGTAGCATTAAAAAGTTCAGTATAGTTGTGGGGATGATTTTTTTCTCATTGGCTCCATCCCACATCCCCTTGGTAACTACTTAGGTCTGCATGTTTATATCATCTTTGCTTTTGTCTAAGAATTGTCACTTGGGTTTGAGAAGGTGGTTGTTTAGGGTTTGGGGGTAGAGTTTTGATTGCTTTGATAAAATTAGGTGTATTATAATGGTAACCCTTTATTAAGTGATCATTTTTGGAGAAAACTCTGTATCAGTTACAGTAGCAAATACTTTTTTTTAAGTTAATATAAAGTAGCTTAACCCACTCCAGTGTTCTTGCCTGGAGAACCCCAGGGACAAGGGTGCCTGGTGGGCTGCCGTCTATGGGGTCGCACAGAGTCGGACATGAGTGAAGCGACGCAGCAGCAGCTTAATCCAGCAGTTTTCAAAATGAGGTTCAGGGTCTCCTGGAGTCCCTGAGAACTTTGTCAAGGGACCCATGATATCAAAGTTATTCTAATAATGCTAAGAAGTTACTTGCCTTTTATACTCTTTCTCACACAGGTGTATAGTGGAGTTTTCTAAGCGGTTACATGACATGTGATGATATCTTTGCTGCTCTGGGTAGTGGAATGTGTATTTGTTACATATTCTTGCATTTGACTTTTTCTCAGCTTTAATTTCTTACAAGGTAAATATAAATGAAAGTTACCTGAGGGTCTCCTAACATGGAGGCAATAAGTGACTCAGTTGTCAGTGAGAACCCAAGTTCTTTCTGTCTTTCCCTGTTCCATCTTCTGCATATCAGCTTATTTTCAGACCGACTCACCTCAGTCACAAATGGCCACTGCCTCATATGTAGACCCAGCAAAATCCAGCAGAGGAAGAGGGACTATTTTTCCCTCCATTTGTCTTTTTTTTTTTTTTAAAGAGGAAAGAAGTATTTCCCAGGATCTCCTCCAACAGCCTTCTCCTTGAGGGTCGTCGGCCTGGGGTAACCTGCCCTCCTACCCTAATCACTGGCAAGGAACGAAGCCACCATTTTGGGTTTACATTAGTCAGAATTCACTCTCTGAGGTGAACCAGACACACTGGGGCTCTGTCAGAAAAGAGGGAGGCAGGAGAAGAAAGCCTTGGGGAAGGCAGCCAGCTGTGTCTGTTAGGGCCAGTAGTAAGCAGGACCATTGACTAGTATTTTAAGCCTTTTTGCAGCTCACAGAATTCTTAGGATAAGAATATTTTTGTTCCAAGAGTTTATTGGTTTATTTTTATAATAATGATTTGTATGCTTCATATTTGCTTCTAGTAAAGAGTGTGTGTGTGTGTGTGTGTATTAGTTGCTCAGTCGTGTCTGACTCTTTGCGACCCCTGTGGACTGTAGCCCCACCAGGCCCCTCTGCCCATGGGATTCTCCAGGCAAGAATACTGGAGTGGGTGACCAATCCTATTTTCACTAGTTGAGTGAAAGTCACTCAGTCGTGTCTGACTCTTTGCGACCCCATGGACTACACAGTCCATGGAATTCTCCAGGCCAGAATACTTGGAGTGGGTAGCCTTTTCTTTCTTCAGGGGCTCTTCCCAACCCAGGGATTGAAACCAGGTCTCCTGCATTGCAGACGGATTCTCTACCGTCTGAGCCACCAGGGAAACTCCTCTAGTAAAATAGGTTAAACCAGTCTCCATACTTCTGTTGTCTCTTTGTCTGGGAATATTTGACATATTGAACAAAAAAAACAACACACCACTGGATGTAGATAATAGTAAAGATAATGACCCCCATTTTCTAAAGAACCAGGATGGAGGGTACTGCCCTGGAACACTGTAAGCATCCACCTCACAAGTTTGATCTAGAGTCCCCATTTTCCACATATGGAAACCAGTTTAAGGGATCAGTTTGCCTGAGACCGCTCAACTGTTAGGCTTCTCTTGTGGTAAAGAATCTGCCTGCAGTGTGGGAGACCTGGGTTCGATCTCTGGATTGGGAAGATCCCCTGGAGAAGGGAAAGGCTACCCACTCCCAAGTATTCTGGACTGGAGAATTCCATGGACTGTGTAGTGCATGGGGGTCACAAAGAGTCGGATACAACTGAGTGACTTTCACTCAACTATTAGTAATTAAGACATGTCTTTTTTTCCTTATAAACTTGCACTAGCTTTTTCCTATGTAAGTATTTTTATTCTTGAACATATGAGTTCTGACAAACCAAAAAACGCTGCCACACAGGGTCCATACAAATGCAAATGTAAATATTTGTAAGGGCCTGATCCCCTTCATCAGCTTTGGGCTATAATGACTGAGTCTGAATCCTTCCAGTGAAGTGCAAGAGACAGGAAGTAGGTACACACTTATAGGAAGTCATAAAACACATTATTTGGTAATTAGTTTTTTAAAGATAATAATGAAAATAAATGATGGGAAGAGATGATTCATGAAATTTGACAGTATAAAAATAAACAGGATATATGTTGATATGTTATCTGAAAGATGTACACACTTGGGAGACATGTATATGCATGTGTAATTAAGTTCTTAAAGGAAACCCGAGTTTTAAAAATACATATACCACAATAATTGTTCGAATAGAGTCAGCTTAGCTAGGACTAAATTTTCATCCCTTGAGAAGTGAGACAAAGCAATTTAATATGTTAGGTGGGAAGGAAAAAAATGGTCAGGATTTAGGGATAGAATATGAGTTTGAACTTCTCAAACACTATTATTAATTAAAAGATGCTATAATGATAATCCTGGACGTAATAAGGTGGAGTTTATAGTCTTATTTTTTAATGTCTAGCATGTTAGTTGAGAGAATTGATTTTTCAGGTCTGTATGTATTTCCAGAGTAATAAATGGATTGTGTATATTCAATATTTTCTTCTGGCACTTGGACCAAGATGTTAGAGCATCACTTTTTAGTTACAGAATTTTAGGAATTGTCTGTCTCATTCTAATTTCTGGCATACATAGAGAAAAATGGTAGCATGATAGTAATCCAAAATTTCTTAATTCTATTCTTAAATGTTTTTATTTAATATTCAATTTTTGTGCCTTTTGTCAGAGAATGCAAACTTTCCAAATCAACATAATTTAAAAAATCAAATGATAACCTTTCTTTTTTAATAGCTGTTCATTTTGGGAGGTGGAGCAATTTCATTATATACAGTCTTAACTCAGAGTTGCTGTGAGTTCAGTTCCAGACCAGTGTAATAAAGTGAATATTGCAATAAAGCAAATTGTATGAATTTTGTGGTTTCCCAGTGAATATATTTAAAATGTGCAATAGCATTATGTCTGTAAAAAAGAAAACACAATGTACATACCTTAATTTTAAAAAGCTTTATTGCTAAAGATGCTAACCATCATCTGAGCCTTCAGCCCATTGTCATAGTAACAGCAAAGATCACTGATCGCAGATCACAATAACAAATATAATAATAATGTATAAGTTTGGAATTTTGCAAGAATTACCCAAATGTGACACCAAGGCATGAAGTGAGGAAATGCTGTTGGAAAAATGACACCACTAGACCTGCTCGAGGCAGGGTTGTCACAGACTTTCAATTTTTTCTTTAAAAAAAACAGTAACTGCAGAGTGTACCAAGGGAAAGTGCAGTAAAACGAGGCATGCCTGTATTCTCTTTGGAGTCTTTAAGAAATCTAAATGTCCAGCTTCCAGTTTTTAGCAAAGGATGTCTCCTCCATACTCACTCTTAGCTCTTGGGTGATTTTTAAAGTGGTGGAATAATAGTGTAGGGTAAAAAGGAATAAGGCAGCAGATTTAGACAATCTCACCCCTAACAGAGCAGTACAAAGGGAAGTCACTCAGTCTCGTCTGACTCTGCGACCCCATGGACTGTAGCCCATCAGGTTCCTTGATCCATGAGATTTCCCAGGCAAGTGGGTTGCCATTTCCTTCTCTGGGGGATCTTCCAAACCCAGGGATTGAACCTGGGTCTCTCACATTGCAGGCAGACACGTGTGACATTGATAGTCTAGGCCCTGGAATGAGATGGCATGGTTTCAAATACTGATTTCTTCACTTAATGATGAGCAGCTTTGAATGCTGTCTTAACCCTTTTGTCCCTCAGTTTCTTTTTATATAGTAGAAATAATAATATGTAACTCTTGGGGTTTTCACAAGGGTGGGGTGAGCTAATATATGTGAACTACTCAGCCTAAGAAGCACAAGCTAGAATCAAGAGTGCCAGGAGAAATATCAATAACCTCAGATATGCAGATGACACCACCCTTATGGCAGAAAGTGAAGAGGAACTAAAAAGCCTCTTGATGAAAGTGAAAGAGGAGAGTGAAAAAGTTGGCTTAAAGCTTAACATTCAGAAAACTGAGATCATGGCATCTGGTCCCATCACCTCATGGGAAATAGATGGGGAGACAGTGGAAACAATGTCAGACTTTATTTTTGGGGGCTCCAAAATCACTGCAGATGGCGACTGCAGCCATGAAATTAAAAGACGCTTACTCCTTGGAAGGAAAGTTATGACCAACCTAGACAGCATATTAAAAAGCAGAGACATTACTTTGCCAACAAAGGTCTGTCTGGTCAAGGCTATGGTTTTTCCAGTGGTCGTGTATAGATGTGAGAGTTGGACTGTGAAGAAAGCTGAGTGCCGAAAAATTGATGCTTTTGAACTATGGTGTTGGAGAAGACTCTTGAGAGTTCCTTGGACTGCAAAGAGATCCAATCAGTTCATCCTAAAGGAGATCAGTCCTGGGTGCTCATTGGAGGGACTGATGCTGAAGCTGAAACTCCAGTACTTTGGCCACCTCATGCGAAGAGTTGACTTGTTGGAAAAGAACCTGATGCTGGGAGGGATTGGGGGCAGGAGGAGAAGGGGACGACAGAGGATGAGATGGCTGGATGGCATCGCTGACTCGATGGGCATGAGTCTGAGTAAACTCTGGGAGTTTGTGATGGACAGGGAGGCCTGGCGTGCTGCGATTCATGGGGTCACAAAGAGTCGGACACGACTGAGCGACTGAACTGAACTGACTCAGCCTGATGCCTGGTATATACTAAGTGCTCGATAAATGCTGCTTTAAATACTGTAACAATATACTAGAGGAACAGGTTACCTCCTAAGGCACTGGTGCAGAGCCTGGATGACCAAAATGAAGGCTGTAGAAGGAATGCCTTTATTACGTGGGCAGTTTAAAAAGAATTCTTGAGGTCCTAAAATGAAGTTATCTGCAGATATTCAGTCATATCATAGTTCTCTTCAGGGTAGTATTTGGATTCTCAAGTTAGAGGCAGAGAGAAGGATAGAGGATCCTCTCTCTGATTTTCTTTGTTGTATTGATGAAAAACACTGCTTTGTACAAAATGATGAGAACACACACATAGGCTCAGGCAGACTGCTGCTACAGTTGAGCACCCATGTGTGGTAACTGCCTTCTGGGAAATAGAAGGAATCGGGGGAGGATGGTTTGTAAATCACTGTAAAGAGAGGGTATGGCGATAAAGGCTCAGAGCCATCCTGCAGCCCCTTGTTTGTTCAGATACCTGAACCCGGCCCTGTAGGTGAGGCCTCAGGGAAGCGGGAGATGAAGAACAGCTCTTTAAGCCCTAGTTGGCAACACCAGAGAAAACACTTTCAACCAGCTCATTTTATCTTCTTTATGAGCTGTGGGCCCGTCTATGTTCTATGCACGCTGTAGCCCAGCACCTACTTCAGGCAGCTGGCAGGCAGTTCTTGCCCATTAGATGTTGCTTGAATGAGTGAATGAAGTAAAATTCCCCATCCTTCTTTTATGGAAAAATACATACACCTCTGCCTGCCCTTTGCCCTTGCAAGATTGCCGTGCTGGTTTATGATGACTTATTGAGGACCTGGTCTTCCCAGGTAGCACTAGTGCAGGAGATGTGAATGGCTCAAGTTCCATCCCTGGGTCAGGAGGAGCTCCTGGAATATGAACTGGCAACCCACTCTAGTATTCTTGAAAATACTAGGGCACACTATTTCCCATGGGCACAGGAGCCTGGCAGGGCCACAGTCATGGGACCACAAAGACATGACTGAGCGAGTGGGCACACAGTGAGGACAAGGGAGCAGACTCCAGGAGAAGGCCGTGAGCCTCTTCTGTCGGGGGAGAAAGCTGTTAAGTATTGTTTTGCTAACCTGTTACTATTAGGGGCTTAATTGTTTAAAATTCCGACTGCAGCCTTCAATAACTAAATTGACTTTGATATTAAATGTTTTATCATTGGAGGTGAGCTCTGTAAAGCAATGAATAAAATGGAATAAATGGATTTACAGTTCTCTTGTCAACCAGAGGGATTGATTTTTAACAATGCAGATATACATAACTTATATTTGTGGCCAAATTTTCCTGCTGCATTGAAAACTTATAAAATTGTTTATTTTATTACTCTCATGGGTTTTCACAGCAAACATTTGGTTATAGAATTTATACAGCCTCTTGTAGTTGAACATAAATTTCGATATTTCTCCAGGGGAAATAAAATTTTTCCACTGAAAAGAGAGGTAGTAATTAACAGTCTTTAAATCCCGAACCAAGTTTTCTTCCCAGGGAACTAGAGGTTGTGGCTCAGTGGAGTTAAAATGTGTTGAGTCTATTCTTGAACTTGTACTTTGTAGCCAAGGTCAAGTCAGTCACCTCCCATCCAAGCCTCAACCAAGGTACGGGCCGCGGCAGAGGGGCCTGCAGAGCGCCGCTCGGCCCACGGCAGGGAGTGGCGCTGCCTCTCAGGTGCTGGTCCTCTGCTTCACCTCTGCCCAGGCGTTCCCCTCAGAGAGGCGCCGGAGGCTTTAGCAGAGGCGCTGTCATCTGGAGTTTTCTCATTGCATGGTTTCAGTTCATTCATTCATTTGCTTCCGTTATAGATGAAAAATTCCACTGACTTTGTTAGCTGTGGTAGCCTTCGTTCCTTTGAAGGGTAGAAGCGGTATTTTGGAGTTTTCCATGATGGGAAGGATTTTTTTTTTTAACTTTCAACATCTTGGCCTAAAATTTAACACAAGTTGCCTCCTTGTTTGTTTTGTAAAAGTACTTAGAACCCTTTTATTCCACCTTATGGATGTTTAAGAGGTAAATGATTTGGCCATTATTCCAGTGACCTGTAATTTGTCAGGATATGTTTAAGCTTTGATAGAATTTATCTCTTATTTCTCCAGGGGACTTAGTTGAGTTTTGCCTTTAATCTTGCAGCACCCGCAGATCCAGAAGAAATCTCAGTACATCAAATACCTTTGTTGTGATGACATGAGGACCCTGCACCAGTGGGTCAACGGTATCCGCATTGCAAAGGTAGGTTTTCTTTTGGTTTGATAATGGAATGATGGGTGTTTAATGATATGGTTTTGGTTGTCATTACAATTATTATTTGTTTCATATTCATAATTTTGCCAGTGTCTCAGTCTGTCAGGCCTAAGTTTCACATTTTAAGTGTCTTTTTTCCTCGGTGATGGGGATAAACTTTTACCAGCTCGTATCCAAGGAATAATACTGCTGGTGAAAGCTTACGTAGCACCAAAGTGATTTATTTTGGCTTTGGACAATGCACTATATGGTTGTCATATAGCAGAGTTTCACCTGAACAAAAGAATTTTTTAAAAAATTCACCTGCCTTGGGATTGGGGGAAAATGAATATAGGTGGATTGTGGAACATTTTTCGGGCAGTGAAAATATTTATACTCCATATGATACTACAATGGTAGATATATGTCCTTATACACTTGTCCAAACCCATAGAATGTAAACACCAAGAGTGAACCTAAGGTAACCTCAGGTGTCCATGTGAGCTAAGTGATGATAACAAATTTACTACTCTAGCAGGGAATGTTGATAATGGGAGACTCTGTGAATGTGCATGGGAAATCTACCCTCCTCTCAATTTTGCTGTGAACCTAAAAGTGCTCTAGAAAAAATAAAGTCTTAAAAAAAATTTTTAAGGACACCTTAAAGATGATATGTAGTCTTCGAAAGGATATTTAGTCACTTTTAAGTAACTGAAAATAAAATTTATTATAGACATAAAATCAAAGTTGCTTTAAAAATAACTGAAAAAATATTTATGTTGATAATGAACCTAAACAGATTCAAGTTTTAACTTCTTGCTGCCTTCCTAAAAATGAGGACAGATAAGAGTAGATTCTAATTTACTGCTGTTCAAAGAATTTTTGAAGTAGTACAGGGTATTAATTTTATTACAAACTGTGAGTCAGTAAACAGAAATGTGTCCCCCTTTTCCTGCCCCATACACCCACATCATACCCAGTAAAGTTCAGATGTCCTCATTTACTGCCTTCTATTTAGTATGGGAAGCAGCTCTACATGAACTATCAGGAAGCTTTGAAGAGGACAGAATCGGCTTACGATTGGACTTCCTTATCCAGCTCCAGCATTAAATCAGGATCCAGTTCTTCCAGCATCCCAGGTAGGTTGAAATGCCTCAAGAACTCTACTACTAACAGGAAGGTGTTTGTATAGTGACTGATAGGAGACCTGGTTATCTCAGAGTGATTTCTTTAAAACTAGGGCTATGCATAATTTCTAAATTTTAATCAGTAGGCACATATGTGATTTTTAATTTTTAGAGCAGATATTATCACCTAGTTCATAATGTTTTGAAATGGAAAACCAGTATATGAAGTGGTAAAGCCAAGAGTTTTGTTATGAAATTTATTTAAAAATCATATTGCTGAAAGCAAGTGTTGATGCACAATTGAGGATAGAAAGTTGCTTGGAAAAGAGTACTCAGAATCATCATGAAACTGCCCTCCAATCCTCACAGGTTTCCACTCAGTGGAGTGGATTTGTTTCAGTATCAACAGTTAAGGAAGCTGTTTAAGTCAAACTTTCTAAAGTTTTCAGAGGAAATCAGTAATACTAAAAAGGTGCTTATTTTCAGATTCCCATATCCTTTAAACCAGGATGCTATGATCACATCTTAAGATATAGGCTTCTTTCCCTTCAAAAGTTCCATAAATGATATCTGTATCATCTAAAAGCATAATTTTTTGTTCTAATGGCCTATATTATGAAATAATTAAGTATTTATTTGATTTAGAAGCTATATGACTAATCTCATCCCTAATAAGTAAACAGAAACACACTGTGAATGTATACATACATGGGCTAGTGTCCACATATACGTTCTTTGGTTCTGTCCACCTAGAGGGCTAGAAGCAGTGACAGCCCAGTAGCCCTGAGAATACCAAAAGCCTCAACCTCGGCTTCTCAGTGCCATTTTCCAAAACAAAGGAGTCAGGGCTCTGGTGAGTGGCTGATTCTAGGGCTGTGGCAGAGAATATATAAGATGAGCCTGGAGCATCGTGTGTTGAAGTGCTCAAAAGAACACAGGGATGGGAGTCTGTAAAAGGGACACAGAACTCAACCTACGAGAGCTCTCAGTAGCCAAAGCTAGAACAATATGAACAACAAGATAACATAGTATAGGGCTGTAATCCAGATTATAAAATAAATAGCCATCAGTCCATGGGGATGTAAATAATTGAATTAAATAAATGGAGAAGAAGAGACCAATATCCTGTACAGATTTCTAAGTGATTTATGCAGATATTCTGCCCTCAAGGAGGTAGAGCTTAACTCCCCTCTCATTGACTGTGGGCTATGCAAAGTGACTTGCTTCCCAAGAGCACAGAGTGGGGACACACAGCCTTACAGTGAAGGAGCCTGACAGTAATGCCTCAGCCAGCTGATCAGGGTAATCAGTAATATTGATGGCTTGTACCTTTGGTACCGTGTGATGAGATTGGCATTTTCCCTCCCTTGGTCTTCCTCCCCAAATCCCATAACTTCAAAGAAAAAACATCAGACAAATAAAAATTGAGAGGCATGCTGCAGAAACCCTGACCAGTATTTCTTAAAACTGTCACGGTCATCAAAAACAAGGAAAGTCTGAGAAACTGTCATAGACATGACATAACAACCATCTGTAATATGGTAACCTGGATAAGATCCTTGATCAGAAAATGGAATTGTGGAAAAACTAGTGAAATCCAAATAAAGTTTGGAGTTTAGCTGATACTGAGTATTGGTTCCTTAGTCATGACACATGGACCAGAATATTGTAACATGTTAATGAGATAAACTGGGTGCTAGGAATGCAGGAACTCTGTGCAAGCTTTGCAACTTTTCTGTAAGTCTGTAACTATTCTAAAATAAAATGTTTATTAAATTGGGAGGAAGAAACTTTTGTGGTAGTGGATTAGGAAAGGCAAAGTAAGAAGACTGTGTCACAAGTAGGGTTATAGAAAATGGAATAAGAGGAAGATTGAGAAAAAAGATGTATATTTTAAAAATTTATGCAGCACTTAATGTGAGTGCTACCAATGGTATTTTATGAAGTGATATAGTGCCTTTTACCACTCCAGAGTCATCTGTCTGTATATATTAAGTATTAGGAAGACTTTTAAATGTAAACTGTAAATCATACACATTCATGTGAAGAGAGCTCAGGAAGTGACATGCTCCAGCCTCTTGTCTTAAAGGCTGCTGTCCTAGATATTAAACTCTTAAGAAAATAGTTGATTTTATCCTCTATTGCTTCTATTTTTTACCCTGAAGATATTGTCTTAACTTTATCTAAAGGAGTTTGTGGCTATTATATTTGCATATTTTAATTTGGCTGAGCTGACTTAATAGTGCAGTCTAATCATATCCTCTCCTTACAGAGAAGTGGGACTAGCTTTAACATTTGATTCTCCGACCAGATACCAGACATTGGACTAGGTGCTCCCGTAAGGTTACCTCACCTGACTTGGCGTCCAATGAAATCATCTTTTTTAGTTCCCGCACCGTAGGTGTCGGTCAGATTCCACTATGTGCTCAGCCATTCCCAGGGCCCTTGAAATGTCTCCATGTGCTGCTTCATTGTGGTGCCAACACCCGAAGCCCTAGGAAACACACTTCTCACTTGGTGGTCAGATTCTCAGTATTGTTCATTGCTGAGATAAAAGCAGTAATCATCATGTATGGATCTGAATTCATAAGTGAGAAGTCTCTGAGATGGCCTGGAGCCAGGATTATATAAAAAGGTGGATTCTCCAGTTCTAATGAGATGGATGAAACTGGAGCCCATTATACAGAGCGAAGTAAGCCAGAAAGATAAAGACCATTACAGTATACTAACACATATATATGGAATTTAGAAAGATGGTAACGATAACCCTATGTGCAAAACAGAAAAAGAGACTCCTATGTATAGAACAGACTTGTGGACTCTGGGAGAAGGCGAGGGTGGGATGTTTCAAGAGAACAGCATTGAAACACGTATATTATCTAGGGTGAAACAGTTCACCAGCCCAGGTTGGGTGCATGAGACAAGTGCTCGGGCCTGGTGCACTGGGAAGACCCAGAGGGATTGGGTGGAGAGGGAGGTGGGAGGGGGGACCGGGATGGGGAATACATGTAAAAAAAAAAAAAAAAGATACACTATGGTTGTGATAAAAAAATAAATAAATAAATTTAAAAAAAAAAAGATGGATTCTCAAGTATAATGAAGATATGATTTTAAAAAATCACTCTTCTAATTGATTTCCTTACTTGCTAGGAGTTCTTACAAGGTAGGTTGTCAGGACACCACATGTGACATGGACCTTTTGTTGTAGTTATCAGTTTCTCCTGGTGAGCAGTTTAAAAAGAATTGAGATCTCCTATTTGCCCTAGGGCGAGAGAGGTTGTCTAGTGGAAAACACGGGCTGTGTCTGTGGGAAATGGGTCAGGTAACAGTAAGTTGCTGCCGTTCTGCATCGCGGCTAATCTCGAGTGAAAGCTTTATACAGACGTACATATTTATACTGTCACAGTACTTACTTAATCTGGCTTTTGAAATGTTTCAGAGTCTCAGTCCAATCACTCCAGTCAGTCTGACAGTGGACTGTCTGACACCCAGCCGGCAGGACACGTCCGCTCCCAGAGCATGGTGAGCTCCATCTTCTCCGAGGCCTGGAAGCGAGGCACCCAGCTGGAAGAGCCCAGCAAGGTAACGCTCGGCCCAGGGCAGAGGGGAGGCCTCTTAGTGTTCCGGTGCGGGGCGGGGAGCGCGCTGCTCTTTTATTCCTTCATTAGGAAGGTTTCTTGGCCTAATCTCAGTATCTTTTCTTTGCTTCTCAGAAATGGATATTTATGAATTGGCTCTGATGATCTAAGATCTCAAAAAAAAAAAAGAAAAAAAAACCCACCTAGCAGTTTTATCAGTGGCTCAGAATTTTAAGAAATAACAATCTCCTCCTTTCCTGTTAATTTGGATGGAGCAACAGCACCCTCTAGCGCCAAAGCCTTGCTGTTGTTCCAGAGAAGCTGCTACGAGTTATTACTTCATTGGCTATTAACTTATTCAAACTCCTTTTCTTTTATGCTTTTTGGCATTTCTTTGCACATTGATAAATTTTCCTCAATTTACGGTTTATGTGAAAGACTAAATTCCAATTAATCCCCTTAAAATACTGGCCCCCCAAGCCTTGCATAGAAGGTTGCTCATTGACGCTGAAGGACAAGTATAGTCATTGCAAGGCTGCTTAGACGCAGAGAGGGCCTTTGGTTCCCGGTGGCAGGCGTCTCTGCTGTCCGGTGGGCCGTGGCATCCCAGCTCTGCCGCTCCCAGCGGCGCAGGCACATGCCGAGGCCGGGAGCCAGGAGCTCGCCCGGTCTGGCCATTCTGTTTTCATCCAAAAATCATTCTGATTTTTGTTTTTCTTCTCTGAATCACTCACACAAATACATTCAGTGAGAGTTAAATGGCTATTTCCCCTCAATTTATTCCTTTATTTCCATATGTGATTGATTAACTGGACTTGGGGAGGGTGGAGGAGGCATAGGTAGCCCAGTGTGGGGGTGGAACACCTTCTCTTAGGAATAAATATTTGAGAATTGGTGCTAATAACCTGAATTCTCAAGACAAGGACAGTTTAACCCCCTTATCAGAGGCTCAGACTGTTAAGGAATTTTTTTCCTTCCCATATTTAATCAATTTGAATGGAACAGCACTATCTGGTGCTGATATTCCATATACATGGCAGAGAAGCTGCGCTTACAAAATTCAGGTGCCTAAAGATGAGTCCTTTACCTTACCGAACTTAATTTTAATGGTGTCATCCACGTGCATTTTAAACTGTGGAACTGGCCAACTGTTAGGAGAGAGGCCAAGGGAAGCAAAGGGTCCAAGCGGTCTGTGACCAAGCAGCAGAGCACCTCATGGCGCGTAGTTTCAGAAAGACCATGAACTCACCGCACAGCACTGACACTGTGCCCGAGTCCTGACCCCTGTGTGTTTCTTCTTGTTACCACAGTCTCAGGTGCCAAATGAGGAGGCCAGCACAGCTAAGGTCTCCACCCCTGCAGCAGCCAGGACAGGGTCAAGTTAAGGTCAGGGGCTGTTCTTGGAAGCACATTAACCTGGGTGACTCCTGTAACCAGATCTTACAAACTAATGCTTTATTTGGATGTGCAGTTATTAAAGGAACATGTGAATGACCTGATGGACACTAGAACTCAGCACTGTCATGAGCCTTCTAGTCTACTAACCTAAGCATTCCCAGTGCTCATTAGATGTCATTCAGAATTGGAAACAGATGGTTTATCTTGGATCCTCACAGTTTGTTCAAAGAGCCCAAAAGATATACCTAGAGTTACTAAGCCAAGAGTCCTTCCTCTGCTTTCAGAAGCACTTGAACCACATTCATGCATGAGTAGCTCTATAAAATAAATGACTGGGTGTGGTACTTTGGGCCATGCCAAGAGGTGCTCAGATGGGCTGGTCAGTAGTTGTTGGCAAACTAGCTCCTGTGTCTTGATACATTTCCTTTAGCCTTCCAAAGTTTCCTCTCATTTTCTTCTGGCTTTTTCTGTATGGTATTTTTATGATCCTTAGCTGTAATGTTTATGAAGCATTTCTTTATGTATTTTCCAGTAAAACACATGTAAAGAACACCCCCCTTTACCTGCATTGCTGGACTTCTGTGCATGGTGGATGCAAGTGTCTCACGGACACGAGTGTGTGTGCCAAGCTCATTCATTGCTGTGTGACTGTGCACGCCTGCTGAACATTCTCATACTCATACCGCTCACTAGCATCAAAAAGCCATCCTCATTCTTCTGAAGGCCCTCCACCAGCTCTCCTAAACCCAGTTATGGCATCTGCTTGATGTGGATGCAGTCCTGGACCGAAAGGTGAACTCCAGTCATCACATCTCCCTCTGCCACAGTCCAGGGGCGGTCCCATGCTCCGAGGCCCTGGCGCTCGCCCTGGGGCAGGGCATGTGAAAACCAGAGGTCAGAAAGCATCATCCAGACAGACTTGCTGCAGGAAATTATCCCCAGGTAGTTAAGCAGTCTAGGCATTAGAGAAGATTGTTAGGTAAACAGATTTTCTCCCTGCCCTTGTTACCCAGGGAGTTGGACTTTAGCCTTCCTGCCATTGTCCATCTTTACCATCACCAGCAGCTGCATCCTTTCATGCATGTCTCTGATTCCTAGCTTTTTAGTTTAACAATCAAATCTTAACCTCTGTAACTGTTTTGTTTGTTGTGTTTTCTCTCTCCCAACCTCCCTTTTATACTCCTTTTAGGCCAGAATGGAGTCTGTGAATCGACCCTACACCTCACTCATGCCCCCTTTATCCCCACAGCCCAAGCTAGTCACCCCCTACACGGCCTCACAGCCTTCACCACCGCTCCCACCCCCACCCCCTCCGCCGCCCCCGCCCCCGCCCCCTCCGCCGCCCCCTCCCCCTCCCCTGCCCAGCCAGTCCGCCCCGTCTGCGGGCTCCTCAGCCGCGATGTTTGTCAAGTACAGCACGATCACCAGGCTGCAGAACGCCTCCCAGCATTCGGGAGCACTCTTTAAACCTCTCCCTGCATCAGGCATGCAGCCCTCCACCTCACTGTCAGTGAAGCCTCAGATCCTGGTACCCCCCAATGGAGTGGTGCCGCCCCCGCCGCCCCCGCCCCCGCCCCCCACCCCCGGCTCGGCTATGGCCCAGCTGAAGCCCGCCCCCTGCACCCCGTCCCTGCCCCAGTTCAGCCCCCCACCTCCTCCACTGAAGATCCATCACATCCAACACGGCACGCAGACAGCTCCTCCAGCGCCCCCACCTCCTCCCGTCCCTGCCCCCCTGCCTCCCCAGGCCCCCCCCAAGCCCCTTGTGACCTTGCCCCCCGCAACCAGCACCAAGACGGTGCCCCCCGCAGTGACGCAGTTGCCACCCACACCTACTCCGCCAGTCCCCCCAGTAAAAAAGCAGCCGGTTCTTCCTGTGTCTCACGTTCCACCCTCTCCCCCTGTTCCTCCGGGTCCGGTGCCCCCGCCCACGCTACCCAAGCAGCAGAGCTACAGTGTGAAACCACCCCCCTCCCCGCTGTCCCCAGCGCCCTCCGTGGTGAAGCAGATAGCCAGCCAGTTCCCCCCACCTCCAGCCCCACCTCCCGCCGAGGGGCTGCCCTTAAAGCCCGCCTCGGTCAGCCTCGCCCCACAGTCCCCCCCTGCCGTGAAAGCGAAGCCCAAGTGGCAGCCCAGCTCCGTCCCAGTCCCTTCTCCGGACTTCCCCCCGCCTCCCCCGGAGAGCAGCCTGGTGTTCCCTCCGCCCCCACCGCCCCCCGCCCCGGCCCCGCAGCCGCCGCCGCCGCCACCACCGCCGCCAGCCACACCCACAGCGGCTCCTGCCCCCGACAAAAGCAGCTCTCCCGGCAAGAAGACCAGTAAAACCTGCAGCCCCGGGGGAAAGAAACCGCCCCCGACCCCGCAGCGCAACTCCAGCATTAAGTCCAGCAGCTGTGCGGAGCACCCTGAGCCCAAGAAACCCTCAGTAGACAGTCTAATCAGCAAGTTCGCATCCCCAGCCGAACCCTCGGGGTCTCCCGGCAAGGAGACCCCACCACCTCCAGCAGCGCCCCCCAAGCCAGGAAAACTCCATCTTTCCGGAGTTAACCTTCCCGGGGTGCTCCAGCAAGGATGCGTGTCCTCGAAGGCGGCTGCGCTGAGCGGGCGCGGCAAGGACTCGACGGTGGAGTTCCCTTCTCCTCCGTCCGATTCCGACTTCCCACCGCCTCCGCCAGAAACCGAGCTTCCTCTGCCCCCCATCGACATCCCAGCAGTGTTCTCAGGAAGCACCTCTCCAAAAGTGGCCGTTGTTAACCCGCAGCCGCAGCCCTGGTCCAAAACGTCGGTGAAGAAGGCCCCTCCGCCCACACGACCCAAACGGAACGATAGCACCCGCCTCACTCAAGCAGAGATCTCGGAGCCGCCAGCCACGGCCGCAGTCGTGCCGCAAGTGCCCACCTCGCCCAAGTCCAGCCTTAGTGTCCAGCCTGGCTTCCTGGCTGACCTCAACAGGACACTGCAGCGCAAGTCCATCACCCGGCACGGCTCGCTCTCCTCCTCCCGCGTGTCTAGAGCTGAGCCCACGGCCACCATGGATGACATGGCATTGCCCCCGCCACCCCCCGAACTGCTTTCTGAGCAGCAGAAAGCCGCTTACGGAGGCAGTCATATATCAGGCTATGCAACGTTGCGGAGAGGACCGCCTCCCGCTCCCCCCAAGAGAGACCAGAACACCAAGCTCTCAAGAGATTGGTAGCTATCGTAGGATTTTATTTTCATGCAATCTGTAATCAGTTCTACAATCAGCTCACCTGATCATCTGTGAATTCAGGTGTTCAGAGCCTCCTGGTATGTCGTCGTTATTCAGGTAGTGTTCAGCTCTATGTGTGTGTATACATGTGCGGGTACACACATAGCTATACATATATAGATAGGTAGCGTGTGTATGTATATATATGTATACATATATCTATATGTATATATATAGCTGAAAGTGATTCTATTTATTCTTTTTCTCTCCTAATCTGAAAATGAGTTTTGTGTATTTTGGGTGGCAGCGGCATGGAAGGGGATATATGTCTTGTCCCTTATGATTTCTGTTATCTATCATTTGGATTGGACCAAAAACTTCAGACTTATTTAGGAGGTATTTTATAAATGTCCATGTGTGGCCTTTCAGTGCATGTTGTGTATTATATATTAAGATAGATGTATAATGTGCTATTTCTCAGTTTGAGGAGACAACCAGAATGTTTGGTGTATCTATGGGCTTTTGTGTTTTTTCCCCCAGTTGGCTGAAGTTAGAACTGCTTGACACTTCATTTCTCTACATAAAGGGGCACTTTAATTAGGAATCAGTTTCATAGAACGGGTCATAGTGCAGGGCGGGGAAGTTTTCAGACACTATCAGTGTGTGGTTGTGCATAGAAAACAATAACTATGTGGTGTGACTAAACCATTCTAGTTGCAGTACTGCTACCCCAACGGAATCTAGACTGCTCTATCACAGGTAAGCTCTTTGCCTGTCACAGTGCTGTTATCCTGTAGTTCTTTCTGTACTGTTGGGATCCTTTCCACGAGCTTGTGAAGCTCCATCAAGTTGGTTTCATGATCCTTGCTTTGATTTATTGTAAGAGACTATCCAACATGATACCCTAGGAATGCTCTGTCCCGGCGTGTCTTTGGGTCAACAGTTACCTCCTTATAGTGTGTGCTGTGAGTGGGTGCTGATATTAGGTATCCATAGACAACTGCTATATCAGATACTCACATCCTTTGTCCGTTATGTTGCATCATCATGAACAACAAAATCGCCTTCTGCAATGCGTATTTTCTGTGTTGCGGCCTGAAGGATGGATTAGAGGACGAGACGGGCCCCTGTGCCGCTGTCATTAATTAGGGTTTGTAGCTAGTATGTGCCATAAGAAGAATTCATTTAAGTAGGGGACTGCCATGGGGGGCGGGGGGGAGTGAGTGTTTTGACGATTTCATCCATAGTGACCGGAGCACACGAGGGTCCTTGCTTGTTGTAGCCCTGTTGTAGAGACTTATCCAAGTTACCAGGCATTCTGATGGGAGTCTGTAGTCCAAGGACAGTAGTGACATTACATACTGTGCACATACAGTTTGGTGCAACATGGAACCATTGCTCTGACGACACTGTAATTCCACATGCTTCACACTGTACTTCTAGATGTTTTATTTTCCCCTCTGAACTTTCCTTGGTATTTGAGAAATGTGTACTGACTTAGCAATTTGTGATGATAAATTGACTGTTAGGCCAACCTTAGAACTGCTCTTAAATGGGAGAATAAAAAGTACCTCCCCAGCAGTGATAAGTCAGCACACCTTGTAATGAACATCTTTGCCTGTTGTGAATAGGGATCACCAATGCAACTGCAAGTGTTCGACCCTATCCCTAAGGAAAAAGTGATGTCCATGAAGTGGGACAGAGATGGTAAATAATTCAAGAGTTAGCAAGACTGTGCTGTGTACACAGGATTTCTCACTCTGCAACAAAGTACTGCATCGGAGAAAGTGGAAACCGCCCCCCCACATTGTAACATCTCCAGGATGTGATAGTATACTCCTGTTTATAGAGCAATAAGAATATATACCAGTGTGCATTTGTTATAGCCCTGCTCCTTTAAAAGATACTTTTTTAGATGTTTCAGTTCACAAAGTTTTATGTGCTTGATATTCTTATGGTTATGAAGTGACCTTTACCACATCTATATTGTTCATTTAAGCATGCACTGCGATTTGAGTACATTTGAGTAACACTGCCAAGTGCCACTGTGACTCACGAATGAAGTGATTCCCCAGTCTTCTGCCTGCAGCTTTATCTTCTAAGGATCCCCCTTACTTGTGAGATAGAGGACTTTGAAGACTCTGAATCCAGTGGTATAAATGGTCATCACTAGGGTTTTTTACTGTGGTGGTGGTCTCTTACATGAGGATGGACAGCTCTCCCTGAGGGAAGAAATCATGTTTCCTCCGTCTTCCTTCACTCCTGACTGGAGCCGTAAGATCCAACCTTTTTTTTCAGCGGGGGATTTCCTGGGCCTTGTTGCTTGTGTCAGTCCTGACGGCAGCCATCCTGAACCGATGCTTCTTCTAGTGTATCATTTTCCTGAGAGAGCAGACATCCTTTAGAACACCAGGAGAACACAGCCAGAGAGGAGCTGTCAGTGGCTTGGTGACTATCTGACAACAGGCTGTAGCCCTTTACATTTCTCCAAAGACAAGGCTATTAATCAACTATTTTTCCTCTTTATGTGAAACAACTGAATCGAGAAAAAAAAATTATATTTTAGATATACTTCTAATGTTTTACTTCCTAGGTTTTTTTTTTTTTAATTGGGATTTTTGGTGGGATGTGGTTTGGAGACTGCTGTTGTTTTGGCTCTCTTCTTCCCCGGTGTGTTCAGGAAAAACACTGCCAGATGACACAGTACTGTGCCTTCTTCCACAGGCTTCTGCTCAGGTCCGCTAACCCAGCAAAGCTTCGCCAGGGCAAGGGAGACAATCTTGTCAGCTGGCTTGGCTGTACTGAAAAATCCATAGTATCCTGCTGTTGAGGGCAGTGCAGACAGGTGCCTGTTAAGAGCCAGTGACTTGCTAATTAGTGACATCCTTAACTTTACCACAAAATTTCAAAATTAGATCCAACCTATGCTTAAAGTTTTGGCAACAAGTCTGAAGGGCAGCAAAGCCTATTCTGTTAAAACATTAAGTTCATAGTTATGTTGGGTTATTCTATATTGAAGCTTGGCTTTTATCACCCAAATACTTTTTTTTTTTCCCTTAGCTGCTGCAGAATTCGGCTCTTGGAAAAAGTAACTACTCTTAAGGTTTACAGGTACCCACTTCACTGTAAATTGGGTGTTTTTTTTTTATTTCTGGGGCTTTTTAAGATAAGATTGCTGATTCTTCACAAGTTACAGGAAACCATTTTCATCAGAACATCTCAGAGGAACATCCCACAGACTGTCCCACAGTCCTCGGACATCAAGGTGCTCCTGCCCCCTGCCGGCATAGCCTGCTAAGGAAGGGCTGCGAACTATCTAGGCAGTCCCATCTCCATGTAAGTTTACTTGCCACTAAAAGCAGTCCTGAGGAGATCAAAAAGGTAAACAGAATTGGGGGGATCATGAAGAATAATTCCAATAGATTAACAACTCCGAGGTCAAGGTTAATAGGAGCTGTGCATCCAATTAAGAGTTTCAGAAGCTGCTATTCTGGGAGAATACAACTGCTAATAAGCTCATGTCAAGGATGTTAGGCTATAAGGAGCCTGAAAAAAACTTCAGGTGATGGATTGATTTGACTATCATCGGGCCACCAACAGAACCCCTTGTCACTCTTTTTCCCACAGCTAAAAGCAATTTTATGTTACAGACACAAGGTGATTTTAAACAAGAAAACCTTTTCCTAGTTTTCTATATTACCAAACTGTTTCATGTAGGTTTTATGTAGTTAACTTTAGAACTAACAATTTATAGCTTATGTAATCTCATAACCTCACGGATTTTGTTTAAACCAATTAAAACTGTATGATCCTGTGATTATAGGTGTAATGACTTCCTTTAAATAATTTGGATTTGTACACTTGTAAGAGGATGTTTATTGCTAAAAATCACTTTAGGTTGCAGGAACCTTTTGGCACTTGAAGTTTTGTTTTATACACTTCACATTATTTACATATAGCAAGTTATTCCTGACCCTATAGGAATGGTTGCCCACTCACAAAATTGAGATTTGATCCATGGAGAGATGCAAGTAGTACAGAATTAAGATTTATTTTCCTTTAAAAATTGAATGGAAGACCATTGTTATCTCTTTACTAGTCTCCCTCAAAGTAAACAAGTGTTCAGTTCTTAATTGTGCCCTTAGAAGGTCTATATGTATAAGAAATCTGAAATTTAGCTATAGAATACACTTGCTAAGTAAAAATAAGCTAAACACAATATACTTGATAAACATGTGAAGGAAATAATCTCCAATTGGTTTGCTTTTTGCTTGTTGAAGTATAAACCATTTAGAAAACATCTATAATTCCCAGTGCCTTGAACTCTCTTGGAGGAACAGCATAAAAAAAATCTAACAAGCAAACTTTGAGGTGCTAATGAAAGAAGGAAGGTGTTTCTAGTTGGTGCAGAAACAGAAAAAGTGACTGTCTCACAAGAGATGGCTTCATCTACCTAATCAAGGTCTGGCTGCTTTCTACCAAAGACATTTAGACAAGTGAGTCAAGTCAGGGTGATGGTGAATACTACATATTTAAAAGATGGCCAAGTTCAGAATGAATGTTGAACATGGATGGCTATTAATACCAAGCTCATAATTGAAGCCTCAACCTCTTCTTAGGCAGGACATGCTTGTGGCACTTAAACAAAATCTGCAAACTGTCCATTGTTAAGTTTATTGTAACCTAATACCAAAAACTGCCATTTTTCATGATTACCACCTCCTATATTTCTCTACTTGTAAATAATTTCTCCTAGGGGAAAAAAAAAAAGCATTAACTGGAATGTTTCATTAATTTTATTGTCAGCCACTAGTGAACTCCTTTTATAGAAATGTACATTTAAAATATCAGCTTGTGTAAATGTCGTAAAAGCATTGTTTACTGTTTTAAAGAAAAATTGCACATTATATTTAACTGAGATTGCTCCCTCTCTTCCCATTTCTTAAAAAAAAAAAAAAAATATGGAGTAAAGGCTCATGCTAACATCCAGGCTGTGGGAGCTTTGCCATAAATATATACAATGTAGGAATATAGCTTTTTAAAGCATGAAAAAGGCAAAAGGAATTGCATTGAAAGTACAGGATAGAGGACATTATTCAGATGATTACGCACAGCTCGGTAAAGATGAAGTTACAGTTTTTCTTTCAGCTTTGTTGCTATTATTTTCTTCTACTTAAATGTACACTCATTTCATTATGTGCCTTGCTCCCTGATTGTGCAAACCTATATATAGATATATATATGAGAGATATATTCAGTACTACTGACGATGTTTTTGTTCTACTGCTGGATTAAGTTATTTTCCAAGTTACTTATTCTTGCCAAGTTACTGTCAGTAAACTATTGTAATGGCTTAGGACAGTAGTCATGCGGTCAGTGTAATTTACGTGTTTCCATTATGTCAGCTTATCCAATCCTTAATAAAAAGAATACATAGATTCATTTAAACGTCTAAACTGTACTGGACTGTTTGTGGATCGGCACCATAAGAACCTGGTTTTGCTGTTTATGTTGAGGTACCCAAAACAGATTGTAACATGCACATAAAGCGTGAAGATAAACTATAATTTGATGTGTTCAACTGAAAATATTTTTACCCCTTTAAACAACACAGCTAAGAACTAGAACAAAAAAGGCTGCTTTTTGTTTGAAAGTCTTGGTATCACAATCATGTGTTGCACTGCCATGTCAAGGTATGTGTAAGCGTGGATTCGAATGTATTTACAATCATGTTGCTGCTGCTGCGTCGCTTCAGTCGTGTCCGACTCTGTGCGACCCCAGAGACGGCAGCCCACCAGGCTCTGCCGTCCCTGCGATTCTCCAGGCAAGAACACTGGAGTGGGGTGCCATTTCCTTCTCCAATGAAGGAAAGTGAAGTCGCTCAGTCGTGTCCAACTCTTGGCCACCCCACGGAGTGCAGCACGCCAGCACTTGTAACTTACACCCAGTGGTGAGGATTGCGGGCTTTACTGGTGTGGCTCAGGTTCACTCCCGGGTCAGCGAACTGAGATGCTGCACACGGCGCGGCCAAAAAGGTTACTTGCAGAAATACGCTCTCAAGACATTTGGTACACCTTGTAGGATTTTATTTAGGCCAAGTTCTTAGTACACAGCAACAATTAATTTCAAAAACAGTTTCAAAATTAAAAAGTGAAATGTCCCCCCAACTCATCTGGAGGTGGTTTAATGCACACACAAGAAACGTTTCTGGCAACAGACGCTCCTCAGGTTTCCTACCTCTCGTCCTTACTGAAGGCGAGACACCAGCCCTCCCTCCGGGAGCTGCGGGCACAACTGGCCAGGTCACAGATTGTTTACATTCTTTTCTGTAAACTATTTTGTTAAGAAAAAGATGCATGGACACAAAATATGATAAAAACTGCTCTTCCATAGAATTCTGAAGTTGCAAAAGACGTTTCCATTTTAATGTGAAAATAAGCTTTTTGTCTGCTTTTTGTTTAATTTTTTTACAAAAAAAAAACCTCAAGATATTTAGCAAGGATCATTTATACACAGGCCCTGTCATTTTTTTATTTGTCAATTTTTTTTTAAAGTATGAGATTCTCAAATCAACAAAGCTCAGCACAAAATAAACTTAAGGTAATGAGCGCGTTGCCTCCATTCAAGAACTGTTTTCTAAGGCTCTCTCAGATAAGGCTGTGCTGCTCCCTCCAGTGCTGAGACACTACCATTTTAACATACACCTAATGAAAAAGACTTTGTACTGAGTGTAGTTTCAAAAGGGTTAAAATGGAGATGACTTTTACTAATTAAGGCTGCACTCAATACACTCCTTTAAACAACACTTTGAATTGTATTAATTGAAACTTAGTGTTAACTTTTCAAGTATCTTCCTGAAGACATCAAGTAGAACTTTAAAACAAACATATAACACAATTAAGACATGGCAGAAAGAGTACCAGGCGCTGAGTCAGGGATTCTACTGTTGTTAACTAGCTGTTACCTGAAATGAAACGTCTAACCTCATCAGTAAAATGAGACTGAACTAAAATTTCTGAAATCTCATCTAGCTCTAAAACTCTTTAAGTAAATCACGTGAGGGAAATTATCACCTTAACACTGATCAGGAGTTTCTGGCCAAAGAAGTTCGGAAGCAAACAGATGAGAAGTGATGCGGATCCCCATTCTTTTCCAAGATGTGTCAACCACCTGCTAGCTCCTCCATCAAAGCCTTTTCCAAGAGAGAGGTGGCCTTCAGGTCATGCCATGCTCTCTCCATGGAGAAAGAAACGTAAAGAAAAAGTACCAGTTCTTAATGCAGAATGGTCACCTGCTAAAAGAAAGTGAGCATAAAAGGATAAAAGCACACTGTCATTTTCATGCCTCTCAGACAGAAAAATCTTAGTGATCATGAGATTGCTGAGGCACACAGCTACATTACAGAGACCACTGTGAAGACACAGAAAAGTCTCTCTAGCTGGGTAATAAACAGCAGCAGGAGGGGAAGAGGAGGAAGGAAAATGTCTCACGCAGTGACTCTTAGGAACACAGCAAAAGTTAGCAGGTCCTTAACCCTGTGGTAGGAATAGCAGGTGTCCTGGAGAAGACAGAAAAGCAAATCGACAAGAGATGGGAAGTACTAAACAAGACACTGGAAGGGGTTCATAGTATTTGAAACAACAGGCTCAATCTCTCAAATCTAGATTTTGACATGTTGACAAGATTTAGGTTTTCAATTTATTGCCTAGGTCATAAGGTCAACAAGAAAATATGCTTTTCATTGAAATCCCCATGGCCTGTCCAACAGTAATACTTTTAAAAAGGGAACAACTTGTAAGTCAAATCCCTCTTTTTTTTTTTTTTTTAAAGGCAAAAGGGAGTGGACACAAGTCAAAAACACTTCAGGAGGAAATGGACCTCCTCTAGCCCAAAACAATGGTTGCTTACTGGTCAGCAGGTTTCATACCTGAATCACCTCTGCCACAATACTATGTAGCATGTAAGATTTCTGCACTCGTTTAGAATTCCTACTACCAACCATCTTGTAGTTTATTTTTACAATGGGGTGAACTTACAATAAAACAAATACTACCCTCACAGACTATTAATAACATGCAGTCTATGAAATATTAAAAGTCTCCAATGACTTTAAGCCTGGCCCATCATCATTACATAGTATCCTTCCAAAACAATATACAGAATTTAAAACTGTACAAAAAACATAAAATATGCAGAAAATCCAATAGGTGTTGTTTTTAAAACCAAAAATGACACACACATTAGTACTAAAAAATATAGGAAAAGTCAGCTGACCCAGGGATCCCTGTGCTGCAGGTCTTCCATAGTATCTTCTCAGCTCCCCGGTCCAGCAGGGGTCCAACAGGCAAGCTGACCACCACCACCTTTTTTTCCTTCACCACCAACTTTGTGCGCACAGTTGTCTTCTGGGCTTCTGAAGGTGGGAGCTGTGGGAGCCATTTGCTGGATTTTGAAATACCTTCTGCTTTATTAGTCCACTAAGCTTTCTCAGCAAAAAACTATTTAAATAACTTTGAACATCTAATTTCAAAACAGTTTTCCTAGTTACACACCAACACTAAAAGAGTTTAACCTCTCCAAGTCTAGTCTTGGTTGCATCCATAATGAAGCTGAAGGCTCAGAGGACACTCAAGGGCCATTACTTTGAAGAAAGACAGGGAATTAAGAGTATCAAGGTGACCTAACGAAGTATGAAGTGTAATTTACAGTGTACTGGAGGCAAGTTAATGAAAATGAAATGCAGTCTCCGGGAAACCTTTGCTAACTACAATGTGTGAGGGAAAAAACCTGCAACTTTGAAACAAAATTCTTAAGGAAACACTATCTGGGTCTCAGCTACATGGTGATGAGTTTTGTGCTCTGATAATAGATTCATAGGTAGAGTATTAGCTCTGTCTGCACTCCCTCACACCTACTACACTTGCTCACTTTTCAGTCACGTTCCTCACCTGCGCTATCATGTTCAAGGCCCATGTCTGAAAAACATGCAGCTGCCGCCTCTCACCTCTCACCCAGCACGGGGAAGTCACCTGGCAAAGCTCTCTTCCGGCCAGGTCACTGAGACCAGGAAGGACCCGTGGCAGCTTTGGCCTGTGAGCTGGCGCATCACCATGGTATTTACCTGCCGAACAGCCCGGCCTCCTGGATTTTTTTCAGTATCTATTACACAAGAGATGACTAAAGTCATCTGCCTTCCAAACTCCACTGAATTCAAAGCTGTAATTGTGCAGATGAAGGGAAAAGAAAAAAAAAAACTTGGATAAGCACTTGGCCTTATACCACTCATCCCACTATTCTTAATCTGAAATATAAGGTTCAGATTCTCACCAAGAGCAGCTATGGCAAAGGCCAAACACACAGAATCAGGGGAATAGTTATCTTTTCTAAGTGAGTAAACAAATTCAACAGCAGCTAACACTTGCCATTAATAACATTCAGAGAGCACAGGAGCAAGCCTTTTATTCCCAGTGACTCTCAAGAGAATTGAAAATAAACTATTAAAAAAATTTTTTTTGTTTGTTTCCTAAATAGTGAAAGAAGTAAAGTAATAGTTGGTCTGACCCCTCTAAGATCCTACTCCTCAAAACAGCACCTAAGGCCAGGGTTTAGGAACTGAACCTAGTGAGCAGGGCACTTCTACTGTTCACCTCTCTAGAACCTCAGGAGCCTTCCTGTCTACCTCGGCATGCCCACCTGAGCCCCTGAAGCCGGCCGCACCGTCACCCCTGTGGGCACACAGCCAGCAGCAGCAACGCAGTCTCGCAGCAGCAGCCCAGTAAGACAAACCACCCTCAGAATGGAGACGCAAATTGATCTCATAATCTACGAACTGAGAAACATGAAGGGATGCAAGTCAGCTCAACATTAACTTGTTCGGAGCACTCAAGTGCTGAGAAAATGCAGAATTTACAGTGCTGAAGAGGAAATAGGCCATCTGAAACAGTTACAAAAATGGTTATGTATGATACTTAAATATCGGTTCCCCCTCCTCATACAAGTGGAAGCAAGTGTGGGGCTAGGGCACGCACTGGGCCACGCGGCTAACCTTTAGCTCAGGCACTGCAGGTCATCCAGTGCCACAGATTCTGCAGGAGGAGAAATCCCAAGGGTGTACAATATTCCTGAGAAAGATCCCAGATTTTTTTTCTGAATCAGTCTTAACCTGATTTGTTTCACATAGTTACGCTGTTATACCTCTGATATATTCAGAAACCGTCACTTTATTTCAATCCAAACAGCTCAGCATAGTATAAGTGATGGCAGAAAGATCCATTTGTTCAAATTCAGCTTGCTTTTTTGTTTTAATACTGAGGGATAAACCAAAAAAAAAAAAGGTAGCTTTTGTCATTTGTATCCTTCATTCATTTCACTGGAGGGGAATCCCCAGGGCCTTTCGATAATCTGGGAAGACCTGACTATTCCTGTGAGGGAGACAGCCCTGCTGAGCTTTACTCAGAATAATGCATGATAGACTCCACGTAATTCCCAGGAAAAAGCCCAGTCACTCCATTCATAACTCCCTCATACCAACCATCGTCATTCTTCTTGATGACATAAATAATGGCTCCTTCCTGAAAGGATAGCTCATCTTCCTTGTCTTTTGTATAATCATAAATTGCCACAACTAGAGGAGGGAAAAAAAAGGATATTAAAGAAGATAACATTCATAGAAAGGTAGAACCAAATAATGAATACCCTTCCCAAACTTCTGCAACACATCAAAAACTGACTTTCTCAACACAGGACCTGCCCCGCCCCCCACCTCCACGTTCACTGTCTAATACCCAGCCTCTACAGTGGAATTCCATGTTGAAGTTAGGTTCAAAACTTCATAAATGGCAAAAAGTAGTGGTTAGTCAAACTTACTGATCAGTCTTGTTGAAGAGATACACACAATCCCAGAATGGGGAAAGATGGCTGTTTCTTCAGTAGAGCTTGTGTTAAAGCACCATATTACGTAAAAACATGTATCTTTAAACACTGGAATGATACTAGAGCAATGAGATAAACTAGGAGAGACCAGTGAGAAAATGAAATTGAGGGACTAGCAGACTATGTCTCTCTTCTCACACTTTTAGAGCCTATGCCTGTTAACTGAGAACAGTGACAATGTGTGAATGATGGCATCTACCATATATATTCTTTCAAAACATGCCGTCTTATGCCACCAGTTTAACACCTCCAGGGTAACAGACTGAAAGTGTTAAGAAAACAGATACCTGTGAGCGCTTCTGTGATTTTCATTACTTAAATCACTTGTTAACTGGGGCCTGTCAATGATTTCTCGGACAATCTGGTTCTTAAGTATTACATTTTCCTCAATGGTGTAGTTAAATTGGGACACCCTATATTGGGCTTCCCCACTGCCTCAGATGGTAGAGGACCCGCCTGTAATGCCGAAGATCTGAGTCTGATCCCTGGATAGAGCAGATCCCCTGGAGAAGAGAATGGTAACCCACTCCTGTATTCTTGCCTGGAGTATTCCATGGACAGAGGAGCCTGGTGGGCAAGAATAGGCGAGTAGGTAGCCATTCCCTTTACTAGTCTCCCTCAAACTATAAAAAGATCTTCTGTACCTTTATTATGCCACTCGGAATTTCACTCAATAAAATCTTTGTTTTGAGAAGCATATATTGACTGTTTCTTATGCAACCTTAATCCTAAACAAATAAGAAACAAACTAAAACAGGGACTTTTGAGATAGTAAAACTATTGAGATAGTTAACTTGGATTTCTGGCCTGCTTTAGTAAAAATTCAACAGCTTTCCTAAACTCTGAATATTTGCCATTAGTGTGACAGAGGATGCCAGAAAATACTTTAGCGGAAACTACAAGGAGTCTGTGTGTATTTCTCAAAGTATAACCAAACACCTAAACAAATAGAATTAAATGACATACAAGTTTAAAGAGAATACAAGATATGTAGAGTATTTAGTATTTCCAGTCAACTTAATATTTTTGACTTTTGGTTTTTTGGATTGATAACATTCCTGATGCTTACAGAAATGTAAACCCACTGAAAAGTAATTTAGAGGAAAGTACCGCAAATCCTGTTAATCGCACGCCTTCTGAATCTCTCAGACCCACACTCTTCTCCACCGTCACAGTCAATGCCCTCACCAGTGCTCAGTCTTCAAGCTGGAATACACACGTCACTAGGGGCGCCTGAAGATTTTCTAAGCAGCGTGAGTGACATGATTTTTTAAAATCCTGCATCTAGATCTGATCTGCCTGGGACGATACCATCAGTCAAGCATCAGTCATAAAAGTTCTCATTTCCTGTTTATCTTTCTCCTACTTAACAAAACTACAGTGGTGCACTATGCTTACGTGCAGAAACACCCTGGGGGCCAAAGAGCCAATTCAAATTACCAGCACGTGTTAAGAGAGAGAGTGACTCCCCAGACCACCCCACCTTTTCACAAGTGAGGTGGCTCCCATTCCTTCGCTTTCAACAACAGTTAGGGTAGACTTTAATGAGGTTATCAGATGACACATCATATAAAACATAATGTTTAAAGACAGAACATCAACTGATTTTTGGCAAACAACTCTGAAGGAGTTAAGAGAACTGAGTGCCAGTGCTGCAGGAAGAATACTTCCATTTGCGTCTGTTTATTTATGTGGACAACATCTGCAGCACCGCCACCTCAGCTGAGGCCCTAGTCTCTTGCTTAGAAAGATACCCAACCTGGTCTTTCCAACTCCTATTTTTCTTTCTTTCTAATGCACTCTACACTATTATCAGGTATCTTTAAAAAACAATTAAAATATAAGTAAATCGGAACTTATCATTAACCTACTATAAGATCTTCCACAATTTTCCTTTACTATCAGATTTTTCAAAAAGAAAAAAATTCCAAACACCCTCTTCCTGGTATTCAAGGCCTCCCAATATTAATTATAACTTACTTCCCTTCCGGCACCCTTAGCTCACCCACTCCCTCCTGACAGTTCACCAGGTCCCAGGGCACAGGACATTAGTCACCATGCCCTTTCAACTCAGAGGATTCTCTCTGACTGGAGGGCCCTTCCTATCTCTCTTCTCTGCCTGAGAAACTCACACTCAGCATTCAAAGCGCATCACAAATGCCATGCCCCCCGAGCAGCTTTCTGGACCCCTCAGAATGAGTGGCACTATTCATTTTCGGACAATCGCTAAGGGAGCGCCCATTCTGATTCTCAGGGACACAAGGACGAGTGAGACAAGGGGCCGCCACTAGTCTTGTGAGGGCAGAAATGCTATCTGATAAATTATCATACACTGCTTATGCTTCTACCAAGAAATTATGTCACTGAGCTGGAGGAACACATGAACAGATGACTTGATAGAAGAAAGGGACTTAAAATTGGCACTGACAAGTCATTTTGTCACAAATAATTTAACGTCAGTAAAAAGTAGAGCCAAGACTCGATCCCAGACTGTGAGAGTTCAAGCTTAAGCCAATGTTCAGAATGTGGGCTCAGAAGTTAGGCTGTCAAGTTTAGATCCCAGCTATACCACTTATCATTTTACAGAACATATTTCACTTTCCTAAGCTGCTTTTTACTCAGCTATATAATGGGTATTATAATAATGCTAATACTTCAAAGCACTGTTATATTAAAAGAGGCAATGCACATATAATATGTAGCCCAGGGCCTTGTACATAGTAAAATTCTATATAAATGTTAGCCCTTTTTATCATTAATAACTATTGTGATATACTATCTCTAACACATTTTCTGTTATATAAGTTAATCTGAATCTCAGTTTTCTAGTTTGCAAAATGGGCTGTCTCACATAATAAGTCTTGCATTATGCCAGGTACAATAAATACAAGAAAATGTCTTTTCTCTACCCATGTTCAACCAAGATACTTATATATACAAGTTATCTCCACTTAGGATAAACCTATGCAGTGGTGCTCAACCTTGAAGTTATCTGAGGAACTTTAAAAAAATTCTGATGCCTGAGTCCCCTGTCCAGACTGATTTAATAGGTCTGGAAGCACGGACACATTAAGCACTCCCGAGGTGACCCTAGATGCAGGCACACGTGAGAGCCAGGGCTAAGTCTACGAACCTGTTAGCAAAGTCTATGAATCTAAGGCTAAGAGCAAAGTAAGACCTCGGGCAACAGCCTTAACATGAATGCACACTCAAAGAGCAGTCAGTCATAAGCTGAACACAGCTGGTTATTTTTGTTTTGCCAGAAAGAGGAAGGAAGAGCTTATCTGATTTTTACATTTTAAAAGATTTGAGCTTAACAAAGATAAACTTTGAAAAATATCAGGCATTTTCTTTTAAAGAGTTATTTGGACTGAAAATAAACTTACTTTCCTCTCTTACAAGTCTCCCCAGACTTTTGCATATTCACTGAGGAGTAGATTTTTTAACAAGCATATCTTTTAGTTATGCTTTCCTCTTAAGGAACCACTGAGCTGGTTTTTCACAACTGAAAACTGGCATCCCTCTGCCCAGGACCATGTTCAAGTCAGCTAACCAGTCTGCAGAGCCTGTCAATGTCCAGGGCCACACCCTGGAGAGTGCCTTGGGCGCTTCTTTTCTTAGAAGCAGCTTTATTAAGATGCAATTTAGACACAAAACAATCAGTTAAGTGTAAAATTCAGTGAGTTTCGATACGTGTATGTACCCAGACACATACGAATGAACAGCTCCCACCGCAACCATCACGCTGGACGACGGCGGTTACCCCAGTGCCCCTGTGCCAACTCCCTCACCTGCCAGCATGTCCGTGTGCTGTCGCTTCAGTCCTGTCTGACTCTCTGCGGCCCCGTGGAGCCCACCAGGCTCCTCTGTCCACGGGATTCTCCAGGCAAGAATACTGGAGAGGGTTACCATGCCCTCCTCCAGGGGGTCTTCCTGACCCAAGGGTTGAACCCGCATCTCTGAAGTCTCCTGCATCGGCAGGGGAGTTCTTTGTCACCAGTGCCACTTGGGAAGCCCAAACCACTCATCTTCTGGATCTCATTTAGAAAGAATCATAAAGCCTGAATCTTCTGTGCCTTCTTTCTTTTTCATGATGCTGAGGTCCATTTAGACTGCCGTGTGTGTTAGTTGCTCAGCTGTGTCCAACTCTTTGAACCCGATGAACCACAGCCCACTAGACTCCTCTGTCCGTGGTATTTTCCAGGCAAGAATACTGGAGTAGGTAGCCATTCCCTTCACCAGGGTATCTTCCTAACCCAGGGATCAAACCCACGTCTCTTAAGTCTCCTGCATTGGTAGGCGGGTTCTTTACCCACTGTTACCCATTCTTTACCCACCGTCGGAGCCAGGAAGAACCAGTAGCTTAATCCTTTCCACTGCTGAACAGTATTCCATTGAATGGATGGATGACCCACAATTAGCTTATCCATTCACCAGCTGAAAGACATCTGGGTTGTTTCCAATCTTGGCGAATAAAAGCAGCTATGAACACTTGAGTTTAAGTACTTGTGGGACTGTACACCTTCGTTCCTCATAAATAAATGTGTAGGAAGGTTCTGCCGGATCAGCTGCCAACAGTTTTCTAAAGTGGCTGAAATGTTGCATTCTTATCAGCGATGTACACTGAACCACCTCCTGTTTCACCACATTTCTCCAACACTTGGCATCATGTTTTTAATTGCAGCCATTCTAGAGGGTGTGTTCTGGTATAGCCTTAATTTGCATTTCCCTAATGACTAATAATGTTGAACATCTTTCCACGTGCAATTCATGCATCTTTTCTGATGAAATGTTTTCAAACTGTTTTTTCTACAAGTTGTCTCCTAAGGTATTTTGTAAATATTCTTCTCAGTCTATATGGCTGGCTTTGTCATATAACATCATTCTTAACATCAGAGTTAAAAAAGAAAAATTTAATTGAATGAAATTCAATTTATTGCCTTTTTTCTTTTAAGCTTCATGTTTTTTAATGTGCTATCTACAAAAAATTTTTCCTAACCCCAGAATACACAGTTTTTCTCCTCTATTTTCCTCTAAAAGTTTTATAAGTTTTACACTCCAGCCTAAATACATTCCGAGTTAATTTCTGTGTACAGTGAGGTAATAAGGGTGGAAGTTCATGTTTTGCAGATGCACATCCAGTTGTTAACAGTGTATCTTTTCCCCATTGAATTATCTTGCACTTTCATCAAAAAACACGTGTGGATCTTTTTCTGGGTTCTATTTTCCATACCACTGTTTTTTATTTCTATACCAATACCACACTGTCCTGCTTACTGTAGCTTTACACTAGAACTCTGAAATCGGGTAGTTTAAATCCTTCAACATTAGTCTTCTTTTTCAAAACTGTTTTGACTAAACTCAATTTCTGCAAGAATGACTGCTAGAATTTTTACTGAGGTTGCATTCACTTTATATATTAATTTGGCAAAACAGTCTCTTCGCAATAATGGTCGAAAAACATTTATTTCAATTTAAGGCTTTTATTTATCTTCAGTTTTATAGTTTTCATCATACAGGTCTTGCATATATTTTGTCAAATTTATCCCTCAATATTTTATATTTTTGATGTCATTACAGAAGGTATTATTTTGTAAATTTCTATCTCTGTTTGTTGCTAGTATATAAAAATGCAACTAATTTTGCAAATCAACTTTGTAGTCTGTCATCTTGATAAGTTCACTTTTTAGTTCTATGAGCTTTTTTGTAGATTCCTTCCTAAGGATTTTCTACATAAAGAATAATGTCTTCTGTGAATAAAGATTATTTGATACTGCTTTACATATCTGTTGCTGGTTTTGTTTTTTTCCTCTGTGCCTCATTTTGGATAGTTTCTAATGTCATATTGTCAAGGTTGCGGATCTTTTCTTCTAAGTGTCACTCAGATGTAGCATTTTTCATCTCAAGAAATTCTATATGGGTTTCTCTTTTTAAAAAACAAAACAAAACAAAACATATTCTACTTTTCTCTTATGTTCATGTTTTCCTTTACCTTCTTGGATATATGTGGTATTTATACACTATAGCCATGTCTGGTAATTCCAACATCTTCCCACTTCTAGGTCTTTCCTTTTAGGTACAAGTATATTTTCCTCTCTTTTTACATGTCTTGTAATTCTTGATTGGATGCTGGTCACTATGAATCTTACTGTTTGGTGCACTGGTTTGTTTGTTAAGTCCTTTCAACAGCGCTGGGTTTTGTCCTGGAGCCTTAAGTTACTTGAAATCAGTTGGATGTTTTCAGAGTTTGCATTTAAACTTTTGTTAGGGCAGTCCAGGGCAACCTATATAGTCTAGTGCTAATTTGGCCCGACATTTCACAATTTTGACACAATTTTGGGGCCTCTTCTCCATGCCTTGTGTATTACAAGGTCTTTCTATTCTCACTGGTTTGGGAGCATGAACTATTCCCAGGCCTGTTATTTCCAAGACTTTTTTCTCCCTATTGCTTTCTAATTGTTCCTTCTCCAATCTTAGGTAGTTTCTTCACATGCATGTACAGATCGGCACTCTGTCAAAAGACTCAAGGAGACTCTTCTGCGGTTATCCCAGAGCTCTGTCCTTTGTCTTTGTGTAGTTACCCATACTCCATGGCCTCCCAAAACTCTTCTCTCTATCTTCTCTACTCAGTGAGACATCCAGGCTTATTGGGGTTCCACCTCCTTGCACCGTGGCCTGGAAACTACTGCTAGATAGCAAAGCTAGGACAATTAAAGGCTCACACCATGTTTGAGATCCTTCTTTCTGGGATCATAGTCCACCAATACTTGTTATCAGTATCTGAAAACTGTTATCTTTCACATCTTTTCCTGGATTCATTCTCAATTGTTTTAGGAGGAAGGGTAAATCTGATTACTGTTGCTCCATCTCAGCCAGAAGTGAAAATCCACTACTTGTTAATGCAAGCTCCCAGGTGATTCTAATGTGCAGTTTTGAAACCCAGTACACTAGTGGCTTTAACTTCCTTAACAGAAAATTCCTGAGACAACACACATTTTTCCTGAGCTGACCAGTCGTGATGACACCTGGAAGCCTCTGTCCCCAAACTGCCATATGATGGTTAGCTGATACATTCAGAGAAACTCTTCATCCAAAGAAATGCCAAACAGCTACTTTACAAAGAAACTGAGAAGCCATTATTCTCTGGAATAAGGCTTCATATGGAGATACTTCTGATATAAGACACCACAAAGGAATGCTTTAAAGCACGGGAGCGGGAATAAAATAATTTGGAAAAATCAGTCTCTTCCTGAGTCATTCCAGAAAAACCCTATCTTTTTAAAATTTCTGCCTTACAGAAACCATTCATAAAAAGCACGTTCAACAGGAAAAATTATATAATCAACCAAAAACTCAGTCACAGAAATTTTACTAGTGTGACCTTCAATACACGGAACCTTGTAAATGAAGTTAATTAAAATACACAGGCTCCTATATGTACATAAAGGTTTCTTCTCATCCTTCCAGACACTCCTCTGAAACTCACCCTTTTCCAAGTAAGACCGTGGAGCCCACGGTGGGTCCTCTTCAGCATAAGGATCACTATACTCAACCACGGCGGCCTCTTCCTCTTCGTAGTCTTCTGGAGGCGGCGGCGGCGGCGGGGATTCATCAAAGACTGGCTCTTCCACAGGCGGTGGGGGGGGTGGCGCATCTGAAACTAAGAATGTATCAAGCTGGTGACAAAACTACACACTGGGCAAAGTTCACTGTTTCCTATCCAAGCGCCTATGTTCAAGGAATATAAACCTAGACCTGAAAATAATAATCTTAAAAAAAAAAATGAGTAGGCAAGGGAAGTGTCCCCACCAACTACATTGTTTAAAATCTCCAAGCTTGACTTCCTCCTTCCTTTGGGTTAGTGCTGATAGATGATGAATAAAGAATAGCCAAAATTATTATTATTAACTAAGCTTCTGGACTCTGTTTATGCTAACACATAATATTTTCTTTCAAAGAAAGATCAGTACAATATAGTTTGGCTTCACATTATATCTAAGGAGGAGTGGTTACCAAAAATATTAGCAATTTAGACATTTTAACCATATTCCATTTATAACAAATTATAATGAGTCCAGTGAACAAATTTTAATAATCTGCCACATTCCTCTCAATGAATTTCTTTAAAATATTTTTTTTTACCAAATTAGTGGGGTAGAAATCACAAATATCTCTGGGTAACTTGATCCATGAAGATATTTGTGTCTGTTTCATTTTATTTTTATATCTACAGAATTTCAAGTAATTCAGACTAACTTATGACCCAGTAATTTAAAATGTTTGAATTGTGTTCTTATAGAAATCTGCTTCCACAGTTCAGGTATCAGAATGCAGTAATGTCTAAAAGATCATCTCCAAATTCTGGGAACCCAAGCCTTTCAAAATGCTGAGTACATATTTGAGCTTAGCTTAACAAAATAAACCGAATGAAGCTGCATTTATTCATCAGTGCTCCAATTTTAATGAACAGTATTAATGCTTATTTATGACGTACCAGTACTATTTCCATGAAATTCTCTGAGCAATCCTCTTTATTTTCTCTCTTTTATCTAAGCTGAGGGATCTAATTAAATGGATTTTAAATCAAATGGATTTTAAAATATGAAGATTAGCCATATCAACATCATACTCTGTTGTGTTCCAGTATCCTTCTAATCTGCAGTACCACTCTGTACTCATGACCTGTCTACTTTATGAACCTCAAAACTTTCTTTACTCAGTAAAAATAATCATTTTAGTTCTAATGGGATTTTCAGTAAAGAAAAAATAGAGACACATGATTTTTGCATATACTTTATGGACAAATTACATGTGGTTATGGTAAGAATCAATAATATATCCTAGTTGCATTTATAAGGTAAGGTGATTAAACACACACACAGAAAAGGATCCTAAGAACACTGCCTTTCAAAACAATCACCTTGGGAAATTATACCAGAAAATTACTCCAAGATGCTGCTGCTGCTCCTTTTTTCTTAAAACTGCCTGAGTCAGTGTAATAAGATTAACGTAAGCTACTGTTTTTACTTAAAATGTTCCAAGTACTCAGCACTTCACAATACATTATTCATTTAATCTTTATTTTAATCTTTACCTTGGGAGATGCTGTTTTTAATCTACCTTTTATGGATGTGGAAACTAGCTTTCCAAGATTAAGTAAGTACTCCTAAAGTAAGTGGAAGAGCAGGAATTTGAAATCCAATGCCTCTTATCTTAAAAGCTACACTATGATGAGAAGAGAGCAATTCAATAACTTTAAAGTCATGTTTCATTATTCATTCAGAAACATCAACTGTAAGCCTACTATGGCCAGCTACTATGCTTGGCACTGGGAATACAGCAGTGAGCAAAAGTCATGGAGACATGGACAACCGATCTTCCATTTATAGTTAGGTGCAGCCAGGGCTTCAAGTCATCATGGCAAATAGCAATAGATCAAATCTCTTATGTGGGTCAGGAAAGGCTTCTTGGAACCTGAAGGGTGAGGAAAAGTTAACGGCCCAAGGTGGGGGTAGATATTTCATGTCAGATGTAACAAAAACAAAGGTAAGAAAATAGGAACCCTTCAAAAGAGCTGATCAAAGTTCAGTAGAAAGAGGCCTGAGGATGCTGAAGAGTACTAAGCAGAAAGGGCCTTATAACAGTCTGACCTCTCTCCAAAGAGCAACAGGGAGCCAGAGAAAGGTTTAAGAACAAGATTATAGCTGTACTACTTAGCCCAGTATAACTGGTTCCAAATAATTCCAGACTTCTTCCAAACATCAAACTTAATATAAATATCTGCTACCAGAGAGTATCTTCAAAATAAAGTACTTGAAAGCTATAAAGATAGCTCCAAAAGATAGGTGTATATCTTTCCAAGGTGAATGTTTTGAAGAAGACAACATTCATTTGAATGTATAAGTCCTGCTATGTCTATAAAATCAGTCAGGGCTCACCTTATATACAGAGTTTCTTGTTTGTATACATTTTGTAGGTCAGAAAATGTATACAACTATGGAAAGAAATGAAAAAAGATCATCCTAAAAGGTAATCACACTGTGGGAAGTATTGGAGGTGCTCATGGGTACCATCCAATAAACAGAAGTAAAACAGACTATTTTCAGAAATTAGCAAACAGAGATGCAAAGGTACCCGAAAGAGAACTGAGCCCTCAGGCCAATATGACTGGATTATAACCAGTTAAAATAAAAGAAAGAAATGTATCGATAAAAAGGGGGCATTTAGTTAGCTGTGGAAGCACACACACAAAAAAGGAACTACAAGTGTCTGATACGTGTCAGACGCTTTTCTAAATGCCAGTGAAGAAAACAAGCAAAAATCCCTGCTCTCATAGAGCTTCCATTCTAGCACTGGCAATGCTCATTTCCAAAGGAGCAAGAGTCTTAAGCAACAGAGTGCAAGTGTTTCTGTCCCACTGGTGAGGCCACCCCTGCTATGAGATGTAGGCACTGGGCTACATCAGCCTGATGATGTTATCTCTTTTATGAGTGTAGTTCCCCTAGTTCAGATTTCACACCCATCGTGCAACCTTTTGATTGTGCCATGCCTCCTATATAGACTGCTCACAAGAGAACTCATCTACCGTACAGACTATGTTCACTGGTCTCTGTAACAATTCCTCACTAAACGCTGATACAGGTCTCCTGCTTTGTAGATATCAGTCTCCTGAGCTTCCACTTTAATGCTTCCCTAGAAGAAAACTCATGCTGTCAATAAAATTAGTTACCTGTTCCTGCATCGCTCAACACCAGACCACAGGCCAACTTAAATTCATTGCCAATCTATGAGGCATCTTGGGAGACAGACTGACAGTTTGGTTCTCTGGGACCCACTACGGCATGGTTCATCTTTACACCTGGAATCACAGGACTGGAGAAAGATTCTCAGGCCAGCCACAAAACCCTAAAACTCCAGTGACAGACTAAGTGTCTGAGTAATCCAGAGAGAAAAAGGTGGGCTGCCTGGTAACTGAAGAGCATCTCCTCAATTAGATGTGATTTCTCTTTTTACATGTGCCTTATTTTATGTTTGTCTTATCTTCACTAGCAGACTTTAAGCTGTTTGAAAGTAGAGAACTTCATCTTCGTTATTTTATCATCCACACTAGTGGCTCATACAGTGAGTGACTTGTTCATGATAATCAAATATCTGACATACTGGTGAATGAATGACTATTCAGCCAATCATATATAAATGACATTTTACACCTATAATCTGATCTACAGCATAAAGAAGACATAAACTTACTATTTTCTTGGACTCTGGCCACAAATCCCATTAAAGGTAACTGAGGAGTTACCTGTAGGATGGAGGGAGGAGGAGGAGCAAGAGATACTGCAAAAACAAAAAAGGTGTGGAGGATAAGGGGTAAGGGCAAGTCACATTAAAAGGAAAGGATAACACAATAAAACAAACATACATGGGGGGGAGCCACTGTGCATCACCATTTTACAAGCAGTCTTAAGGCGCTCTTTTGAGGGATAAGTCATTAACACAGAAAACAAAGTGTTAGGGAAGTTTTAAAAGCTTACAACAAGAAGCATTTATCACATACCCATCTATTCTAAGATACGGTGGCAAATTATCTTTTCATACAATCACATGTCTTTTCAAAAAAAGGATTTCTTCAGATTACCATGAGTAGTTTGGTTTTCCAAATTTTACCTTGGAGGTTACAAGTTTAAATGTTCATCAATACAAGGGAAAAAAGACCATTACATGCCAGCATCCTAATTTCATACTTTTCATTACTTTATTAAACAGGAAAAATTAATTGGTAATTAAACAAATGTTTACCTACTTCCCATTAAGGGGCAAGCACTCTGCTAAGAGACCAGTATCAAAACCATTCTCTGTGAGTCAGGTTTGTATCTTTACCGTTTCTCACAGTCCCAATTCATACGACCTATTTCAGGGACATTTTCACCGAGACCCTACAGAAAAATGCTCGCCTCATTCAAATCATTCCTTTCCCCACAAAGCTGTCTTTCCCTCTTAAATACCTGGTAAGCATCTAGCACTAGTGAGTCTTCAACAAACATTTAATATAGGTAAATATACACATAAGCCAGATACATGTCAAACAACTTCCAAAGATTAACTCTACAATTATGGTTTCCTTCAGAATGGGTAAACAGTATGATGTGCATTTTCTTATAAAGAGAGAACACCTTTATGAGCTTCAAATCACAGGTAAGACTAATAAAACTCACTAAATAAGACTCACTGCTCTCAAAAAAAATCACATTCTAGTTGGGAACGGAAGGTAAAAGAATAGCCCCAACCCAACAATACCTGCAGCATTCCCTGCAGGTGGTGGTGGTGGTGGAGAGGCAGTGGTGATGATGTGGTGTTATGGTGGTGAGGAAGGGGCCAGGGTCTGGGCAGGGGTGAGGGCTACACAGAAATACCCTCTGAGCAGGTACCTGAAGAACAGGAGTTGGACAAGCAGACAAAGGCTGAGAAAGACAAGCTGAGAACCAAATGAGGGGCAAAGGCTCTGAGGTATAAAGCAGCATGACCAGTTTACAAACCAAAAGCATTTCCATATGGCTGGCATAGGATACCTGAGAGAGAAAGTGCAAACTGGAAAGATGAACAGGTGGGTATGTAACAGGGAGGGATCTTAAAGAAAGAGTGCCAAGTGGAAACAGCCTGGGACTTCAAAGTCACCTAGCGGGTCTTCCCTGGCAGTTCAGGGGTTAAGGCTGAGCTTCTGCTGCAGAGAATGGGTTATCAGGTTATCAGGGAACTAAGATCCCACATCCGAGGCAGTGCTAGCGGTCAAGAACCCGCCTGCCAATGCAGTAGAGATCCAGGTTCCATCCCTGGGTTGGGAAGATCCCCTGGAAAAGGAAATGGCAACCCACTCTAGTTAGTATTCTCACCTGGAGAATCCCATGGACAGAGGAGCCTGGTGGGCTACAGTACATGGGGTTGCAAAGAGTCAGATATGACTGAGCAATTTAGCATGCTCAAAACACAAGATCCCACATGCCTCGAGGTGCAGCCAAATAAATAAAGTCACCTAACATCAGAAACCTGATTTGCTATTTCCTTGCTATTGGAGCAGCAAGTTATTTAACTTTTTCAAATTTAAACCATAAATGTGAAATGAAAGATATAATGCAACCTACTTTACAGTGTAACTGCAAAGATTAAAAAGGATAAAAAAATGTATATAGGAAGTCTAACTCAGGGCCTGGCACACAAAAATCAAGACAACAGAAGCAGAGAGAAAAAGAGAGAAATTAGTAACAGTGTGGACAAAAAGGGTATTTGGTAACTAAGGATTTAGGTACCACATGAAGGAAACAGCTGAAGATATTCTTAGATTCTTTTTCCTTCCTAACTATGAAGGTAGAGGTGCCATTAACCACATTAATGTTGGTGAGTAGTACATGGAATGAAATAGGCTCGAAGTACAGGGAGTGGGAAGTCAGGAAGAAATAATGGCATGATAAATAAGATGTATGAAAGTAACTTAAGCATCAACACGGGAGGCCACTGGAAAGCCTGGGGTGAGTTTGTAGAAACAGCAAGAGGTCCAAAGGTGGCAGCTAGGAGCGCTAACAGCTGTGCTGTGGGTAACTGCAGGGAAAACATGTACACGTATTGTGCGGACAAGAGTTAACCATGTGATTCTGAATAGCCCAGATTTAAGGGACAGAGTCACCTAACCCTAGAAACTGGTAACTTTCTTTAAAAGATACCTTTTGGATATGTTTTCATACTTCTTGGCTGCAAACCCTTAAGTCGTGTGTCTGTCTCCCACTCTTAGAGGCCTAGAACTATTGCTGATATGTTCACAATACTCTGTTTCCAAACTTGAGGTAGAAGACACAATGACCAGAGAAGGTAGCAGAGATAAAGCAGGTGAAACTGAAAAGCAGCAGCAGAGAACGGCTGCGAGAGAAAGCACACAGGTTCATTTCAAACAAGACGGAATTCTCCTCTGGCCTGTGAGCACCAGTCCCACCCCGCCAGTGACGGAAAAGTAGGAAATTTCCCACTTCAGTCTTTACCATTAAAAAAAAAGAAAAAAGAAAACAACCTAGTATTGTGCTAAAAAAGAACGATTAGGCACCTGACTTAGAACAGATTTTTTGTATGTAAATTAAGTGCTTTTTTTTTTTTAATGAATTTTTTTTTTTCTTTTCTAGTTCTGAAAGTGAAAACCTGAAACTACAGTGGTCTTTTTAGGGATGTCCACCAATGGAAGCCCAGGTAAAAACTGGTCCCAGATCTTCCTTAAATGGAATTACTTTATAACAAAACAAGTTAGGTTTTTTCAAAGCCAGTCCAAGGCATGTTTAAAAAATTCAGTTTCAAATGGAGCTTACAAATGTTGCCCCAAATTCTATTTTTGCCCAAGGCAAACTTTTTACATTATGATCCAAATTAATTTAGTTACCATAGCATTTTCTTTCTGGTCAGCAAGATTTCATCAGAAAACCTGTGAACCAGAAAATCCTACTTTAGACTAGATTTATCTTCCTTAAAGTTGAATTGAAAATGAACTATTTTAGGTGAATTTAAGCAGGATTTTGATGTGAACAACTGTTTACAATATTCAGTTCTAGTCCAATTAGCTCAGGAACAGGCAAGAGCAAAAAGCAACCATGAATTTGTTTCCATTCTCTCTGGTTGATTCCTCATATGACAACCCTTTCCCTATAATCACCAAAAGATCTCCACATTTAAGATTCAGTAATATTATGTTTACATTACACAACAATGAAGTTAATGTGAAGAGAAAAGCTCAAGAAGACACTGGAGTTTGTTTATAGAGAGATCTTAAGTAGAACAGCTATAAAAACTATAGCTTATGTGCACTCAGCAACATGTAGATATAAAAGGTAAGGTAAACCAAACTTAGAGGATGAGCCTGTGCTGATGAAATATACAGATTTCTAAGCATGACCTTCCTGATTATTCACAAAATCATGGAACATCTTTGAGGCTTAGTGTGTTAAAAGGTAAAAAGAGTTTTGAAGAAAAATTATACTATTACATTGTTTTGTGTGTGTGTGTTTTGTACAGCTTTCTAAATACTCTAAGAAAATTAGGCAAAATAACCACTCTAAATACTACTTCTGAAACCATTAAAGATATCATCTTTAGAGGCCATCCATTTGATAGTCCATTCAAGTTTAGTTGTTAATATTTTACATTCCAGTGATGGAATTAATGTAATCATTTTAAAAGGGAAATATTTTCTAAACATGGATAGGAGTTATCACTTAGGAGTATTTAAAAGTGAACCTAACTAATCATACTCAGTAAGAAGAGCTTTTTTGATGGAAAAGAATATGGCTGTCAAATAATTATCACTCCTGTAGTCTCAAAGAGTTAAATGAATTCTGTCATTTTTGTTATTCCTTTTCAAATGAAAAAATAATATTATGCCAAGAAAAAGCAGCAAATTAATCCACATAATTTAAAAACACAGCGTATATTTTTAATGATGAAAAGGGTCTATTTAGTTTACTGATTCGTCTGATAATATACTTACATTTTTCAGTTTTTCCTTGCTTTTTTGATCTCCCTAGAGTAAGCATTCACTGAGAAGGCAATGGCACCCCACTCCAGTACTCTTGCCTGGAAAATCCCATAGACGGAGGAGCCTGGTAAGCTGCAGTCCATGGGGTCGCTATGAGTCGGACACGACAGAGTGGCTTCACTTTCGATTTTCACTTTCATGCATTGCATTAGGAAATGGCAACCCACTCCAGTGTTCTTGCCTGGAGAATCCCAGGGATGGGGGAGCCTGGTGGGCTGCTGTCTATGGGGTGGCACAGAGTCGGACACGACCGAAGCAACTTAGCAGCAGCAGCAACAGACACTAAAGACTGCCAAAAATGAGGATTCAAAAACAGCTTCTGGATACAGCTCTTTATTTATACTTTCCTAATCTCTCTTCCTACATCTGTATTCTTCTGGAGATTTATAGTAACGCTATAAGTTAATTATCATTTAGAGAATATGTGTTATGGCTTTTCTTTTACAATATCACCAACCCAACATTGCTTTCTCAATGTTTCTTTTTAGTTATTTATAATAATATTCAGGGAAGCCTGACATCTTCCCTGTATACCATACTCATTCAGAAATTCCTTTCTCACATAATTATAAACAGTCACGTTGCTTGGAGCCAACATTCCACTTTATGGATTAGATTTTTTTAGTCTTTGTTATAATTATGAATGGTAAAATTTAAGATATCTTTTACCAAAGGCCTTAGTACTTAAAACACCACATTACTGATTTCCTATTGTTAAGGACTGAATATATCCCCCCAAAAATTCACATGAAATCCTAACCTCCAACCTGACTGTATTAGGATGTGGGACTTTGGGGAGGTGTTCCACACAGTGGGATATACTCAGTCACAAGAAGGAACAGAATGTTGCCATTCACAGCAACATGGACAGACATAGAGGGCATTCTACTAAAGTGAAATAAGTCAGACAGAGAGAGAGAGATACTGTGCGACACCACCTTCATGTGGGGTCTAAAAAATACCACACACTAGTGAACACAGCAGGAAAGCAGCCGATTCACAGATACAGAGAACAAACGAGTGGCGATCATCAGGGGCTACAATACGGGGACTGGGGAGTGGGAGGTATAAAGCACTGGGCTAAAGACAGGCTCAAAAAAGTATATTTAAAAAATTGTTAAAAGGCATTGCCAAAACAAACAAACAAACACAACCCCTCCCCACCCCCGAGAGCTCTTTCTGCCGTGAAAGGGTACAAGAGGTTCCCACAGGCTCAGGGGTAAAGAACCTGCCTCCCAGTTCAGGAGACATGGGTCAGGAAGACCCCCTGGGGAAGGAAATGGTAACCCACTCCAGTATTCTTGCCTGGAAAATCCCATGGACAGAGGAGCTTGGCAGGCTATAGGCCATGGGGCTGCAGAAGAGTCAACCATGACTTTGCAACTAAACAACAAGGACAGGAGACGGCAGCCTAAACCCTGAAGAGGGTTCTCGCCAGAACTCAACCGTCCTGGCACACTGACCTCTGGCTCCCAGCCTCAGAACTGTAAGCAATAAAGCTCTACTGTTATAAGCTGCCCAGCCTAGGGTACTTTGTTACAGCGGCCCAAACTAAGGCACTTACCAAAGCAGGTTAACGTGTGCAGATGTGCAAGTACAAATATGCATGTATATTCTTCTTTACCACCCAGGTGCTTCATATTTATATTGAAGGCAAAAACTGTTAAAACTTGTGATCAACCCTAGTTGTTTCAATGCCTCTCTTGATGATGACAAGATGAATGATAAACTAATATTCTTGTTTCTTTGGTTGGATTAGATTAGGAAACAATAAGAACCACATAGGATTCAGTTCTATCCTGATTCAAGTGTTCCTTTCATTAACTTGTTTCTGAAACAATCCCATTAGAAAACAATTACTGTGCTTCCAGAACTTGGCACAGCCTCTCAGGTGCTCCACAGTTTCTTTTTTTTTTTTTTTTCACATTTTCATCCCTATGTTATGATGCCATTTCAAACTCAACCCAAATATAGCAGCGGTGCTGTTAGACGTAACGTTGCACAGAAAACCTCACTGAGTTTACACTCATGTGAATCCTGCCTGTCATCTCACTTCCTCAGAGGCACAAAGCCAGGTCAAGCCTCCAGCTGCAAAAAATATGCTCATAAAACACAAACCTGGGATCATTTTGTTAAATCAGGTAATTAGCTACTTGAGAAAACACAACAAATTTTCTAAATGCAAAAAACAAGGACCATTTTAAGACAAGTGGGAATAATATGAGACTTACATAATCATCTGAAGCAGACAAAATGAAAGTCTATCTAATAGCCTTAGAATATTGGCTTACAAAGCATTAAGTCTTGCAAAAAGAGGGTTTCAAAGACTATAATTTAATTAAAAACTTTTTTAGTTTAGAAAAAAGCACTGATTATTCAACTAACAAAGCTGTAGTCATCCTCTTTAAACAAATACCAAACCTCTGGAGAAGAAAGACAGAACTTAATCAAGAGAAGTACATAAAAACTAACTAAATTGCTTCACACATTATGCTGAAGGCTCAAAAATCCAATTCACTTTATACTTCCCATGAGTGTGAAAAATACTTTCATTAACACTCATTCCTTAGAGTGGGTTATTTTTCTACTTTAACATATACTTTCAAAATATATGCAAAATCAGATTTACAAAGAAGTGTTAAAATACGTATTTAAAATACATTTAAAGACATACTTAAATAAGCTTCAAAGAAATTCCGCCAAGAGGGTTCTCACAGGACCAGTATATTAGTATGTACATGTACATAGCATGAAATACCCCTATATATACTTTCTGAATATCATGTATACTTGGTCCCAAGCTATAATAATGAAGCATCTCCCAGTTCCATTATGGAATCGGCCCATTTTGGATTGACAGCATTCTTTTAAAACTCTAGGTAAGGGTAAAGAAGGGCATAAAGGCCATAAGCAATAACTGTCTAGACTTCAAAAGGGTCAGGGAGAGAGCTTATCTTTAGCAGAACTATGAAACAGGCCATATCTAACCAATTACAATTTAAAAATGAAATATGCATTTAGGTACAAAATAGCATCTGTACAAATATGGGTTTGGAACATGATTTAAAAGTAGAATGTAAGAAGACAGGCACATCTGACAAAACGAAGCTCAAAATGAGTTAAAAAGAATGGCACACCCAAAATCATTACGTGTGATCAAAGACAGCAGTAAGATATATATATCTCTTATAACCGAAGCACTTTGCTATAGACCTGAAACCAACACGACACTGTAAATCAACTACACTTCAAGAAAACAAGATTTTAAAAAACAGAATAACCCAAAGGGTTTTAAATTAGTTAAATTTTAATTATAGGTTTTAATTTGGTCAAACACTTGGAAAACGGCAACTAGTTTTATTTAAGACTCATTAAAAATGCACATGCATGTTTCTCAAAACAATCTAATGTAAAATTTTTTTAAAAAACATGTCTATTTAAGTGTCACTTGTGTCTCTTTGTGACCCTGTGGACTGTAGACTGCCAGGCTCCTCTGTGCACTGATTAGACTATAAATGTGGCATTTAATTTACAAGAGGGACCCAAAACAATGAGAGGATCTGAATAACAAGGGATTCATTCCACATTCAACAAGTAGTTACCAAGCACTATTCCCAGGATGAAACAGATGAAAAATTGTTTACAGCTTTTTACATTACAATGTGGGCACCCTCCTTCCCACCCTCCTACCGTTGGGAGGGTAAAAGAAAGATTTTTTTAATCTTAAGGTAGGATTAGTTAAGTTAGTTAAGTCGCTCAGTTGTGTCCAACTCTTTGTGACCCTGTGGACTGTAGCCCACCAGGTTCCTCTGTCCATGGGATTCTCCAGGCAAGAATACTGGAGTGGGTTGCCATCTCCTTCTCCAGGGGAACTTCCCGACCCAGGGATCGAACCCAGGTCTCCCGCATTGCAGGCATTGCTTTAACCTCTGAGCCACCAGGAAATAACAGGAAACTTAAGAGTCAGATGACCTAAATTCAAATCCTAACTTGACTACTATCTTAGTCTGTTTCCTCATCTGTAAAATACAGATGAAAATGATCACATGATTATAAGAATCAAATGAGGCAAAAAACAAAAAAGTATTCTTTAAGCTCCATTTATGTAACAGGAAGATCAAATTTGTTCTGCAAGACTCCAAAGGATATAACAAGGTTTCACCAAAACGTAGACAGATTTTAGCTCCATGCAATTCAGGGCTTATCCACGATGGAATACTACTAGAGGTGATCACACATGGGCTTATTGGGCTCTTGGCAAAAACCCAGAAAAACACACCAAATTCACGTAACATGTCCACAGCAGCACAGAGAATAATACTTGCTCTCACCCTCTCCGGGGGAGAAGCAAAACAAATGACTCTTAAGTATTAAATATGTGCTCTTTTAGTTCTTCTGTACACATGATGCAACTGAAAGATGACTGTTACATCTGGGTCAATCTGTTCAAGGTGCAGTTGTTCCATCAGAGGTTTGGTAGCAGAACTGAAGGAGACAGTGTAACTGCCCACCACAAAGCAGTTTCAAAAATATTTCCCTTTTCCTTTGCTACTTATAAACCCTGTCCATGTATGCTCAAATTTCATTAATTGCTATTCATACAGCAAGGATATCTGACTAAATAAGAAGGAAACACTGTTCACCACAGTATTAATTTAAAAAACAAATAATCACTACCACATTCAACAACATTCTATTCAGAAAAATTAAGTTTTACAACTCTATATGGAAACCATATGTTGATTTTTCAAAAGAACTGGTAGATACAGTATCGGCAACCTGTATTCATCCTTCTACTCATTCAACAAATAATATTAATCATCTACTATATACTAGTCATTTGCAATTAAAGATTTTTTTCTTGGTAATTGAAGGTTTTTAAATTAGATACATTCCATGGGCTGCAAAAAAAAGTCTAACCTGGGTTCTGGCTATAAAAAGGTCCTCCGTTCATCTGAGTCTGAAGGCTTGTTTGTGAAGTGATGGAAGGAGGGCGTCTATAGGGCAAGGAGCCCCCTATGGTTGGGGGAGTGTGGCGAGCGGCAGGTCTATTCATGCTGTAGAACTGAACAGGATGACCTGAAAAAGAGATAGAACACACATTTGTCATTAAAATTATCTCAGACAATAAAACACTTTAGGTACAATACCTGAATCTCACCAAGATTATTAAAAAATAAAAATATTTAGTTAACTGCCATCTGACAAATATTAACGCAAAGTTACAGTTAATGCTCAGTTGACAGTATATCAAAGTGCAGAAACAAGAAAGTAGGTAAATAAAATTACGGCTAGGTTTGGAAAAGCTGTATCTAAATACATTACTAATCAATATTATGAGTTTATTAAATTAGTAGTTTGACAGGGTTTCACAATCATCACAATTAAAATTTATGGCTCACTTTCTCTGCAAACACCAGCAATTAAACACCAAAAACTAAGCTTAACAAGAACAACATTTAGGAAAGCAAAAGAAAAAATATTTGACACACAGTCTTATTCCAAAATAATAATAATAATAGTAAATTTAAAGTAGTAAACCAATTTGTTTAAAGGAAATCATAAAATATTTCAGCAAAAGGTCAAGTGACATAATTTTGAATCACATTTTTCAATCAAAAATATCCTTCTCTAAAATTAGATTATTTTGTCTTAAAATTAAGAGTTTAGAAAATTTAGTTATGAAAAAAAGCTAAGATACAAAATGTGTATCAAAATATATCTAATTTTAGTATCATCCTGGAACTTGTTCATATGTATCAGCAATTGCACTACATTTTGCTCAGAGTACTTCAACAACTAATGCAAACAGAAGACACTCTTTCCTAATCCATCCAACCGCCTAATGCAAAGTTCTTAAATTTTATCTTGATTCCGCTCCAACTTAAAATCATTAGCTAAGGGCCCACTGCACAGACAGATCAAGCCCGGGAGCACCCATGAGGGAGCAGGGCAAGGGGAGAGAAGAGCGAGGGGAGAGGAGGAGGCAAGAGAAAAGTGAGGCGGAGGGAGGGGAGAGGAAAGAAGAAGAGATGAGGGCGGAAAGGAGGGGAAGAGGCGATAAGAGAAAAATCCACAGTTCATCTTTTCCATGACTGTCAAATGGTTTTACATGCCTAAAACTGATCTACAGGAGCTGTAAGACTGATCAAACCTGGATTCATATGGATGCTCATATAAAGAATGTTATAAAAGCACTCAAGAGCTGCTACACGATTTACTCTTCCTGTATATGACAGTATCAAAACCTAAAACTCAATTCTGTTGTATAAAAATCTTGAGTAGTCGAGCTTAAACATAATCCACTGTCAAGTTTACATAGTCATGGTCAAAATGTGAAAGCATGTAAACTAATAAACAATTATAAGAAGGTATATTCTGTCATTTGAATCACCAGATACCCATTACTGGCATTTTAGGAATCAATCTGTAACATCCTAATACAAACCTAGAATCACTGAGTTAAAAACTCTGGAAACACCATTATGAATTTCATATAGTTAGAGCCAGCCTAAAATCTCCCATGTTATAAGCCCTCAGTGATCCGAAGACATTACATAATAAAGATTCTATTCAAACCATTAACAAGGGCATTTATTCTGCTTTGAGTTGAAAAACAAAACTATAGTTCAATTACCACAGCCCTAACTATAAAAACCTAAGACTAAAAACTTCTAGAAGAAAATAAGACAAAGATCTTTTTGACCTTATGTAAAGAGTTTGTAAACACAACATCAAAAAGCACAATACACAAAAGGAAAAAAAAGCAATGAACTGTACCTAATTAAAATAAAGAACTTCTGCTCTTTGTAAGATACCATTAAGAGAATGAAAAGGTAAGTCACAAAATGGAAGAAAATATTTGCGAATCACAAAATTAATCAGACATATTCAGAATATATAATAAGAATTCAGTGAGAAAACAAACAAACCAATTAAAAAGGTGTGGGGAGGAAGCAAAAACATTTGAACAGACATTTCACCAAAGAAGATAAACAGATGGCAAATGAGCACATGAAAAGGTGTTCTACATCATCATTCACTGGGGAAATGTCAATCAAAACCACACGAGAAACTATTATACACCTATTAGGATGGCTGAATTTAAAAAAAACATATATATATATGTAATGACAATTACACAGCCCACCAGGCTCCTCTGTCCATGGAATTCTCCAGGCAAGAGTACTGGAATAAGAAGCCATTCCCTTCTCCAGGGGACCTTCCCGACCCAGGGACTGAACCCAGAGCTCCTACACTACAGGCAGATTCTTCACTATCTGGGCCACCAGGGAGGCTGTTATGGCAGCACCCTGTACTAACAAGTGTGCAGAGTGACTGGAAGTCTTACACACTGCTGGTGGATGTGCAAAACTATACAGTCACTTTGGAAAACAGCTATCCAATTTTTTATAAAGTTAAGCACTCATTTACCATACAACCCAATAATGCTAATCCCTATGTTATTTACCCAAATGAAATGAAAGCCTGTGCTCACACAAAAGTCTGTGTACGAATGTACTTGGCAGTTTTATTCATAATCACCCAAAACTGTAAATAATCCAAATGTCCCTCAATTGGGAAAATGGTAAACAAACTGGTAAGTCCATTCAATAGAACACTACTCAGTAATAAAAAAGGAACAAAATAACAAAACATGTAATAATGGATAAATCTCAAATGCACTGTGCCAAAAAGCCAGACTCAAAAGATTACATGCTTCCATTTGTGATATTACTACAAAGGCAAAACTTTAGAGGGGGAAAAAAAAACAGATACAGAGCTTGCCAGTGGCAAAGAGTGAAATGAGTAAAACGGAAGGACTGAGTGGAAAGGGTGCTTGGAGAAATCTGGGGACGACAGGGCTGTCGTGCACCTTCACTGTAGCTGTGGTTCTATCACTGTGTGCATTTGTCAAAACTCAAAAAACTAGTGCATTTGTCACTAGGAAGGGTGAGTTTTACTGTACATAAATTATACCTTAATAAAAAGAAAAAAGTATCTGGAAATTCAAAAACAGTATAGAGATGATATAAATTGTTATTAAGACATTAATTATGCTTTTTGTTTAAAAAAAAACGTATTGTTCACTCATACAACAGATATTACTCAGTGCAGACTAGGAACCAGCCCCTGTTATTAAATTATAATGCTGACTCTAGGTGGGGATGATTCATCCTTTCTAGACCTACAGCAGATTTCAAGATGTGTTCCTTACTCCACCAACGTATGAGCATAACAGGACTTCTACATTTAACTAGCTACATGGCCTAACAGAGCTGTATGTAGATCAAAAGGACAGCTCAGCTTTAAATACACCCAGTACAGAATGCTTTTCTTAAAAAGTGTTGGTACAGAAACTAAGCCATAATACACCATCCAAAATGGGTGAATTAAAATGAATTTTTAAAAATGTCTTTTAAAACATGTAAACATTTTAAAATATTAAGCATCTAGATAACAGTAGCAGCACAACACATACATTCTATGAAGTGCTTTATTAACTGGGCTTCCAAAGTGCTTCAGTGGTAAAGAATCCACCTGCTAATGCAGGAGGACGTGGGTTCAATCCCTGCTTCAGGAAGATCCCCTGGAGAAGGAAACGGCAACCCACTCCAGTATTCTTGCCTGGGAAATGCCATGGACAGAGGAGCCTGGCGGGGCTACACTCCACGCAAAAGAGCCAGACACAACTGAACTACTCAGCACAAGCACATTAGAAAAATGAGAAACTTTACCCTGATTTCCTCAGCAAATTCTACTCTTGGGTCATGAGCCATTTTCTAGTTAGCTGCAGGTTTTTTTTTTTTTTATACAAAGCACAGACCAAAAACATGAAGCCAGAGTTCCAAGTTAAGAGGAGCCAGAGCCAGACGACTGAATCGGCCTGCAAGGAATAAGCCAATACTCACCTGTCGGGGGAGTGGAGGAAACAACAGGGGGAGTTGGAGAAGTGAAGCCATCGGCAAGGGTCTGGGCGCCCCCAGCGGCGGCGTCTGGGGCCGCGGAAGGAGGGCCGGCTGCAGGGCCGAGAGGGGTGGGGGCGGACGCGGGAGCAGCAGGAAGGGGAGGAGGAGCAGCAGAGCCAGCGGGGGCTGCGGGCAGAGAGGAGCGAGAGGCGGCGTTAGCGGCGGCGCCGGAGGCGGGGTGGGCACAGGCGCCAGGGACTTAGGGTTAGACGCTCAGTGCTCATCAGGACCAGAGAGTAGAGGGGAGTGCTAAAAATAAAAAAAGAGTGAAGCTTACGGTAAAGGGTTATTAGGTTTACAGCAAGTAATTCAAGATGCTAAGGCTAATGCCCAGATTTTTAAATTCATTAAAAGCATTCCTTTTTACCTGATAGCCAACACACTGGAAGAAAAGTGACCCTTTATGTTGTTGTTTTTAACATAACATTCTGGAATAGTACACAAAGCTAACCTAACACACTAGAAAACAACAGTATTCCACTCTGAATCATATAAATCAGAAAATAAACATTCCAGACATAAATATCTCATCAGGTAAAAAGAATTTAGAGAAATACAAACCTCTTTTTCATGATTTTTTTAAAGATACTGTCTGTTATTATAAGTAAATTAAATATGTAATTTTCTATCCTTATGTCTTGTGTGTCAGGTTTTTAAAACTAAGTTTCGTGTCCTCATATGAAACAAGTACTTTTTTCTGTTTCAGAGAAAAGAGGGTAGAGTCTCAGCAACTCAATTCCAAGAGTCCGCTAGGTTGAACTGTTGAAATTATATCTGCCCAATCCTCTGTTACCGATATGGTTCCTCACAGTGACACTGCATTGTGTCCAAAGGCACACACTGTCCGAACACCCGCTGGAGTTAAACGCAGCACCCGTTCCAAGGTGCAACCTCTAAGCACCAACCAAGACCCAGCAGCAAGTTACAGAGAAGTAAGTGGACATAAACTGACAAATAATGTGGTTAAAAATAGCAAAATGCAGAAAGATTTCTCAACATTTACAGGGTCTTCAAGAGAAAAAAAATCCTGATTAATGAAAGCTCAGTGTAATTACATTAGAAACTGCAAGGACAAACTCAGAAAGGACAGGTGAAGCCGAAGCACAATTCATGCTTTACCTGGAAAGACGCTGGGAGGAGAGGGGGTGGGAACGGCGATGGGGACCCCCACGCTCCCACTTCCACTGTTCTCCCGGCTGCTGCTCCGACTGCTGGGGTGGCTTCCCCCGCTGCTCCCGCTGCTGCTACAGAAATAAGAGCCACCGAAACATGAGCGTCCACGCACAGAGAGACATCACCAGCATTTTCCAGAATGTTCTGAAATGAATATAGCTACTAGATGGGAATTCAAAAGCCCTCCATTTCAGAGATGAATTTCTTTATAAAGGAAGGGAAAAAAGTTGAGTTCAAGAAACTTGTTTTGGCCACCTTTTAATAAACATATACTATAGAAATTGAGAAAAACAAAAATTCTCCATAAATATAAGGGATAAATGATGGGGCTCAACACATGAAAATAATATTACTTTCTTTTATTCCAGTTTAATGGCCGTCTGAAGAAATAGCTTTTATAATAAGAACAGTTTTCTTAAACAAATTATTTGTCCAATTTTATTTGTAATGATATCATGACATATTATGCCATATTAATGTTTTATTGCATATGGTTTTTCATCTGTAAAGTACCACCAAAAAACAACTTGAAATTCCCCGTATCTGGTCAGTGATTTTCTTTTTCAGGTCAACTCTTAACTATCAGTCTTGCAGAAAAGTTTGCACTTTGAGATGTCTGTTCTTTTTCAACTTCCTGGCTGCTCAAAGTTGCATCAGAACATGAGGAGAAAGAGGTGGAATCAGATGAGGTTTGGGGGAGTAGTGTGAGGAAAAGAACTTAGTGCTTGGAAAATGAGAGAGATTTAGCTGAAGTTATCTGAACAAATAATGGTGCTATGACCATCCCATTTTGCACTGAGGTAGAGAAAATACCTGTAAGTTCGATTTCTTTGATTCACAGAAGCTGTCCTCACAGGGCTCTGCTGCGAGGGAGCCATATTACGGGTTGGGCTAGGTACGTAATCATTTGGTACCACTGGAGGACGCACTGGCTCCAGTGTGCGATAGGGGGAGTGCCGCCTACAAAAAGAAGAGCGTATGTATCGTGTGGTTAGCAAGTCTCGGCACAATAAATTCAGAGTTGCCAGTAGTGAAATACAACTTGTACTCAGAGGTAGTAAAATGTGTTTTAATAAAACCCAACTACCAATTTCCATCTACCCTTAAGTATCACTTCTCCACCGTTAGGGCTTTGATGCGTATTGTTATTTTTTTTTAGTCTTTGACCTCATTTCCCTACACTAATTTTGTTCATTCATTTTGAGAGCACGAAGTTTCTCCCCAAGGTAAGCCAATGCTTCCCAGACTCTCTTCTTAGATGAGTTCAAATTAGTTTAGTGTCATGTTAAATTCTTCCAACTGAACTTCACAAATGCACTAATTATCTTCCTCACCCCTCTCTCCCTAACCAAAAATAATCAAAGATAGGGTTAATAAATCTACATAGTCTGGCTCCACAACCCCCACACTGATGATCAACAGCAACCATTAACAACTTATTTCTCTTTCTATGTAATAAGTATATAGAAATAAAACTATATCCACACACAGAAACACATTTAATCTCCCCTCCTTATATTCTCACTTCACATCCTCCTTAACCTTTCACCATGATCCATGATCACTCTTACCTCTTACCCTCCTCAGAGCTCAACATTTAAAAGAGAGAGAAGAAAAAAACAGATCACCTAAGTCTTTCTACCTTATTTACTTTGAAGTACAGAACAGACTGTATTTCATTAGCATACTTCTCTTTTTCTCAAACTTTCTTCTTAAAAGAATGACCATCAAGAAAGGAAATATAGGAAATAGGATGCACACTGGTACACCAGTAATTATTAAGCTAATTCTCATCTTTAAGTTTCCATCTTTATGGCAATGATTAATACTCAACTGACATGAAATTGATATTGTGTAGATGAGATTCTGATCTTTAACTGGATCTCAAGATATGAAAATTAAAGAGCTTTTTTCCCCTAAAATGATGGTGCTCACCTGACTTCTATATTTCTCAATAATTCACTTCCTCAAAAGCTCCCAAGGTTCCTTTAAATATTCTTCTCTCTCATCCACTCAAGTTTTGGCTCATTGATTCTGGATGAGATTACTCTGCCATGAGCCTGTCTACAACTCTTAAAATCCTCTTGCATAAACAAATATACACGTTATTAAAAATAAAGAAGGGGCACTAGATAAGATATTGGGTCAAAAAAAAAAAAGGAATGTCAGGGCCTTGAGTTTAAAACATTATAAAGAAGTTTAGGCATCTCTGAAATTATGATGTACATATAAAACACCATACAATAGGAAACTGATGGATTTCTAAACAATTTTCTCCAGACAATAAGAATGCTCTTGGGTCATCCAAGGAAACAGAACAAAACCTTTGCTGACTAAGAACTACACAGTGAAGTGAAAGTTGCTCAGCTGTGTCCGACTCTTTGTGACCCCATGGACTATATATATAGACCACGGAATTCTCTAGGCCAGAATTCTTGGAGTGGGTAGCCTTTCCCTTCTCCAGGAGACCTTCCCAACCCAGGGAATGAACCCAGGTCTCCCTCATTGCAGGTGGATTCTTTACCAGCTCAGCCACCAGGGAAGCCCATACAGTGAAGACAATGATAAAAACAAGGTAAAAAACTACGGAGAGAGGACAAAATATGGCGGCTGAGCCAAGACTGTGAAGCAGCCAGGCTGTGACCATCAAGTGGCTGGTGGTGCTCGGCCACTCTGGCCTCCAGGAATCCTGCAGAGCCCTTGCTAATACACAAGGAGAACAAATGCTAGTGTACAAGTAAATCTTTAAAATTTGGGAGCAATGGATATTTTTATTTTACTAGGATTATCTTGCTAACAATCTTGATTCAAAACCTAATAAAATCCATTAGAAACTATACATGACAAAAATATAGACATTTCGCAGGAAAATAAAACAAATACTCCCTCTTGACCTGATCTCTAGTCTTACCCTGTACAATTATGACATACCATGACATCTACATTCTACTCTGAAGCTTAAATCTTATTTAAGCTAGTAGAGCTTTTCCTTTCTAACCTAAGCAGAATTTTTTTTTGCCCTCCCCAAATAAAATCACCCTATTTCTGGCCAGAAATCTGATTTTATTCTTTTGTTTTCCACTGCCCTAATTTTAATTACTCCTCCAACATTATCTTTCTTTGATTGATTAGGTTGCTGGGTTTTTTGGTCTGGTTTTCTTGTTTGCTTTTTGGTGAGGGGGCCAAAAAACAAGATTTCCAATTAAAAACTTTTAAGCATATATCACAAAGCCAATGGTAATAAAGGCATGTCTTTGTCTTACACATTTTTGTAAAAAATCCAATTCATGGTACAGTGACCCTGAAAAGTTGACAGAGGACAAATATTACCCCCTTTTACAGATGAAAAAACTGAATTGCTAAGAGGCTTACTATGCAAGACCACACATCAGGAGCTGAGCAGGACCACGATTTTAGTCACCCAACTTCTGGGCAATATTATGCCCAACTGATCACAAACCTTGATCATGATAAACCAAGTTTTTATATTAAGATGCTATAAAAGAAACTAGGTCAAGCTTTTCTGTTAACTGACCATTTATGTCAAATCTGGAGCCCAAGTCTGTAGACAGAATGAAAGCTCATAATTTCTCATAAAAAACCAAGATACACAGAATTCGGTAATCTGCACAGTATTTTCTTCAGAAGACTAGTCAGAATTAAGAAGAGTCAATTATAATAGAAAAGACTAAAAAGTTTCTGAATAGCAATTAGAGTGCAATTTATAATAAGCCATGAACTTAGGCTTGGATTTTACCTCAAATTTAAAATTTATTAGAAAAATAATTTCTAAACAGAATATTTTTTAAAGTAGAAAGATGTTTCCCAGGTATAATTTAAAGTGTAAAAGATGTTTTCCTTTTGGGAAAGTTACATACAAAATAGATAATCTTAGGAAGAAAATATTCTCTTTTCAAACATTTAAAAATAGTGTAAACATACATATAGTGTTTAGTTTTCACACAGGACATGAAACGGTTTGCAATCACTACTTAGTTACATACTCACCCAAGTGTCCCTTTGCCTGACAGAGGGGGGCTGGGGGGCTTCTGTGTTGGAGGTGTTGTACGCGGCAGCCCACCCATCTTCATATTCTGGGTACTCACCTAAAAAAATTTTGAGGAAAACTCAATTTAATTTGAATGCAGTGAAACAAAGTGCCACTTTTGGGAAATAACATTATGCTATTTAACAAAGGAGGGGAAGGTTTAAATAGGAAAAAAAATTAGAGGCCATGCATTTCATATGCAATTTCTACTCTACTACCAGTCTACAGTTGTACTCAAAGGACTCTTCCTAACATGAGATTTCCAAATGATTATAAACATGTATGCAAAGACTTTATTTGCCATTAGCTCATCACACCAACAGATCACTGGTTAGACTGTTTGATACTACATTCAATTGAAATTAGATAGGTTAACTATAAAAATTTCAATTTTAATAAAGAGTAACTCAATCAGAAACAACAATGCCATTAAGCAATGCCTTGTTTTTAATATCAAGCTTATCATAAGAAAACAAAATACATCTTTTCCCCCAAAAGTATGCAACTTTAGATTTGATCCACTGTAAGTAGAGAATATTATATAAAGTTAAATCATACAGAGAAAATTTCCTTTTTATAAACTGTGGATCAGCCTCACAATTCAAATTTCATTAATGTTCTCTTATGAAGGAATCACCTACCTGAGAACTGCCAGAAGGTAAGGCATGTCCCTAAACATCTGACCCAGAAAGGTGGGGCTGAGGTATACCATTCAACTGTGAGTGGTACAGTGGCCACTGGCAATGTCCTAGTGCCAATGGGAATTAACCCACTCAGGCCCAAAATGAAGATTAATTTAGGCATGAGAAAGATGCAACACAGTCCTAAGAGCTAAAAACACAGAGCTAAGCTATCTATTCTATCCCCACTATTCTATCCTCACTATTCTATCCCCATTTGAAAACCCAAGTGTGGGAAAGTTGGGTGACCTGGGAACAAGTGTGGATTGCCACCAAAGAAGGAAGTGAGCACTTACACAGAAGGCCCTAGAGATCTGGGTGTCTTAAGGCACTAAGAGAAGTCATGCATGAATATAGTTCAAATGCAATCTCAAGTTGTTTGAGATTACCAACAGGTTAGAGTTAATAATGTTCACCATGTGTGTTCATGCCTGACCCTATTTTAAAGCTCCTAATATTCTGGACTGCCGAACACTTCAAAAAAGGATCTTAACTTTTCCACTAAGAGTATGTCCAGAGTATTCAAATTATACTTATAAAATGAAACTGTAAGACATTATACTTCTGAAGTCAGAATACATTTATAAGTTTAAAACACAAAATCTAAGAAAACAAATCATTATTACATACAGAATATTGAGGCTGTCAAAATTAACTCTGGCTTAAATGGAATATTTTAAAATCCTAAAATACTGCTTGTTATCTGAATAGGCAAGAAAAAATATACCAAGAAGCAAACTCTTCAAATGAATAGCCCAGTGAACAAGTTGTGTGTGATGTTAAAACAATCTTTAATGACAAATGATACCTTTGAAATAGCAATATTTTTAAGGCTATGCATTTTTCTGTACTCCTTTGTTATTACTTTTAAACAACAAATACAAAACAAACTGGTTATCAAGGAAGAATAAAGATTAACTTATCTGTACTCTCCCCCTCATTAATAAGCAGAGGGTATACTGATCATATCTTAAAAGTACCAGAAGTTTTTAAAAAATTAATCCACATTGGGGCAAATTTTTAGGAGTAGTATGACAAATAACCAGTAGCTTTAAAAACCGTATATCTTAATTCATGATACCAAGAGATATTTTTAAAGTAGTAACCAAAGTCCTTTAAGCTCAACCTTAAACAACATAAAACCCAAGGTCACTTTAAGTGATGAAGGAGAAGTAGATGAGCCAAACACTAAACTACATCAATTTGCTAGAAATAGGAAGGAAAAGGAGCAAGGACAGAAAAGGATAAAAAGAATTTTATTCTATACATGTAATAGCTAAAATATTTGAAAACAGCTTTCCAACTTTAATTTGTTTAAGGTTTTGGTATGTAAGGTGTTCTGTTTAAATTGCAGTATCTTCTCTATAAATATTGAAATCTACCAAAAAAATAATATGAAATAGACAACCTATAAATTGAAACATAGTGGACAATTTCATACATAAACTTTGATACATTTTTGACCTGTAGAATCATCAAATGGTTCTATTTGTTTGGTTAATGGGATTTGCATGAGTAATTTTCACTTTAAAAAACCAAAGAGTCCCTATGGAATGTCCAACTAATATGCAGTTCTGTACTACCTTTGTATTAAGCTAAAAGAGAACTCAGTATTTCTTCAAGGTAGTTTTCCTTGAGAAAAATGCTTCTGTACTAAAAGTAGAACAATGAATATGCTATGCAGAATATAAATACTGCCATATAATTTGAGGAAAATGAAAAAAATTAAAATTGCCAAACAGAACAATTTTCATAGGTGAACTTGATATTATAATTAAAATTAAACTGTATCTCACATCTAAAATAATTTGGTAAAAAATTATGTATGGGATAGTTATCATGGTTCTAAAAACTACTTTGAAGGAAGTTATAGGGCAACCCAGTGTTTCCAGACAAGAGGCAAAACACAAGACTAACTGAGTGTGGAGAAGGAGAACCTAACTAGAGAGAGAACATACCACAAACTCAGGACATAGAAGACAAGGCGACACTGCTCCAATTCCTAACAGCAATTCCACATGAAACTTTAAAAGCACCTGGGCAAAACTATCATCTGACACCAAAGTGTGTAGTGTAGTTAAAGGTCTGAATCATGAATAGGAATGCTAATTATTCTTTCCAAAGTTTTATCTGGGAACTGGAATGAAACTTTGGTGGCTGATTCCAACAATAGTTCAATTAATGTGGGTATTTTTTGATGCCATGAAGGGAAAAAGTCATCACTGAGAGCTGAGTGAAACTGGTAGTAGGCACATGGAGAAACAGCAGGAAAAGTCTTTTTTCAGAAGAAATATTTCATTTAGGTGACAAAGGTTAATGCACGACCAAGCTCAAATACTTTCCCACTGGCCTGGACTAAGAAATGCAGACAATACTGAGAGTAAGAGCAGTTCCTTTAGGACCAGAGTGGTCTTCTCTGATCTCCAAACTCTGGAGATCACAACTAGCACCAACTCTCAGGCCAATCATTATACCTTAATACTGTTTCTAAAGGGCTCCTATCTTTCCGGCCCTAACCTTTTTTTGTATATGCAGTACCTCCTTCAACCTTGATATATAATATCATGCATATCATATATAATGCTCATTACAAATCTCAGTGCTTTCCAGTAACCTGTGAACTCTAGTATTTTTTAAAGAGTATTTACAAAGTATCTTTGTATCTTTAGTTCATAGAGCATATCACCTCTGTTATGAAGCAATCTCCCAGGAATAGATAACTTGCTGCAAAAGTGGGGGAGACATTCTAAAATGACACCTGTGGTATATCGCTCATTTAAACCACTAGACCTCTAGGCACAAGAGAAAAGAATAAGAAAAATAAGGGGAGACAAAGGTCTATAAAATGATTTCTCTTGCTTTCAAGGAACTTATTTTAGAATAACTAAGACACCCTGCTTAAAAAGTGGTTTCTACAAATAATACAGAAATCTCCAAAAAAGAAGTTTCAGTGTGAGAAGAATTACCTAACAGAAGGTTTTATACAGAAAAATCTGAGTAAGAGTGTTACCAAGTTTTAAAAAGAGAAAAATTTAAACACACTAGGAGAAGAGGAGTAGTATGTATAGTTTGTGTCTGGATGTGGCGAAGCGAGGATGGGCAGAAGCTGTGGGCAAACACCTGAAGGCTTTCATTCCATGTCCAGTGTTGTTCCCAGCAGTCCCATCCACTGCATAACTTCTGGCTTCCTAGAGACCTCTATCCCTCTCCTCAGAGGATATATGTTCTTATTTCAATTCTCTGAGCCAACAGGAAAAGGACCAGGAGATTCTCTGAGGGAAATCAAAACTGAAATCAGGAATTCGAGTGTAGCTTCAGGAGAAAGGTAAAATTTTTAGTAAGACAGGAAGACAAAAAGCCTAAGGTAACAAGAGTTTTAATAAAATCCACTACAGAGCAAAGTAGGGAAAACCACTAGACCACTCAGGTGTGACCTGAATCAAATCCCTTTTGATTATACAGTGGAAGTAACAAATAGATTCAAGGGATAGATCTCATAGAGTGCCTGAGAACTATGGATGGAGGTTCATGACATTGTACGGGAGGCAGTGATCAAGACCATCCCCAAGAAAAGGAAATGCAAAAAAGGCAAAATAGGTTGTCTGAGGAGGCCTTACAAATAGCTGAGAAAAGAAGAGAAGCTAAAGGCAAAGGACAAAAGGAAAGATATACCCATTTGAATGCAGAGTTCCAAAGAATAGAAAAGAGATAAGAAAGCCTTCCTCAGTGATCAATGCAAAGAAATAGAGGAAAACAAGAGAATGGGAAAGACTAGAGATCTCTTCAAGAAAATGAGAGATACCAAGGGAACTTTTCATGCAAATATAGGGACAATAAAGGACAGAAATGGTATGGACCTAACAGAAGCTGAAGATATTAAGAAGAGGTGGCAAAAATACACGGAAGAATTATATAAAAAAGATCTTCTCGATCCAGATAATCACGATGGTGGGATCATTCACCTAGAGCCAGACATTCTGAATTGCAAAGTCAAGTGGGCCTTAGCATGACTTCAAACAAAGCTAGTGTAAATGATGGAATTCCAGTTGAGCTATTTCAAATCCTAAAAGATGATGTTGTGAAAGTGCTGCACTCAATATGCCAGCATATCTGAAAAACTCAGCAGTGGCCACAGGACTGGTAAAGGTCAGTTTTCATTCCAATCCCAAAGAAAGGCAATGCCAAAGAATAATCAAACTACTGCATAATTGCACTTATCTCACATGCTAGCAAAGTAATACTAAGTCTCCAAGCCAGGCTTCAACAGTACATGAACCGTGAACTTCCAAATGTTCAAGCTGGATTTAGAAAAGGCAGAGAAACCAGAGATCATATTGCCAACATCCTTTGGATCATCAAAAAAGCAAGAGAGTTCCAGAAAAACCTCTATTTCTGCTTCATTGACTATGCCAAAGCCTTTGACTGTGTGTATCACAACAGACTGTGGAAAATTCTGAAAGAGATGGGAATACCAGACCACCTGACCTGCCTCCTGAGAAATCTGTATGCCGGTCAGGAAGCAACAGTTAGAACTGGACATGGAAAAACAGACTGGTTCCAAATCAGGAAAGGAGTATGTCAAGGCTGTCTACTGTCACCATGCTTATTTAACTTAAATGCAGAGTACATCATGAGAAATGCTACACTGGATGAAGCACAAGCTGGAATCAAGACTGCCGGGAGAAATATCAAGAACCTCAGATATGCAGATGACACCACCATATGGCAGAAAGCGAAGAACAAAAGAGTCTCTTGATGAAAGTGCAAGAGGAGAGTGAAAAAGTTGGCTTAAAATTTAACATTCAGAAAACTAAGATCATGGCAACTGGTCCCATCACTTCACCGCAAATAGATGAGCAAACAGTGGAAACAGTGAGAGATTTTATTTTGGGGGGCTCCAAAATCACTGCAGATGGTGACTGCAGCCATGAAATTAAAAGACACTTGCTCCTTGGAAGAAAAATTATGACCAACCTAGATGGCATATTAAAAAGCTGAGACATTGCCAACAAAGGTCCGTCTAGTCAAAGCTACAGTTTTTCTAGTAGTCATGCATACTACAGTCATGTAGTAGTCAACCTGAGAGTTGGACTATAAAGAAAGCTAAGTGCTGAAGAATTGATGCTTTTGAACTATAGTGTTGGGGAAGACTCTTGAGAGTCCCTTGGACAGCAAGGAGATCCATCCAGTCAATCCTAAAGGAAATCAGTCCTGAATATACATTGGAAGGACTGATGCTGAAGCTGAAACTCCAATACTTTGACCACCTGATGCAAAGACCTGACTCATTTGATAAGACCCTGATGCTGGGAAAGATTGAAGGCGGAAGAAGAAGGGAACACAGAGGATGAGATGGTTGGATGGCATCACCGACTCAATGGACATGAGTTTGAGTAAACTCTGGGAGGTGGTGATGGACAGGGAGGCCTGGCGTGCTGCAGTCCATGGGGTCACAAAGATTCAAACACGACTGAGCAAGTGAACTGAACTACAGAGATAATGAATAAGAGATTAGGAGTAAGGAGGGAAGAACAGTTAAAAAGGAAACGAAGAATAAAGATGGATAAATTTCTGCTTGAATTTTGAAACTATTTTCCAACAACTGGCTTTTGCCAAGACTGAACTGGTGGCTCAAGACTGGAACAAAGAGGCAAACACAGATGATTCTCCCAAAAGGTGTTGCTATTGTGGTGTTTTTCTTCCAAGTGTGTCAAATAAACGCTTAACAGTGAATCCTCAGCTGTACCCGAAACCTAGAAATGTGAGGGGCAATTTTCTGTAGATAATGACACACACAAGATGACACTCAAACTGAAAAGGTTAAATCATATTTTACAGAGTTAAATTATGAATCTTCATGATCCCAAGCAAAACTTTCCCAAAGTGTTATACTCTTAATGTGTTAAACGTAAATGGGACTTCCAAGCCTTCCATGTTCATCATTAAGAATCTGTTTGCACAATGTTCAACTGAAAAGCTACATTAACAGATCAGAAGCCTTTACTATTTTTGACTGAAATAAATACACTTATTTTAAAAGTATTTTAAGTGTAGCTTCAGTAGTGGACAACTTTTCCACTTTTCAACAGAAAAATCTGTTTCAAATACATCAGTAACAAGATCTTAAAAGTCTTAAATATTAAAATAAAGAGTGGGGAAAGGATACCCCAGTTCAAGGTATGTGCCACTTTTATATGACCTCAGGTACATATTAAATACTTCCAATATGGCACTCTACCATCGACTTTGTATGCCCCTTGCTGTAAAGATATTACCCATTGCTCTCAAAGGTCTTATGAATTAAATCCTACAATTTATTCTTATTTGACTGAAGGAAAAACAGTTAACCCAACTTTCACCAGAGACGAACTATTAAACACCATCAGGATATACTGTGTAAAAGGTTAAAAATGCAGCTTTTAGGCGTGGAGGTCTCTTCTGAGTCACACCCCACGTGTCTGGCCCCACAGATGGTATTTGTTCAGAGTGTATCTGAAAGCCATCAAGTCTGACAAGACTGGGCGCAAAGACAGAGCTCACGATGAGATGAGGAGGAAAGCAAGGATCAGGAGACTTAGAGGGCACACCTGATGTCATCCGCGGGTCTCCAAAAAACTCAGCTGGAAAACCACTGGCTAGTTTACTATTTGCAAGTTCCTTCCAACTTCACCATTTTAAAATTCTATTTTCTATCTTAATACATCCGGTTATTCCATTAATCAACCTTCTGAAGCCACTCATTTTTTTCTACCAGCATAAAAAGTTAACGACTTGCTATATGATGAATGGTTTTTTCACTTTACTCTGCTTTGGTTCACCCAAAATGATCCACTGTGTGCCACAAGTTTATGGAGGAGACAGACACACTTCAAAGAAGGACAGAAGAAAGGAAAGACAGAGGACTGTCACATTCTAGCTTCTAGGATGATCTCAGATTACACTCCTTACCCTGTCCACCCCAGCCCAACAGAGCAGAAACAACTGCACTGAGCCACAATCCCGTGGAGTGGGATTTTTGTTGCAAAGAGCAAAGATGTTAAGGAATCTTCTCCAAGTGGGATGTTTCCTTATTGGATCTTTCTTCCTAGGAACCTCTCATTTCCCACTCACTCTGGCCTCTCTCTCACACAGAACAGGATCCTGAACCCAGAAAGGTCAAGAAGGAATCATAGTAGGGTTTAGAGGAAATGAGCCAGGGGTAGTTCTTTAGGCAAGATGGTCTAAACTTGAAGGGGAAAAAACTGGTCCATTGTTTTGTTTTTCCTTCGGTTGAATTTTCTGCACACTTCTATCACTTTGGAGGTTCATGTATCCATAGCCGAAATTTGAACACAGAAAAAGCCGAGGTAGCCACAAACACTACTTTTGGTCTATTTCTACCTCTTTTATGCAAAGGAATCCCCTCACAGTTCCACAGGCTTCGCTCACTCACATGAAGTACATCTGCCTGGGCTCCTCCAGTCACATCTCTACCACGAACTGTTTAACTTTCTGTGGCTGTGGTTAGTGGCTAGTTAATGATTCGGGCCTCAGTCATCCTGTCTTCTTGTTATCACTTTCTACACTGAAGACATGGCAAACAGCACAATATATGGTAAGAATGGTAAGAAAATATATGTATATATATGTGTGTGTGTGTGAAAAGGAATCACAGAATTCAGCTAAGAAAAAAAGTTAAAAAAAGGAATGCACTTTCAGTTCAGTGACAATAATTCCAGGATCACTCTATCTGACAAGCTCCTTGATTTCTCTTGAACATCTTTTCCCAGTTTTCCCTCCAATGTTACTGAAACAAGTAAAAAAAGGTGGTATCTCTAGTTCTTAACTTGCATTCTGTTAAACACTATCATGAGCTTTTGATGTTTTGCATGGAATACTACTCAGCTTGAGTAGTATTAGTATAATATAGTAGTATTAGTATACTACTCAGCTTGAGTAGTGGTAGTATAACCTTTTAAAGTGGGTTATACTGAAATATATAATTTATAAGCAATTTGAATTAAAAATGCTAATTTTATTTTTTGCAAAATATATGATACTGCAACTTAAAAAACACCCATAACACTGAATATTTTCCAATTTTCAATTTTTTTTACAGTGATTGAGTCAAGAGATAATGACATAGTGGCCATAAGGTGTATCATCAAGCACACCATTTATAGAATAAAAAGGTATTACACAGGGGGAGGGTTAAACAAAGCACATTAGCAGCCCTCCAATCCATAACAAAATGTCTCCATTTACAAAAATCCAGCTAATTTTATTTCATAATGACATTTTATGATAGGGTAACTTACATTTCAGTTTCATAAAGTATATTAACATTGTAAAATAATCATTTATTCAACAAATATTTACTAAGTGTCTAATGTGTGTCAGGCACTATTTTAGGCACACGGGATGGGGCAATAAACAAAACAGTCAAAAATATTTGCCCTCATGGAACATAAAGACACACAAAGTTGCATGACAAAAATAAAATAAGAAAAAGGAATTATTTCTTGGTTTTTAAAGGCCAAGTGCCAAGTATCTCTTCACTCCCCCATATGTAATAAGTCTACATAAGGACAAAGAATGGAAATCCAGCCCTGGAATCTCTTACCTTAAATCTAAGCAACCACTTAATGCATAAATGGAGCAAATAAAAGAGGTAAGGGAAAAAAAGCATTGAAAGGTTAGTTGGAACTTCAGGATGTGAAGAGAAAGGAAAAAACAAAAAACAAGTTAAGCATTCAGCATTAAAAAATAATGTTTCAGTAGATCATAGAAGGAGTGGTTAAAGCAGAATGTGTCATGAACGGGAGTTTTTGGATGAAATTATATAAGACACCTTTATTTAAAAACAACTTTATTCCTGATTTCTTCAAATTAGTGGCCCCTAAACATTAAAAGTCCAAAAAAATCAAAGTGATTAGAGAGTTCCTAAAGAACAATTACTTGAGAATTAAGTAAGAGTTAGGGGGATAACCTTTTTATTATTACATAAGTGGGCAAGTACAAATATGATGTTTTATATTTTAAGTGTCTTTTTGCCATTAGATTCTGGAATTCTATTAGCAGTTGTTAGCCTCAAATAAATCTCAAAAAAATGTCCCAAGTTAGAATAAATTTCAGTTATCCATCCAATTACACATCCTATTTTAAAAAGCTCTAATTTGTACTGCAATCAAAATGTATTAGGTGTTCCTTATAAAATTAAATATCAAATCTCAGATGATAGTGCTTGATTCAAAACTTTGAAAAAAATTTTTTTGTTTTAAATTTACACTGTACATATTCTCTTACCTAGATCTACATTCAATTTAGATTTAACTGATTTCTAGCCATCCTTGTGTGGGATATATTTTCTAAATTTGCTTATATAAATCAACTGCATGAACTGTATGGTTTTACTTACAGGCATATACACAGTTGCTCAGCATCACATCTGAAAAGTTATTGTCTTTCAAATCACTGAGGAGACGCAAACTTTATTTTTTTTTGAGACACAAACTTTAAATAAACTAATACTTAGCTGAATCTCTGAACAGTTTCTTAAGTACAAGTATCAATTTAAATGAAAGTTTTAAGTTCATCAGTTGTGATTGCTGTACTTTATGTACATAGCAGGCACTTAAATACATTTTAAAAGCCAAAATATATAATGGCTATATACTGAAAAGCAGTGGAAATACTAAATTAACTTATTACTTTTACTTACATTATCCTCACCCAAAATGTTGAACTAAATTTGTTCTAGAAAAATTCAAAGTACATGTTTATATATATTCTTACTGAAAACTAATGCCAGAAATATGCTGATATTTTTTAGATAAAGCAAATACTTTAATAACATACTGAATAATATTTAATTAGTCATATTAAATCATTAAAGGATTTAAAATACACTACGTTTATTTCCAGATGGTACATGATGTATTTTCATAACTGATTAAGCAAATGCAATTCACTCAAAGATGACTGTTTAAAACTTGAGAATCCAGCACTAAGAAGAAAGGTAACACAGTTATTAGTGGTAAGAAATCTTCAGAACTACAACTAGGCCAAGAATGATCCTCTGGAAAGAAAAGATTAGCATTTAATTTTCTCAAGAGTTAGCTCCATCATGGGCTATTTTTTTTTTTAAAGTTTGACGAAACTTATGCTTACCTTTACTCCATGTCCAATATCATCTAGAATTGTATAGTCGATAGGTTTTCTAATATATCGAACTGGTCGTTCAAGGTTGGCTGGAGCAATAATCTTATGTGTCCTTGAAGTGTTTTTATTGGTAGTCAAAATACCAATTTCTCTTCTTGCAACTTTCTCTTTATGAATATCAACGGTCTACAAAACATAAACACAAAAATGTACAGCCCTAATAGCCAGAAAAATAAAAATATAAATACTTAGAGATTTAACAACATTATTCATATTCTTAACTGCAATTGTGAATTTCTCCTTTTGGGACCAATACGGACTTTCTCCATTTTCAGGCTAAAAGAAAGGTTGAGAAACCCTGGCTGGCAAAACAGATCTGGCCCATCACCCATCTTTTTACAGCTGAAAAACTAAGAGTGTTGTTTACATTTTTTAATGGTTAAAGGAAGTCAAACGAAAAATAAGATCTTGACATGTAATTATATGGAATTCGAACATCAGTTTCCATAAACAATTTTACTGAAATACCAGTCATTCTACCTCCTTAAATATTTTTCACAATACAATGGCAGAGGTGAACAGCTGCAACAGAGACCTTATGACCTGCAAAGCATAAAATATTCATTAGCTGACCCTTTACAGGAAAAGCTTACCAACCTCCAGATTAAAGCATGCTCATTTTTTCCTTCTCTACTAAGATTTAGCCTAATTAAGAAAGTACCAGCAACTATTAATCTGGTAACATTTAAAGATAACCTATTAGTATAACATCTTTTAGTGTTTAAATAGCTTTTTATTTTAAAAGGCCTAAAATATAAACACAATGTTAAAAATAAAGTCATCTTTTACAAAGAAATGAGTGTGCTGAGGTAAAGTTGTTATATTTTATCATGATAAAATGCTAGTAAAATATTTTCATTATTTTATTAAATGCTCAAAACAGGATATAATTTAGTACATAACAACAATGTGTTTTTACTCAATTTTCCATTTGCTAATAGAGTCAGTGAATTTCTCCATAAGCACAGGTAATTGATACACTAAAACAGCATTTTTCAAATTGCAAGTTGCAATTTAGTGAGATAATGAGCAGCAATTATTTTAAAAGAAAAAGAACTATCAGACAACATACACACTGTAAGGTACTTTTTTCTTAAAATATTTGTTATGTACATAAATACATACATTAAAGTGTGTACGGATGGAATATAAGATATATTTTTAACTGTGGTTTTCAGTTTTAAAATTTTCAAACATACTTCACTAAATTGTTTACCTCTTGCCACCATTCATGGCTTAAGCAGGAATTATTGCTGATTCTTCCCCAAACCTGCTTCAATTTACCCTTTCTTAAAGAATAGCCAGGTAGTAACACAGAAATGGAAATGAAAGACAATATTATGACATTATTATGTCATATTATGACATTATGACAATATTAAATACAACTTTAGGAAATCTTAACACTGATTACTTATCCTTCTAAACTACATGAAGTATGAAGGAAACCTGAAACAAATTTGAAGCCCCTTATTTCAAACAAGAGATTTTAAAGGCAACAGACTCTTTAAGTGTATAACTAATAAATACCTAAGTGAAGCATCAGATCAAACATTGGTGAAGGTAGGAGAGACCTTAGCATTTTAAGTATTTCATTTTAAGACCAAAATAGGCTTTGAACTTTTTCGGTGCACATTAGACAAGTTACAAAACCTGCTTTCCTTTTACACTGGTTGGGGGAGCTATAATAGAAAAAAGAAGTTTGCGTGTTAGTGACAGTATTGGAATGTATTTATTTTTAAACTCGCAAAAAATAGAAATTAACCACATTTACTTTTGAATAATTTCTAAAGAGTCATTCTGAAATTATTAAAAATATGAGCTAGGAAAATTTTATATTTGTCAGGTATACTTCAAAATAAACTAAAAACACAAAATATGACCATTATTTTTTGTATATAACTGGTCTCTATCATATCAATAAAGAAAATTTATTAGAGAATGTTATCCTTTCAACATTGTTTTCATTCTGCTTAGCTTTTAAAAATATAATTATCTCATCCAGAAATGAAAATATAAGACTGTAAACCTAACCAACGATAACAGAATCCTAAGTTTGAGGCAAACTGGAACTTCAATTTCAAATTTTCCTGCTAGAAATATCGATACATCTCTGGAGAATGAAGAGGGGGTAACATTTCACTTATTCTTTGCACTAATATATAGTTATATTTTATAACAAACACGTATTTTAAATTCTTTGAAAAAACTGAGACTCTAAAAAGAATGAAAACAATCAGATTAAACCCAAGGCCCGTAGGCACTTACATCTTACTTATCTATTCTCTTCATGTACACATAAACACACAGCCCAAACCTGTATAAACCATGACAGGAAGCATAAAAGGAAAACCAATATGGCAAAAGAAATGATCACAGAACTTTCATAAATAATCCTAAATAAGGGATAGCTGCTATAATTGGGCATAAAATTAGCCTCTCAGTTTAGATTCCTAGAGAAGGCAAAACAGAAATCAGTTACAAGGAAATACATACGCCTTCACTAAGAAAGTGACAATTTGCCCAGCACTAAACTCTTAAAGGAACTAGTTGAAGGATATGTGAGAAAAATGCTCTTTGTTGTTTCTTATATTAATTCTCATTAAACTTGAAGGCACATTTGAAAACATAATTCTTAATAGTATATTTCTATATTTAGAAAGCCAGAACAGTTTGGTTACACATTCCTAGTTGTCTACTCTAAGACTGCCTACATCTCAGGGAACCAGAGCAGGGTTTAGAAAATACCTCAGATATCTAATACCTACTGGTCCTTAACCATTCTACCAGACAACCCTTAACAACAACTCTTGACACCAACCATTCCTATATACACATCATCTCATCTTTGACCTGACTGAACTTTCAATTCTTTGCTTCTTCAATTCCTTTTCTCTAAATTCCCCCAACACAGTATTTTTTACTCAAGTGTGAAAAAAAATTGACCTCAAAATATCTTAATAATTTTGACTCCCTCCATAAACAAAATAATGTTTTAATAAAGCATAATGACAATAAAATTTAAGTACCACACATTTGAAAACCATTATTTTGTAGAGCAAGAACATCTAAACTAAATCATACATCACAAGACTGGCCCATTGTCTGTTGCTATATGGTGGACAAGCTAACATGTTTTTTACATTTTTAAACAGTTGCTTAAAAAATACAACACAAAAAATAAAATGAGGCTGAAACCCTCTATGGCCCACAAAGTAAAAAATATTGACTATCTAGCGCTTTACAAAAAAGTCTGCCAATCCTTGTTTACACCATTTACTGAATATTTGTTTTAGAAAACATTTCCTCTTATACTATGGAATAATAGAAAAATGGAATAATATTCCATTCTAATGAGCATCAAATAGCTTTGACATCCAGTTGACTTTTATTTATTTATTTTTTTTTTTTTTATTAGTTGGAGGCTAATTACTCCACAATATTGTAGTGGGTTTCATCATACATTGACATGAATCAGCCTCAGTTGACTTTTAAAACAAAGGACTCTACCTGTACATTAAATGTAACAGAAAAAAATTTTAATCCTTAAGGCAAATGCTTTTAAAAATTATGTATATTTTTTTTTAATTACTCATTTATTTGCTATAGCTTCCATCAGCCCGTTCCACCCACTTAACTCCTCATCCAACTACTTGAATATATTCCGTATCAAGTTAACAGCCATTGCATAGTTGCAGATCCTTTGCTTTTCCAAGTATTGCCCTTTATAGATACTTGACTCCAAATGAAAGTGGCACAACTTATTCTCGAAAGCTGTGACTCAAGCCCCTTATTTCTAGTCGACAAATCTCTGTCCATTCAACTCTCCCATTTTTTATTTATTCCATTCAGTTCAGTTCATTGATCAGTCATGTCCAACTCTTTGCGACCCCATAAACTGCAGCACACCAGGCTTCCCTGTCCATCACCAACTCCCGGACTTTACTCAAACTCATGTCCATCGTGTCAGTGATGCCATCCAGCCATCTCATCCTCTGTCATCCCCTTCTCCTCCTGCCCCCAATCCCTCCCAGCGTCAGGGTCTTTTCCAATGAGTCAACTCTTCACATGAGGTAGCCAAAGTATTGGCGTTTCAGCTTCAGCGTCAGTCCTTCCAATGAACACCCAGGACTGATCTACTTTAGGATGGACTGGTTGGATCTCCTTGCAGTCCAAGGGACTCTCAAGAGTCTTCTCCAACACCACAGTTCGAAAGCGTCAATTTTTCTGGCGCTCAGCTTTCTTCACAGTCCAACTCTCACATCCATACACGAACACTGGAAAAACCACAGACTTAACTAGACGGACCCTTGTTTACAAAGTAATGTCTCTGCTTTTCAATATGCTATCTAGGTTGGTCATAACTTTCCTTCCAAGGAGTAAGCATCTTTTAATTTCATGGCTGCAATCACCATCTGCAGTGATTTTGGAGACCAAAAAATTAAAGTCTGACACTGTTTCCACTGTCTCCCCATCTATTTCCCATGAAGTGATGGGACCAGATGCCATGATCTTAGTTTTCTGAATGCTGGGCTTTAAACCAACTTTTTCACTCTCTTCTTTCACTTTCATCAAGAAGCTCTTTAGTTCTTCTTCACTTTCTGCCCTAAGGGTGGTGTTATCTGCATATCTGAGGTTATTGGTATTTCTCCCAGCAATCTTGATTCCAGCTTGTGCTTTCTCCAGCGCAGCGTTTCTCATGATGTACTCTGCATATAAGTTAAATAAGCAGGGTGACGATATACAGCCTTGACATACTCCTTTTCCTATTTGGAACCAGTCTGTTGTTCCATGTCCAATTCTAACTGTTGCTTCCTGACCTGCATATAGGTTTCTCAAAGGCAGGCCAGGTGGTCTGGTATGCCCATCTCTTTCAGAATTTTCCACATTTATTGTGATCCACACAGTCGAAGGCTTTGGTGTAGTCAATGAAGCAGAAATAGATGTTTTTCTGGAACTCTCTTCCTTTTTTGATGATCCAGCGGATATTGGCAATTTGATCTCTGGTTCCTCTGCCTTTTCTAAATCCAACTTGAACATCTGGAAGTTCTCAGTTCACATATTGCTGAAGCCTGGCTTGGAGAATTTTGAGCATTACTTTACCAGTGTGCGAGATGAGTGCAATT